GGAGCAGTGGTCACTCTCGTCCCCTCTCCATGTGAGCAGGAGGAGCAGTGGTCACTCTCGTCCTCTCCATGTGAGCAGCAGGAACAGTGGTCACTCTCGTCCCCTCTCCATGTGAGCAGGAGGAGCAGTGGTCACTCTCGTCCCCTCTCCATGTGAGCAGGAGGAGCAGTGGTCACTCTCGTCCTCTCCATGTGAGCAGCAGGAGGGTGGTCACTCTCGTCCCCTCTCCATGTGAGCAGCAGCAGGAGCAGTGGTCACTCTCGTCCCCTCTCCATGTGAGCAGGAGGAGCAGTGGTCACTCTCGTCCCCTCTCCGTGTGAGCAGCAGGAGCAGTGGTCACTCTCGTCCCCTCTCCGTGTGAGCAGGAGGAGCAGTGGTCACTCTCGTCCTCTCCATGTGAGCAGGAGGAGCAGTGGTCACTCTCGTCCCCTCCATGTGAGCAGGAGGAGCAGTGGTCACTCTCGTCCCCTCCATGTGAGCAGCAGCAGGAGCAGTGGTCACTCTCGTCCCCTCTCCATGTGAACAGGAGCAGTGGTCACTCTCGTCCCCTCTCCATGTGAGCAGCAGCAGGAGCAGTGGTCACTCTCGTCCCTCTCCATGTGAGCAGGAGGAGCAGTGGTCACTCTCGTCCCCTCCATGTGAGCAGGAGGAGCAGTGGTCACTCTCGTCCCCTCTCCATGTGAGCAGGAGGAGCAGTGGTCACTCTCGTCCCCTCTCCATGTGAGCAGCAGCAGGAGCAGTGGTCACTCTCGTCCCCTCTCCGTGTGAGCAGGAGGAGCAGTGGTCACTCTCGTCCCCTCTCCATGTGAGCAGCAGGAGCAGTGGTCACTCTCGTCCCCTCTCCATGTGAGCAGCAGGAGCAGTGGTCACTCTCGTCCCCTCTCCATGTGAGCAGGAGGAGCAGTGGTCACTCTCGTCCCCTCTCCGTGTGAGCAGGAGGAGCAGTGGTCACTCTCGTCCTCTCCATGTGAGCAGCAGGAGCAGTGGTCACTCTCGTCCCCTCTCCATGTGAGCAGCAGGAGCAGTGGTCACTCTCGTCCTCTCCATGTGAGCAGGAGGAGCAGTGGTCACTCTCGTCCCCTCTCCATGTGAGCAGCAGGAGGGTGGTCACTCTCGTCCCCTCTCCATGTGAGCAGGAGGGGCAGTGGTCACTCTCGTCCCCTCTCCGTGTGAGCAGCAGGAGCAGTGGTCACTCTCGTCCCCTCTCCATGTGAGCAGGAGGAGCAGTGGTCACTCTCGTCCCCTCTCCATGTGAGCAGGAGGAGCAGTGGTCACTCTCGTCCCCTCTCCATGTGAGCAGGAGGAGCAGTGGTCACTCTCGTCCCCTCTCCATGTGAGGAGGAGCAGTGGTCACTCTTGTCCCCTCTCCATGTGAGGAGCAGGAGGAGCAGTGGTCACTCTCGTCCCCTCTCCATGTGAGCAGGAGGAGCAGTGGTCACTCTCGTCCCCTCTCCATGTGAGCAGGAGGAGCAGTGGTCACTCTCGTCCCCTCTCCATGTGAGCAGGAGGAGCAGTGGTCACTCTTGTCCCCTCTCCATGTGAGCAGCAGGAGGGTGGTCACTCTTGTCCCCTCTCCATGTGAGCAGCAGGAGGGTGGTCACTCTCGTCCCCTCTCCATGTGAGCAGCAGGAGGGTGGTCACTCTCGTCCCCTCTCCATGTGAGCAGCAGGAGGGCGGTCACTCTCGTCCCCTCTCCATGTGAGGAGCGGTCACTCTTGTCCCTTCTCTGTGCAGCAGCAGGAGCAATCACTCTTTTCTTGCAGGAGGTCTGTGGCTTTGGACTGGGGACCTTTTGTCTCAAGATGAGGCATTGCACCCTAAAGGCACTGAACCTTCACAGATAACTCCCAGCTCGAGAGTTTGGCTGTGCCTTTGCCAGTGCTGTGGGTCACTGCGTTTCAGCACAGTGAAGTGCGCCCTGAACTTCCTTGGCTGGCCCAGTCTTTTCTCTACTCACCTGGGTGATCAATCCAATGTCAAGGAAGCTGGGAACTGTTGGCTCATGCCCATAATCCTAGCTACTTAGTGTTAAATTCTGAGGATTGCAGTTCCAAGTCAGCCCAGGCAGGAATGTCTCTGAGACTTATTTCCAATTAAGCAGCAAAAAGAAGTGGACTGTGGCTCAAGTGGTAGAGGGCTAGCCTTGAGCACAAAAGCTCAGGTACAGCACCCAGGCCCTGAGTTAAAGCCCCAGTACTGGGTTCAACATATCCATGTAATGTTGAGTCATTTGCTACTTTAGGTAACCAGGTAACCTTGAGGCTGGGTTTGTGTGGATGGTCTTGTGTGGCTGTCTTTGGCCAAGTGCCACTTTCGTCTAGTGGGAATATGGTAAGTTGGGAATTACTGAGTTAGGCGTTATGGGTTAAAGGCTGTAAACCCGCAAACAGAATGAAGTCTCTGCTGCTGTGCAGATGATGAGCCAGGGAACAGTATTCTATTACACTCGACCTGCTGTTGCTGCTGCTGAGTGCATGAACAAGATGCTTTATAAACAAATGCTGAGGGAAAATTTGTGTGCTTAATATTTAGCTGATATCAACACCTGTAAAATAAAGTGGAAGGAAGGTTTCCCAGACAAAACTTCAGCTAGCCTGCATGGATTTCTAGAGGAAGTGAGACACACATATCCAATTTCCTCTAAAGCCCCAGAGCTGAGGTATTGTTCAATGCTGCAAAACATTGTTAAGTTCTGGGGGCTGGGAAGGTGGCTTAGTGGTAGAGTGCTTGCCTTGCATGCATGAGGCCCTGGGTTCGATTCCCCAGCACCACATACGCAAAAAGAAGGCGGAAGTGGCACTGTGGCTCAAGTGATAGAGCGCTAGCCTTGAGCTGAAGAGCTGAGGGACAGCGCCCAGGCCCAGAGTTCAGCCCCCCCCCAAAAAAACAAACAAACATTTGCTAAGTTCTGTTGAAGATATTAGTTTTGTGTTGAGTTTCAGTCTTTACTGTAAACACTCTCCCTTTTTTTTTCTTACCAATGAAACCACTGGGAGCAAGGTGTTCAGGCCTTTAAAATGGCAGCAGAGATCCTTATACCACTGGGAACTGTCAGCCAAACAGCCCATTTTCTGACCATCAGTTGTATGACCTTAGTACCAGACAGACTGGACCCTGGTCACCGTGGGGACACTTCACCTGCAGTGAGTCGTCTTGAATTGAAGCCTCTATTCTTGGTCCAGGATGCCTTGCCCCAGTCAGGACCAACCACTCTACATAACCAACAGCAGTCTTAGAAGGATACACTGAGTCTCAAGTGAACATTAGATGGCCCTTGAGCTAAGGGAAGGATGGAGGAGAAGCAATAACTCAGAAAGCCAGCGACGGATGCAATGTGGAATTAGAGGTGGATTCCTATGCAGGGCCTATACTTGGTGCAAATACAATCATTTGCATGACATACCTATGGCACCCCTGGTTATATAGTAAGACCCCTATTTGCAGATTTACTGAAGACTTTTGATTAACAAAAAAAAAAAGAATATTAAGAGAAATTTAGAAAAATTCCCATGCAAGCATTATTTAGTTTAGCTGATAAAGAGAAGCTCTCAGTCTTGCATTACTGTTATGTTGTGTTTAAATAGTTGTGTGTACTGTTTTTGGACCCTTAATTTTGTTAAAAACTTGTCTTCTTAAAGGCAAATTGTGCCCAAAGACAATTTGAGTGAAGATGACAATTTCAAGTTTGTTGAAAGGCAGCATATCTTTAGAAGTTGCCTGCTGTTGTAGGGTAGATGAACCAAGCTTCTGCAGTACAGCACTTAACACTGATCCTTGTAAGAGGCAACAAATGGTGCTTTTGCTGGGCCCATGAAGTAGCTAAAAGAATGAAAGCTTGGCACCCCAACCCCTGCTTCGCATCTGTGCCCTTGGATCTAAGCCACTCTCTCCAGTCACCTCCAAGGACAGGACTTACTTAAGCATCTTGTACCAAAAGGGCAGCTGACTGGAAAACAAGCAATGCCTCATGGGTTTACCCCTTTCTAGTGGTCAGAGTGTCAAGGGGAAGATTTTCATGCTTAGTTCAGGGAAAAAAAAGTGTTGGGGAAGATGAGGTAGGCCATCAAAGGTTTGCTAAGGTGAGGTCCTCTGAACTCCACCTGGACTGACAGCCATGAGGCAGCTCCCATGCTCAGGAATAGCCCCCTACAGAAAACAATCTGCTCTTGCTGCCAACGGGCCATAAGTGTCCCACACAACCACAAGCAGGGATTAAGAGGGAGACTGCAGCAGAAAAAGCAGCACTAAGATTTGGACTGTCCACCTGGGCTATTTACTGATGGGTGGACCCTTGATCTGCTCAGGCAGACCATATACTCTTGTATATACTGTTTCCAGGTGCTTTTGTTAAAGTCAGCAATGCCATTTTCTTGGTCAGTACTAGGGCTTGGACTCAAGGCCTCACACTCACTTGGCTTGCTTGCTCACAACTGGTGCTCTGCCACTTGAATCATGCTTTCAGTCCAGCATTTTCCTGGTTGACTGCAGATGGACTCATAACAGATTTTTCTGTCTGGACTTCATGTGTCCACCAGTGCCAGCCATGCAATGTCTGTTATTAGGCAAAGCTTTTAAGTTTCTTCAATTTGTCCATGTGGAGGCAAAAGCAAGTATACTATCTAACAAATTGGAACGTCTAAGTATAATCATTACCAAAAGGGAAAATTATCCTCAAAACACGTTCAACTAGAAGGCGATTCCAAGAACATGATGGCTAGCGCGCCCACCTGCCCCTTCATTCATCACCATTCAGTAGCCCTTCTCTGGGCCTAGATCAGTAGCACATTTCTTGACAACGATGCTGAGTTGTCTAAGACTTTCATCACATTATCTTCTGCTGCAGAAATCTGGGACACAAAATGTGTTGATACTTGAGGGGAAATGTGATGGGAATTTGTGAAACAGAAGAGTTTGACATACATTTTTTTTTTTTATTATTTACTTATTTGCCAATGACAAGAATAAACTGGATGAACTAAAAAAACAAAGCCATCCACATATACAGTCTTACTCTTTATTCCTTCTTTTGTGTGTGTGTGTGTGTGTGTGTGTGTAGGGTAAAAGGTTCCACTTCTAAATGATGTTTCCATCTGTACACTCTAAGAAATAAACAGGAAACCACTCCCCACCTCCCGGCTTAGAACAGGTGCGGAGAATAGCACACAGCCATGGCTCAGGGGTGGGAGGAACAAGGGTGTTCTGAGGTCACAAAAAGCGCTCTGCAGCATGCGATGATGAGGCTGGCACACTTAGTTGCATCGGGGGCCGGCATCACGGCATGGACAGTGTTCCAGGCCACACTATGAGCTTTCCTTAGGGAAAAACATCTTTTCCTCAACTAGAACTGTCACAGGTTAAAGCCACAGGACTTTATTCATTGTTTAATCTTCTGGTGACAGGATTTCTTTGAAGCAGAATCTGAATATACATAAAAATGAGATTAAATGAGTTTACATTTTTTTTTTCTTTTTGTCGGGTCATGGGGCTTGAACTGTGGTCCTGGGCACTGTCCTTGATCTCTTCAGTTCAAGGCGAGTGCTCTACCACTTGAACCACAGTGCAACTTCCGGTTTTCTGGTGGTTTATTAGAGATAAGAGTCTCATGGACTTTCCTGCCTGGGCTGGCTTTGAACTGCAATCCTCAGATCTCAGCCTCTTGAGTAGCTAGGATTACAGGCATGAGCCACTGGAGCCCAACAGTTTACATGTCTTTTAAGAATAATCTAACAATTTCCAAACACTATCACTAAATTCATCTGAATTTTGTAAGAAATTTATGTTCTAAAGTAGTTTAAATTATGATGGTTAAGAAGCACTGGACAGTCTGGGCATCAGTGGCTCATGCCTATAATCCTGCCTTCTCCAAAGTCTGAGATCCTCAGAGACAGTGCCCAGGCCCTGAGTTCAAGTCTCAGGACCAGCACAAAATAACAACAAAAACCCAAGTGCATGCAAGGCCTTGAGTTCAAACTCAAATACAGACACAGATTCAGAGACACACATGCACCCTCACTAGAGAAATTATATGCTGGCCAAAACATAAATCTTCTTTAATAGAGTAAGGAAAAATATAAAAAGGCCCAGAGCCTTCATTCACACTCTTTGTACTGTCAAGATTGAAACTGGCCGGGCACTGATGGCTCAGGCCTGTAATCCTAGCTACTCAGGAGACTGAGATCTGAGGATCATGATTCAAAGCCAGCCCAGACAGGAAAATCTGTGAGACTCTTATCTCCAATAAACCACTCAGAAAACCGGAACCGGCGCCAGGGCTCAAGTGGTAGAGCGCTTGCCTAGACCTGAAGAGCTGAGGGACAGTGCCCTGGCCCAGAGTTCAAGCCCCAGGACCAACCAAAAAAAAAAAAAAAAAAAAAAAGGAAAGTAACAGTAGCTAATATGTTAATGTGATACTAACATTCTTCTCTTCATTATTTCACATATTTAGGGAATAGCTACATATTTATATATTTTATTTTTTTGGGGGGGTGGGGCTTGGGGCTTGAACTCTGGGCCCAGGTGCTGTCCCTGAGCTCTTCCGCTCAAGGAGAGTGCTCTACCACTTGACCCACAGGGCCACTTCCAGTAATATATTTTTTAATGTTCAAGAAGGATTTTTTACCTGGTAGCACCCCTGCCAGTCGTTGCTGGATCATTTCTAGATGGTGAATATATTCTGTCAATGAGTGTTCTGGATCTTGAGAAGCAGTCAAGGATCTTCCTAACCTTGAATTTGGGGATGAAGTAGATCTTCAAACAAATCACCACATCAGAGAGAAAGAAAAAAGATGAGAGGGGAGAACAACAACAAAACAAAACAGCTGAGGCTCCTCAGGTGGAGCTGTGGAGAGGGCAGACCTGGGGCCTGACGTGGCACCCCAGGGCCATCTCTGTCACATCCCTCGTCTCTTTAAGGAGTATATTCCTGCTTGCTTAGTGGTAATCAGGACTGAGTCAGGGCCTTACCCTTGCGAGGCAAGGTATTCTACCAGCTACTACACCCTAACCCTCCATCTCTATCACGTCTCGCAGCTAAAATGAGCAGAAACAACTGTGCATTATTTCATTTACTAAATCTTTGTGTATGCCCTGTCACCCAAATTAGATTGTACATAACCCCAAACCCAGTACCTGCCCCAGTTCACCCACCCACCTGCTCCTGCATAGGCAAAAAACCCCTTCCACCCTTCCATCCTCACCTTCAAGCCCCTGATGATGATCCCAGGGAGCATTTCCTGTGTCCCTTTTTGCTCTCATCCCAATGAGTTTCCAGACCTCTTCAGGGTCAGGAACAGGCCTTACCTTCCAGACAGCATGCACACCGAAGAGACCTCTGCCACCACAGAGTTGACACTGACCCGCTTCAAACCGCGGGACCCTCAGGCCCTCACAGACTCAAGGCTATGTTCTCTGCAATGCTCTGGGCTGGGTCAAAGCCAGAATATTTGAAAGTGTCTGGGCACCATCAGGAAAAGCCACAGCATCTCAACTGACCTTTTCAGGGAGGGGGTGGCTGACAGCCCAGCGCCATGTGCAGAGTCCTTGGCAGGGCCTGAAGACACATCCCGAGTAGGCAAGGACTCTCTGGCTTCAGATGAAGACTGCTGCCGCCGTGATGCTCGGAATCCTTTCCCAAAACAAGCAATTATTAGGGAAAGAAATGGTATGTTGTAGGAAGAAGGCCCGTCTATAAAAACATGAGACTTAAGAGTCTCTTAGGCTGGAAGGTGGCTCAGTGGTAGAGTGCTTGCCTTGCATGCATGAGGCCCTGGGTTCATTCCTCAGCACCACATAAGCAAAAAGAAAAAAGCCGGAAGTGACACTGTGGCTCAAGTGGTAAAGTGCTAGCCTTGAGCTGAAGAGCTGAGAGACAGCGCCCAGGCCCAGAAACTCTCTAGCAATTTCAAAGGAAAATTTAGAGTATCTAAGTTATGATTTTTTTTTTTTTTGGGGGGGGGGGGGGGTGTTGGTCATGGGGTTTGAACTCTGGGCTTGGGCGCTGTCCCTGCACTCTTCAGGGCAAGGCAAGTGCTCTACCACTTGAGCCACAGCGCCATTTCCGATTTATTTCCGGTTTATTGGAGATGAGTGTCACAGACTTTGCTGCCCGGGCTGGCTTTGAACCGCCATCCTCAGATCTCAGCCTCCTAAACAGCTAGGATTACAGGCATGAGCCACTGGCACCCAGCTAAATTATGACATATTTTAAGTTCTGATCGCCTGTGTCCTATCTGAAAAAACTGACCCTGACCCAGCATCTTATGAGTGGCCCATGGCTGGTGGTACCCTCAGGAGCACCTTAAGTGTGACACAGGGAGGCTGTCCTACCTCTACAAGAGGCAGGAACCTGGATACCATGAGGTGTAGCATGGAGGGAGTGTCTTCCTCACGACCTCGACGACAGCGATACCTACATGGTCTAGTCACTGTGATCACTGCTGACCTGAGAAGGCCAGAGGGTGGGGACATGCTTTGTGTCCTCTGGGCTGAGTAGAGAGGACTCTCACATCTGACACCAGAGTCTAGAAAACGACTTTGCAAACTGGTCTGCTTGTCCTTGGACCCAGCTGTCCACTGGACCAATTAGTTGTGCACTGCACTGGGGAAGGCAGCAGCACATAGGCCTAGAGGAAAGGTCTGACTGAGCCTTGCAAGGCAAGCATGATGTGCCAAAACAAAGGTGTAACATAACCAGCATAACTTCAGCTACTCTGGAGAACAAGGACATCACTGTCACTGACTCACTGACTGACTGTGCAGAACCCCTGTGCTCACTGTCACTCACACACTGACTGTGCAGAACCTCTGTGCTCACTGTCACTCACTGACTGTGCAGAACCTCTGTGCTCACTGTCACTCACTCACTGACTGTGCAGAACCTCTGTGCTCACTGTCACTCACACACTGACTGTGCAGAACCTCTGTGCTCACTGTCACTCACTCACTGACTGTGCAGAACCTCTGTACTCACTGTCACTCACTCACTGACTGTGCAGAACCTCTGTGCTCACTGTCACTCACTGACTGTGCAGAACCTCTGTGCTCACTGTCACTCACTGACTGTGCAGAACCTCTGTGCTCACTGTCACTCACTCACTGACTGTGCAGAACCTCTGTGCTCACTGTCACTCACTGACTGTGCAGAACCTCTGTGCTCACTGTCACTCACTCACTGACTGTGCAGAACCTCTGTGCTCACTGTCACTCACTCACTGACTGTGCAGAACCTCTGTGCTCACTGTCACTCACACACTGACTGTGCAGAACCTCTGTGCTCACTGTCACTCACTCACTGACTGTGCAGAACCTCTGTGCTCACTGTCACTCACTCACTGACTGTGCAGAACCTCTGTGCTCACTGTCACTCACTCACTGACTGTGCAGAACCTCTGTGCTCACTGTCACTGACTGTCACTGACTGTGCAGAACCTCTGTGCTCACTGTCACTCACTCACTGACTGTGCAGAACCTCTGTGCTCACTGTCACTGACTGTCACTGACTGTGCAGAACCTCTGTGCTCACTGTCACTCACTCACTGACTGTGCAGAACCTCTGTGCTCACTGTCACTCACACACTGACTGTGCAGAACCTCTTTGCTCACTGTCACTCACTCACTGACTGTGCAGAACCTCTGTGCTCACTGTCACTCACACACTGACTGTGCAGAACCTCTGTGCTCACTGTCACTGACTGTCACTGACTGTGCAGAACCTCTGTGCTCACTGTCACTCACTGACTGTGCAGAACCTCTGTGCTCACTGTCACTCACTCACTGACTGTGCAGAACTCCTGTGCTCGCGGTCACTTACTCACTGACTGTTCTCAACCCCTGTGCCTGCTGCAACTGACTGACTGCAGTGCACTTTTGGTGCTCCTTGTTCTCATGCTGTGACTGCAGTGACTGAACTTCCTAGTTTTCTTACTGTGTGTTAACATGTTCCACTAAAGTCTTCATGGCAACACTATGGCAAACAGGAAGAAAGGCTAATGGATCAGCTTAATGATGATCTAAGCTCACCTGGACGCAAAGCTTTGCCTTGTGCTAGAGCTCCTTTCCGATCAACTTCTTGCCATTTCCTAACCAAAAAACGTAATCTACAAAGCAGGAAGACAAAAACACATTTAAGAATAAGAAATAACAAAAAATAAAATTTTAAAACAAAACAAAAAAGAATGCACAAATAAGCTGGGCACCCAGTGGCTCACTTCTATAATCCTAGCTACTCAGGAGGCTAAGATCTGGGGGTAGCAGTTCAAAGCCAGCCTAGACAGCAAAGTCTGTGAGATTCTGATCTCTAATTAAATACCAAAGAGTTGTGGCTCGAGTGCTATCCTTGAGCAAAAAGCCCAGGGATACTGCCCAGGCCCTGAGTTCAAGCTCCAGAACTGACATACAAAAAGAGTAGCGCAAATATAAAAGGCACAGTACCACCCTAACATGACTGACCAGCACTGGCCCCACTGCCTACAGTACACACAGAGCACCACTGTCTGGGTCAGTCAACGGGACCAAGATAGGCACACACAGAGACTGCTGGCCAAGCTGGCACATGGCACACAAACTTTCCCAATGCCACAGCCAACACCCAGATGAAGCCACCTTTGTCCCTAATATTGCCCATGCAACTGGGCCAAAATGTCACCAAAGCTTAGTCTAGTTTGATCAGACCCCAGTTCAAATTTGTCTGTGCCAGCAGTAACTAGGAAAAGCACACTGCTCCCACCTGGTCTTCCGTGTCTTCTGGGCTTCAGCCTCATTCAGATACTTAGCAACAGTTATGCACAGCACAATCTGTCTCTGTCTTTCCCTCTCCCTCCAGACAGGGTCTCCCTATGTAGCCCAACTGGCCTTGAGCTCAGGGGGTCAGTAGGCAGCACCAGTGGATCAAGGAAGTAGGTGGTCAGCATGGTATGTATGAGGGGCCCTGATGGCCCTGGTAGCGTGATCTGCAGACAAGGAGCATACGATAAGCACCTTCACGGCCCCTCAGAGGCAGCCCCCTCATGTGGGCAGAGGCCAACTGACTGAGGGACTACTGGCCTTGCCTCTTCATGAAGAAAGCCTGGGAAGCAGCCTCTCAGCCTGCTCCCCTTTGCCCATCACGCACTCAAGCACCACCTGGAAGGGAACATTCTCCCACAGATTTGGATGGACAGATGGGTACGTGGACAGTGGCCTAATGTCAGGACTCAGGTGTCCTGAGGCTTAAGCAGGCCCAAGCCCAGCCTCCTCCTGCCTCGTCCACCCCGCCAGGCCTCTCCTATCCCTCTCTGTCGGCAGCCACCTATGCACATTCCCTAAAGCAGTCTAGGAGCCTGGCGTGGTCTTAGGAAGGAACCTGTGGGCAGCAGCAGGAAGATACATGGTACTTGGGGAAACAAATGGGTTAGAAATTCAACAAACTTAAAACAATACCATGACATGAATTTTTACCACTGCTACTTTTGAAATAAAAGTTCCTATAGCAGGAAGCTATATTCATTGCAGAAAGGAGCCATGTGCAAATGGCTAGGGAGCACAAACAATGCTTCCAAAAAAAACCTAGAGGATGGATGTGAGGTGGACAGGACTTGGACCACAAGGCCCTTGGTGGCTGGTCAGGTCCCAGAAGTGCTTAGGCTCAAGGCTGGTATACTCTCAGTGCCAAGCATATTTTCACGCACCTGGACTTCTCTTCTAGGCCACAAATCTAACCAAAACACATAAACACTGCCAGGCATTTTATTCATCCATCAGAAAGAATACTATGTCATCTGTAAAGAAATACAAGGACTTGAAAAAAATTACACTAGGTGAAACCAGGCTCAGAGAGACAAATGGTGCACATTTTCTCTCACATACGGAATTAGATATAAATTAGAAATATGTGTAAAAACAAAGCTGGGCACTGGTGGTGGCTCACGCCTGTAATCCTAGTTACTCAGGGGGCTGAGAGCTGAGGATCATGGTTTGGAGCCAGCCCAGACAGTAAAGTCCATAAGACTCTCACCTCCAATTAACTACTCATAAGAAGCTGGAAGTGGCACTGCAGTTCAAATGGTAGGAGCGCTAGCCTTGAGCACAAAGAGGCTCAGGGACAGTACCCAGGCCCTGCGTTCAAGCCTCAGGATCGGCAAAAAACAAACAAAAACCCCCACAGAAACCAAATTTGCAAAGCTAAATATGATTTTTAAACACCATTTCGTAACGCCTGTTGACAAAAAAAAAAAAAAATCCTGGAAAAAAACTTACTAGGAGCAAATTGGTCCTTATAATAACAAAACTCAAAATCTTTAGCTTCAGAAATGACAGTTGTAGGGGCTGGGAAGATGGCTCAGTGGTAGAGCGCTTGCCTTGCATGCATGAGGCCCTGGGTTCCATTCCTCAGCACCACATAGGCAAAAAGAAAAAAGCCGGAAGTGGCGCTGTGGCTCAAGTAGTAGTTGAGCTGAAGAGCTGAGGGACAATGCCCAGGCCCAGAGTTCAGGCCCCACGACCGGACTCCCCCCAACCCCCCAAAAAAAGAAATGACAGTTGTACACAATTTTTCTTTCTCTCTCTGCGATAGGGTCTACTATGAAGCCCAGGCTAGTCTCAAACTTGTAACCCTTCTAAATGCTGGGATTACAGGCATATACTATCATGCCTGGTTGCAGCACAACTTCTTAAAAACAAGTGTCATCTATATTTGTTTTAAGGCTTCCAAGGCCACTCATCTTGAAAACACTGTAGAGATTTGAGGAACAAAGCCACCTAAAACCCAAGAGCACTTGCTGTCCACCCTTGGGATGCAACAGCCATTACCTAAGCACCGCAATGACCACCCTGACGGCAGTGCGAAACTTCGTAAAAGGACGAGATGCAGTGACTTTCTTATCTGCTTTGGAAGGAAAAACCCCCAAATGAGCAATCATGGAGAGGGTTTCTTGTTCAGAATCTTGGAATCCACCAATCAGCAGTAAAAGATACTTCTTTTGATAAATCAGAGCTTTCCTAAAGCTCTCTGCTCTCAGATAATGCAAGTACAATTTTTCCATCTAAGAGAAGAAAGAAAGAAAAAAAAAAAATGGTAAGACTTAATACAAGGAAACAGAGATATTCTGGCTGATCCTGCCATTCAGTACAACTGTACAGCTAGCTTTTGTGTTGGTTCTGGTTATGTCACCCAGGCTGGCCTGAGGCCAAGCCCCTCCTGCCGCTGCCTCCTCCATGGGGGGATTACAGGTGTGTGTCACCGTGCTTGACTGTATAGTTCATTTTTACCAAAAAGCCAAATTACTTGTGTATTCACAAACTATCACTAACTCAGCCATGCACATTTGTAGCCAGAAACAGTCCTTTTGTTGAAAGATGAACTGGGTTTATCAGACCAAGTTCGATACAAATCTACTGTCCATAGCATCATTAAATGAACCCAGTGAAGACCCTTGAATTTCTCTCCAAGTAAGATACAAAACGGGCTCAGAAGTCTCATCGTGCATTCCAGAGGACATGAAGTAAGAAATGACACCATGTGCAAAATCGGAACTTCACAGTTTGAGATCCAAAACTTGAAAATCACTTTTCCTTCTGGTGGATTCCCAGCTAAGCCACACTCGATGCTACCAACCAGCTTATCACTGGAAGGGCTTTCTCTGGCTATAGAGACCATCTGATTCACTCAAGCACTACATTTTCCACCCTAAACCTTCATACAACCAGACCAAGTTTCAGATTCAAGTTGATGCTGTAACTTTCTTTCCTCATGGTGATCACTTTAGTGATACTGCCTTGGTCACTTGGTAGCAAACACAACCAGGAAATGAGGTTACCTCACTGTTCACAAAAATGCTTTTGCTTGCAATTCACCAGCACAGGTTATAAAGCACCACTGATGTGCTGCACCTCCAGCACCTCACGGGCTCAGTCTCACCCTGACGTGGCAGGTGTCTGTGTCCTCACTCACAGGCAGCGTGGGCTGTCCAAGGTTTGAGTGTCCTGGTGAAATCGGCAAAGCAGCCCCATCTTGCTTCCACGCACATCTGCCCGGCCTCTGTAACATACCAAAGCCAGCACTCTATAAAGTTGTTCTTAAGTAAGAACACCCTGAGCAAAATAATTAAGACAGGAGACACAGAAACCTCAAGGGAGGAAGGCATATTTTAAAGACCCTGTTGCTTCCATGACTGGCCAATGTCTTCTGACCAGACAGAGAGAGCTGGGGCATGCACGATGCTAGGTATACATCTCCCACAGGCCCGGATCCAAGAGCTGAACAAATGTGGAGTGCATACTATGTGTCTGTGTCCCTTGTTACCTTCAGCATCTTTTCTTTTCTTCTTTTTTTTTGTTGGTTGTGGGGCTTTCCTGGGGTGCTGTCCCTGAGCTCTTTTGCTCAAGGCTAGCACTCCACCATTTTGAGCCACAGCACCACTTCCAGTTTTCTTGGTAGTTATCTGGAGACAAGAGTCTCACAGACTTTCCTGCCTAGGCTGTCTTCAAACTGTGATCCTCAGATCTCAGCCTCCTGAGTAGCTAGGATTACAGGCCTGAGCCACGGGCACCCAGGTCAGCATCTTTTCAATGGTGGTCAAGTTATATATTACCACATCATTAATATTTAGGCTATACTTATGACCCACCATTTACACCATACACAAGAAACATTTTAGTAAAAACAAAGAAGTATCAACAAAGTAACTCCAAATTCTAAGCTTCAAGTCTTAAGTACCTTGGGTCTAGCAAATGCAAATACCTATTTCTGCTGCAGCACTATCAAATCACATATCTAAAGCTTCGTAGATGTGAGAGGAGTCACTCCAGACAGAGGCATGTACAAAAGAACTGACCAGCCACCAAACATCAGGGGCTCAAGATCCCTTCTTGTACACACCTGAAGGGGGACCCCGTGGTGAAAGAACAGAGAGGGCATCAGAGCCGATGTTCACGACCTGCCCTTCATGTGGCCAGCTGCCAGCACGGAGCAGTGAGGACAGCCATCAGGCAGGCTGGCCATGTCAACACACAAGCCCCCTCCTGTGGGCATACCAGAAGCCAAGATGCTGTGAGCCCAAAGCAGGCCCTGACAAGGGAGAAGTCAAAGAAGGTATGAGCTGTATAACTACAGAGTGCAGTTTCAGGAAAGAACCACTCTGGCAAAAGCAAGTCATATTGAACATGAAGGAGAAAGGTACTCTATCAGTTCATTTAAAGTCCACAGTCAATTCATGCATTCAAAGAAAATGTCATGATCTGGGAGAACACAGTGACTCATGCATGTAATTCCAGCTATTCAGGAGGTAGAGATTGGGAGGATCATGGTTTGAAGCCAACCCAGGCAAAAAGTGAGAATCATCTCAACAAAACAGAGCAAGATGGCATCTCCTTGTAATCTCAACTACAAGGGAAGCATAGGTAGGAAGTTACCAGCCTGGGGAAAAAAAAGTAAGATCCTATCTGAAAAATAACAATAAAGTCAAAAGAGCTGGGGGGCATGGCTCAAGTGGTAAAGTGACCGCCAAGGAAGCACAAAGGCCAAGTTTTTAAACCTCACTATTGCCAATAATAACACGGTAACAAATATTACCTGCTAATGATTATTCACACTCATATACAGTGTCCTACCAGTGACCAGAGTCACACAGGCCTAACATGGTGCCCTCCACACACAACTCCAAACCACCCGGAGCGAGCACCAGCAGCTTGAGAATGAGGTGCTCACAGTCCTCAGGCAATCCCAAGCTCCTCAAGTCTGGGGATTCCACCTGTGGGTCTGCCTGGCAGTCAGACCCAAGGCCATGGGTACAGAATTCCCATCACCTTTACCTATCAGCAAAGCTCCAGAGTAGACCAAGCAAAGAAGATACAGGTGGGCGAAAAAACAGACACACACTCTACTGCTAACCAGCAGAACAGCATGAGGAAGTTCAGATGACCATGAAAGACGGAACTTACGTGTCAAGCCAACTGTATAGATAGACAGCAGAGCCCTCCAGCACTCCCATGTGGACCTTCACCAAGAAAGACAAAATGATAGGACACAGAGCAACCCTTTTAGTTTTAGGGAGCTAAAATCAATCAAAACATTTTCTCACAATAATGGACTTACGCCCAAAATCGAAAGTAAGAGGTTATCTGCTTGGAAGTTAAAGAATATCCTAGTAAAATAAATAAATGCAAGGGGTAAAAAAGTGCCAGGAGAAACCACAACAATTTGAACTGAATTAAAATGAAACTAGAACATATGAAAACTGCAGCCGTGTGGAGGGAAACAGTACTGGGTGCTTATATGATACTTTTACAAAAACAAAGAGCAGAATGAAGGAAATAATACAAATTATCAAAAAGTCTACAGAGAATGCTATGAAACAGAAAAGCTAGTTGTTAGTGAGAAAAAATTAAAACTTGTACAAAAAGGCCACAACATGAGAAACTGTGATATAAGTGTTCTCTGCTGCTAGCTCCTGACAAAACTACCAAGAATCTTTGTCCTCTTATTTGGTCTCCAGTTCCTGACACAGAGGTCCCAAGGCCATCATCATTTCCTGAGTGAAAGGAGGGTCTTTAGTTCTAGTGAGGCCTCCTGAGAAGCTGGCAGCCTAGCATGGGGTCAGAGAATCAACCAGTCAACTGTGTAATTACAGACTCTTGATCAGATCACCAATGGCCAGTGTTTATTCCCGTTACTCCACCTTGACTACAAAGGAAGCTTCCATAAAAGCACAAGGTGGAGCTGGGCACCAGGGGTTCATGCCTATAATCCTAGCTACTTAGGAAGTTGAGATCTAAGGATCACAGTTCAATGCCAGCCCAGGTAGGAAAGTCCGTGAGGCTCTTATCTCCAATAAACCACTAGAAAACCAAAAATGGTGCTGTGGCTCAAGTGGTAGAGTGCTTGCCTTGAGCTGAAGAGTGGAGGGGCAGCGCCCAGACCCAGAGTTCAAGACCCATGATTGACCAAAAACAAAACAAAACAAAACACAAGGTGGTTGGGGACAGAGCTCCATAAGTCCCTACTTAGCATGCACAAGGCCCTGGTTTCAACATTCAGCACCTCCAAAAGACAAGACAAAACAAACAAGGACAGAGTGCAGGGAGTTTCTAGGTAGTTGGAAAAAACTATGTTAGGTGAAATCAGGCTCAGTGAGACAAACGGTGCATATTTTCTCACATATGGAATCAGATATAAATTATAAACATATATAAAAACAAAGCTCGGCACTGGTGGCTCACACCTGTAATTCTAGCTACTCAGGGGGCTGAGAGCTAAGGATCATAGTTTGGAGCCAGCCCAGGCAGCAAAGTCCATGAGACTCTCATCTCCAATAAATTACTCAGAAAAAGGCAGAAGTAGTGCAGTGGCTCAAGTGGTAGATCACTAGCCTTGAGCATAGAGGCTCAGGGACAGTGCCTAGGCCCTGAGTTCAAGGCCACAAAGTCTGGCACCAAAAAAAGAGAACTCTGAAAAATAAAGAACTAAGGGAAGGGCACAGTGGCTCATGTCTACAATCCCAGCTACTTAGGAGGTGGGATTGAGAGCATTAGTTTTTTGTTGTAGTTATTTGTTGCTTTTAAACAGAGAGGTAACAGAGCTTTTTTTAACCAAGAGAAATAAAGGCTGCTCAGAGGAGTGAGCAGTAGGACAGAAACCAGTTCTTCCAGCATCTTTTTTGTTTTGTTTTATTATAAAACTGATGTATAGTCTGGTTATAGTTACGTAAGTCAGGTAATGAGTACATTTCTTTTAAGATAGACTCATTCCTTCCTTCAGTCTCTCCCAGTTTTTCCCTCCCATCCCAAGCTTCAAGTTGCTTAGTTCACTTTCAACATAGTGTCCAATGAGTACCACGATGCATTTGTTCGCCCTTTGTTCCTCCATTTCTGTGCCTTCCCTTAACCTCCCAAAAACAGATAAGTGAACAAACAAGACCAAAAGAAAATAAAACAAAATCAGCAACACAGAAAAAAAAAACCCTCTTGTTCCCACTTCTTAGAGTTCATTTTATACGATCAGAGGCAACATAAATGTTGTGCCTTTCTCTGTGTGTGAGTGTCTAGTATCCTATATAATTTTCCATGTCCCGATGTAATTTTAGATCTAGCTTCCACATATGAGAGAAAATGGGAGCATCATAGTTTAAAGTCAGCCCGGAGAGAGAAAATAAGACCTCATCTCAATCAACTCGCTGGAACAGTGGCTTATGCCTGTCATACCAGCTATCTAAGAGGTTGTAGGTAGGAGGACTGCAGTCTTAGGCCAGCCTGGAGCAAAACCGTGAGACCTTTTCTGAAGAGTAACTAAGGGGAAAAGGGCTGGAGTGTGCCTCAAGTGGTACAGTACTTGCTAAGCAAGTACAAAGCCCTCACCTTATAATGCAAATTAAAATTCTCAAAACAAAAGACTAAGAAAACAGAAATTCATTTCAAAACAAAGATACTACTCTGGAACACTGAGCAAGAGTTCACTAGAAGGGACAAGGCCTGCAGGGACAAGCAGGTCTGGGAAGAGGCCCAGCTCTTCAGTTCTTGTCAAACAGCTGCCAGAGGGAACAGACGGTTACTATTTGGAGTCAGCTGGCAGGGGCTGTGTCCGAGTAGGCAGTACGTACACTCAGAGAACAGCCTCTCTGCACATGGTGCTTCAGAGTCCTCTCCAGCCTGGACACTGCCCTGCACAGCTCCGCTTTCTCCCGAGTAGCTGTGCTGACAGCTTGTGTAAGAGAGTTGTTGTCTTTCAGTAGCACATCCATGAGCTGGACTTGTAGCTCTGCTGTCACTTTTTTCTTGAGAAAAAGAAAACATACAAGTTTACCATAATTATAAATTATGTCACTATTTCAGTGATTATAATTTTAAACACATTTGGAGTTTGAAAGGAGGCTTACAGTGCTAAGTGTGGCTATCCATCCATGGGACAGGAAATAAGCTAATGTATCCTATCTCTTCTCAGTCCAGTACACAGTAGGATACAGGCCCATTACAAAATCTAAGAGTATCATAAACTCAGTCGGCACTTTACAATACCACTGCTTACTTTGAGGGGTCAAATGATCTCCACAACTTGAACCCTCAGCCTCCAGAGGGGTGGCATTGAAGAGAGGGATGGGACATGCCCCACCCACCATCCCATGACTGACAATCAGTAAGTGGAGGGCCAGCAGGTGGCGCAGCTTCCCTGACTCCAGACACCATGCTGTGATTTCACAAGTGTTGAGGATCTGTGAATATCTACAAAAGTCACTTGTGGTGAGCTTAGGACTTCCTGAAGGGTCAGGTTTGCATTCCTGAGGACAGTTCTCAGAAGAAACAGACAGAGCAGGCAGGCCTCTTGACCTCCCCAGAACAGAGTTACCACTCCTTTGGACCAGTGGCCTCTGAGGTAACCTGGACCTACAGTGAAGAACATCGAGATCGTATGTGTGCGTAGCACTGTTGAGCCCCAGAGAGCACAATATGGAAGTCATATGGCACCCACAAGGTCATACAGGGTAAGTAACCACTCAAACTCATCCACACAAGGGAGGAACCACTGATGAACAACCCAGCAGAAATCACAAGCTGCGACCGTGTGACCACCCTGCCCATGTGTGTGCACTCAGCACTGGCCCCTCTACCAAGGAGAGTGGTACCCCACAGCAGGAGGATCCCGCTGTACCTGGGAGGAGGCAGGCATGCTCAGCTCAGACTTCAGTTCCTCCAGCGTGTGGACTAAGGATGATACCGCCTTCTCATTGGATGATGTCCAGTCATTCATTGTCCTGTGAAGGTTCATACAGATCCAAATTACTATCACCCTCAGTAATTCAAGAGCTCTCTGCCACAGAGACAAAGGAAGTGCATGTGTGCACTATCCCTGAGACCCAGGAGCGCTGCCCTGAGCTCAGGGCTCGCACATGAGGGTGAGTGGCTTCAGCCAGCATTCCTGCCCATAAAGTGGGTCTGGGAAGCCTCTGACCTCAGCACAGCAGCAAAGCAGTCTGTAATCTGATCTGCAGCAGGGCCTGCAAACAGACACTCCTGAGAGGCTCAGAAACCTCTAGCTATCTGCCCTGGGCAGTGGTGCCTGGGTACTGTCATCCTCACGTTTCTGTGTTCCATTGGGATTCTGTTCTGTCCAACTACTAAAAGTGCTCTCCAAATTAAACCATTAAAGTATGCTGCTATATAAATTACACAGATGGGGAAAGTCCACTATCTGCATTTCTGCAGATAGGAAAAAGGCAAATACCTACATAACTTTTCTGCTCACTTTGCACCACAGGTACAACTCGAGAATGGGTGAGTTTGCAGCCTAAGTGTGAGTGGTCACCTGAGGCCCAACAGTGGTGTAGCTATGGCACCTCACTCTTGGTGAGCACAGGGCGGGAAGAGAACACAGGATGGGAGCAGCCATCCCAGTCCTTTGCCTGGTACAGGGGAGACCAATCTAAAGGAAACTTGGAAGACACAGTTGGATGTGCTGTGGCTCTCAAGATTTTTTTTCCCTACTGTAGAAAATAGTTTTGTTGGTGTCTTTCAGGAGGTCTCTGACTATTAGTTCACTCATGGGAGGAGAACTGGAGTGTCAGGCTATTAAAACACAGCTCTAGAATCAGAGATCGCCCACACTTCACAATGTAGTACAAACAGGTGTGTGAGGGGCTGGGGAGTGGTGCACTGGTGGTGCTCAGCACCACACACTCACACCTGTCCACGGTGTGGTTGACAAAGCTAGTCAGAAGCCCGGCCACACAGAGCAGCTGCTGCCTTATCTTCTCCAGCTCCTGCTGCTGCTCCTGGAGACGGCCCAAGTCCAGGGCACCCAGACGGGAGTCGTCACCCCAAGGGACCTCTTCTTTCCACCGCAGCTCTTTCACCTTCTGCTGAAGTTGCTTGATCTTATGCTCATCGCGTTGGTGCTGTAACTCTAATTCTCGCTGTTGGCAATAGCAAAAAATAACATAAGAAAGACCTCCTTCACAGTTTTCCACTTTGGTTAGGCCAAAAAATGCAGCAGTATACAAAGGAGGCCTCTGGCATACAAGACGGTGTCCTGAGGTGGTGATCACACTCTACTCTTGGACCCTCCAACAGGATCCTGCCAATGACTCCACTGAACCATTCAGCATCGCTGGGAGAGCTTTCTCCTCAGGCAGCCTAACAACACTTGTCTCGTCTTTGCTCTTGAGGATGACTAAGCTCCCGCCATTTATAAGGGAAGTCCTGTGCTGCTGATACAGGAAGGAGCTGCACTTATACTAGTGCATAGCCATGCATGTATACACAACTAGCTCAAATATTCCCTTCAGCACAAGCACATGCATCTAACTGTGTGCGCGCCTCTCAGGGGAGCCTGCACTGAGCACTAAGGACTGAGCTGCTGGCAGCCATCAACCTTCCTTTATGAAATGGAGGCGAGTGAGTCTGCTCAACGCTGCAGCATGGTGGAGGGACCAGGACTGTATTGGTTTCCAGGATTAATTTGTTGACAGGCACTGGAGCTGCCTGCACCAAGTTTGACTCTACACTGGGCAAGGAACTGGAGTTAAACAACCGTCAGGGAGAGGCAGCTCAGAGACATGTCCGGGATGGCCAAGGTAGCCTCAGAAAGGTCACTGGAGAATCCTAGTGGCACTATAGGAGACACAGTATGAAGAACTGGGAAAGCAGGAGATAGGCATAGATGAACCTACCGTAGTGAAACGAGACCCCAAGGCCAGACAGAAGAGCTGGAGAAGATCTGAGGGAATCCTTCTAATCTGCACACAATGCTCAGAGACAAGGAGTAAGATATACAAATGCCCCCTCCTGACAGCACCACCACAGCTTAAACTCCATCAGCAAGCAAATATTACTCTATCTTCCAGGTGAAGAAACTGAAGTTTGTACTGCTTAGAAGAGATGACTCTGGACTTGCAAGGCCCTCCTTGGGTCTCTGGAAACCCCGGATGGAAAATGGTTCTAGAGTGGGGTGCCAGTGGCTCAGGCCTACAATCCTATATTCAAGAGACTGAGACCTGGAGAATGGCAGTTTGAAACCAGCCTGGGCAGAAAAGTCTGCGAGGTTTCAGCTCTAATTAACCAAGCAAAACACTAGACTGAAGGCATGACTCAAGTGCTAGAGCACCAGCCATAAGCTGGTGTCATTCATTAAAAAAAAAAAAAAAAGCAACAAAAGGATTTGTTGGAAACTTCACATAAAGCTTGGGAGAAATTTCTAGCAAAGGACCACTGAGAACTACTCTAGCTCGAGAACTCGTCCAGGGACAAGAGCACCAAGATCCAGATCACAGCCACCTGTTGCACTGCAACTACACCGGGTTCTATCTAACCCAGAAGGAGCCCAGGGCTGCTTGACTGATGGTCTCTCTACACAACCTCCATGGCTGCAAACACTCCCAATGACCTCACTGTCATGCCTCCTACACTCCCTACTATCTACACTGTCTGCACTTCCTGCTGTCCACAGCTTCCTATGTCCACATTTCCATTACTCCACGATCCACACTGCCAATCTTCCAGCCATCACCACTGTCAACACTCGCACTGTCCACACCTTCAGTCTTCCCCACCACTGACACAGCCGACCTCCTTACCATCTACACACCTCCAAACATCTCCCTTTTCTCTGTATCTGCAAACCATCCTCCTATCTTTCTATAACTTCTAGTGATAAAATACTATTGTTTTGGAGGGTTTTTTTCTTTTAAAACAACAAGAAAATAGTCTCCTCTGCTTGTGTCATCAGGAAACTTGCTTGTATAACATCTTGTTATATAAGTGGGCACACACTGCATTTAGGACAGTGTATGAGTGTCCTAAATGGACAGTCTACAAAACAGGGCTGGCCCTGGCAAAGGGCAGGGACTGCTCAGCAGAGGCTCCACTGATAGATGAGAACTTTCTGAAACTATTATGACAGTTCCAACTTCTAGTATGCTCAAAACACTAAGGTGTCCAACTTAAACTGAGAAACTCAAAAGTATGTGAATTGTCTTGTGAAGTTAAAAAAGAATTATCAAAATGACATCACTGATATGAACTTACAAAACTAATACTGTAATATTTTGGGTTGACTTAACCTTGAAAATATTAAAAACCTGGAGCTTGGCTTTTAGAAGCAGATCTTCTTTTCTTAACTGGCTCATGGCAAGCTAAGACCTTGGAAAAGGACAGGCCACTGGCTTTACCTCTGTTGTTAAAAAACTTTTTTAAAACATCACAGAATATAAAAAGTTACGATTTTAAACAATACAAAACAAGTGCCAATCCAAAAGAAGACATTCAACGTCATTTGAAATAGAAGCTTTTGTTTCTATCAAATATATCTGAGAACTGACAGAATATCTTTTTAAAAGAGAAAGAGAGGGGCTGGGAAGGTGGCTCAGTGGTAGAGTGCTTGCCTTGCATGCATGAGGCCCTGGGTTCGATTCCTCAGCACCACATAAGCAGAAAAAGCTGGAAGTGGTGCTATGGCTCCAATGGTAGAGTGCTAGCCTTGAGCTGAAGAGCTGAGGGACAGCACCCAGGCCCAGAGTTCAGGCCCCATGACTGGCAAAAAGAAAAGAAAGAAAGAGAAGAAGAAACAACCTGTGAGTTCACTGCTATTCTAACACTATTATAAGAAAAACTACTTACCACATTATAAGAAACTACTAACCAGTATTGCTCATGAGCACAGATGCCAAAGTCTTCAACATGATACTAGCAAACGCAGTACAGCAGCAAATAAAATCACTTTCTGTAACCAAGACACTTGTCCCAGGAATGAAAGGATGGCTCATTAGGTGGAAACCAATCACTGTTATATTCAATTATAAAGTAAAAGACAAAAACCATATATCTGAATAGACTCTGAAACAAACATGAGAAAAATCTATCATCTTTTGTAAATAACTAACTGGATGGACAGGTAGATGGACGGACAGACAGACATATAAAAGATAGAGAGAGGAAGTTGCAGAGAGCCAGTAGCTCACATCTGTAATCTCTTAGCTACTTAGAACGAATTCTAAGGATGTGTGGCTCAAATGGTAGAATACCGGTCAAGAGTGAAAAGGTCAAACAGCTTGCACAAGGTTCTGAATTCAAGCCCTGGTACAGTCACATACACATGTGTACACACACACAAAGGGCAGATTACTAAGGATAAAGTCTAATAAAGTGTACCACAAAAGTCTAACAGCTAAAATATCCAATCATAGGGGCTGGGAATGTGGCTCAGTGGTAGAGCACTTGCCTTGCATGCATGAGGCCCTGGGTTCGATTCCTCAGCACCACATAAGCAAAAAGAAAAAAGCCGGAAGTGGTGCTGTGGCTCAAGTGGTAGAGCGCTAGCCTTGAGCTGAATTGCTGAGGGACAGCATCCAGAGTTCAGGCCCCATGACCAGACCCCCCCCAAAAAACCCAAAAAAATAAAAAATAAAATAAATAAAATATCCAATCATAAACAGCTGGAAGCCCCAACCCCAGTGCAGGAGTAAGGCAAAGGAGTTGGTGCTCACCCCTTCTGCCCAACCCTGGGCTACTGGTTCCAGTAGAGCGACCAGCAGGAAAAGAGAGCAAAAGACAGCAGACTGCAAAGAAAGATGTATTTTTCTGAGACAAGGTCTTGGTATGTAGCCCCGTCTGACCTTGAACTTACAATCCTCCTGCCCTACCCTTCTAAGTGCCGAGATTACAGCCATTTGGATCCATATCATCTTATATACAGAAAATCCCTTTAAAAAGTAAGAAAACTGTAGTAACTATAATCCCTCTGTACATCACTCCTACAATAACAAACATATTTAATAATTTTTAAAAACTACCATTAATAAACATTCAGCAAGGTTGAAGGACATACAAAAGTTAATTGTATAACAATCTATACACTAACAAGAGCTTTAAAACAAAATTAAAACAATTTCATTTACAGACAAATCAACAAATAAAAAACCACTCTTAACTAAATTCACTAAGAGTATAAAGCTCATGTTCAGAAAACTGCATAAGACTGTAAAGAACTACAAAACTAGACCAACATCTGTGATCAGGGATCAGAAGACTCACACTGGTTAAAATGTCACAACTATCCAACACAATCTACAGATTACATGCAATCTATATCAAAATCCCAGGAGTCTCTTTTTTTTCCCCAGAAATGAAAAAGCCACCTGGAGATGGTGGCTCACACCTGTAATCATAGCTACTTAGGAAGATGAGATCTGAGGATCTGCAGTTCAAAGGCAGTCTGTGCAAGACAAGTCAGTAAGACTCTTATCTCCAATTAAGACTCTTATCTCCAATTAACCACCAAAGAGCCAGAAGCAGAACTGTGGCTCACATGGTAGAGCACTAACCTTGAGCAAAAAAAGTTCAGGGACGGCACCCAGGCCCAAAGTTCAAGCCCAGGACCAGCAAACTCATGTGGCATGCCTGCATAGGTATACTTGCACATACACAAAAGGAAGGGAAGGAGGGAGGGAGGGAGGGAGGGAGGGAGGGAGGGAGGGAGGGAGGGAGGGAGGGAGGGAGGAAGGAAAGGAAGGAAAAGGCCAAACTTCCAATTCACATGGAACTACAAGGAGTCCAAGTAGTCAAATGTCTTGACAAGTAACGGTGGTTCTAGTTGAAAACTGCTACAGTGCTGGAGTATTCCACATACAGTGCTGCCTCAAGACTGCACAGATCTGAAGCAGTACGAGGCAGCCAGGAATAAGCTCACACAGGCCATCCTAACTCTACAATAACCTGGGGCTCTGACTCAGGATCTGCACTTAGGAGGCTAGGGCAGATGTCTCTCAACAGCTTCTCCTGACCTCTCCACCACCTCGTCCACATCTCTGCTTTGACTTTACGGGCTCAGCACTGATCTCCTCTCATTTCAGTGTCCTTGCTCTGACTCTATGGATAACTACACTACTTCTACTTATAACCAAGTGATCTCTCCCCCTCTTTGTCCCAAGACAGCATCATCTCAGCCCATTTCTGTGTCTGCAGAGTGGCCATGGGGTAGCACTTGCCTCCTTCTCTCTCCTGAGTTCAGCACAGCGCTCCTGAGCCTGGGCCTCCAGCTGCTGCTGTGCCTGGGTGGCCTGCTGTTGCACTTTCTCAAGCATGGCCTGCAGCTCTAGTGTACGAGCCTTCTCTGACTTCAGCTTTCGCAGTAAGTTATGGTGTCCTTGTGTCTCCTGGCGGGCACAGGCCTCCTGCACACTGCGGCTCAGCTGTTCTGTCAAGAGCCGCTCATGCTGCAAGGCCTCCAGCAGCTCCGATGAGTGACTCTTCTCAGCTTCCAGGCTCTTCTGAAGCTCGCAGAGCTGGCTCTGTTCCTGTGCCAGCAAGGCCTCACAGCGTGAACACTCAATTTGCAACTCTTTCTGCAGGTTGTCTTTGGCTGTGCGTTCGTGTTTTAATGCAACACACAGTTGACTATTTTGAGAACGTTGCTTCTCTAAAGTTATTTTTAACTCCTACATTCGTGGGGGGAAAAAATCAACAAGATAGTAAACAATGAGGAAAGTAAACAGTTTCCCTACTCAAACTTTTTTTTTTTTTTTTTTTTGTCAGTGGTGGGGCTTGAACTCTGGGCCTGAGCACTGTCCCTCAGTTCTTCAGCTCAAGGCGACCACTCTACCACTTGAGCTACAGCACCACTTCTGGTTTTCTGGTGGTTTATTGGAGATAAGAGTCTCATGGGCTTTTCTGCCCAGGCTGGCTTTGACCCTCAATCCTCAGATCTCAGTCTCCTGAGTAGCTAGGGTTACAGGCGTGCGCCATCGGCGCCCAGCTCCTACTCAAACTTCTGCTGATACATTTTCTTTTTGTGTGTTTTCCTCTAAAAGTTATTTTTAAGTAGCTGTACAAAGGAGTTGCCATTCAACTGTGTAGTGTATAAATACAATGACTCGATCAATGTCACCCGTCATCATTCCAACCATTAATTGTAACTTCTGAAATCCATCCAGTGAGTGAAAGTATGCACGAGACGTTTTCTGCATGGATAAAGTGCTATTTGGAAAGTGGTGTTGAGTATATGCAGACACATACCCTGATTCAGATATGCCCCATAAACCACAACTTCCTCGATTTTCAGTGGCTTGAGTCTATGTTGGTAGAAGATACACTCTGTAACCCATGGTTGGTGATCTATAGAACACATGGTGGACCTGCATGGCATCCAGGATCTGTGTGCCTACCACTTATCTACATTACAGACAGACCTCAGAGGCTATATATCACCCAAGGTTGCAAAGGAACCCTGTGTCTACCTCCCAGAACCAAATCTTCTAGGACCAAGAAAGCAACGCACCACGGCTAGTTGCCACAGCTATCTGCCTCACTGTGGCTCTGTCACTATATGGCACGATTTTGCCTTGTGGTAACATCTCTATCTCACCACCTCAAGTTCCTGTCACCTTGGTAGAGTACAAACTGGGCTGCCATCAACAAGTATACAAAAGAAAGGCAGGAAGGCCTGTGTCTGTTCCCAGAAGCACTGGCCAGGACAGCTCGGCCCCAAGAGCCAGTCACCTCCAAGGCCTTGGAGCTCTGGCCCTCCCACTGAAGGTGCCGCTGCCGCTCTTCCTCCCACTGGGCCTGGAGGGCTTGCTCCTTCCTGTGCTCACACTCCAGCTCCTCCAGAGCAGCCTTCAGGTCATTCTCCTTCCCATCCAGCATGGACCTGTGTAGGGATATAGACAGCATGGAAGCCCAGGTCAAGGATGGGCTTCAACAAGGTTGGAAAGCTGCTCTGCCACTCCCCCTCCTCTCTGTAGCTCTCATTCCCATACTGAAGCCCAAAGGCTCCTACAGCCAGTCATAACAAACCCAGTTCCTCTGGCAGATGATGCTGTTCAGGGTCGTACCTCAGCTGGAGGATTTCCCGCTGCATCTCACCAAGGGATTCCAACAGCCTTGCGTTCTCCTGTTTATACTCAAGCAGCTCCAACTTCAGCTCCTGCACCGTGCTCTGCTCTGCAACCAGGCGCTTCCGGACATCACTTACTTTCTCTTGTTCTTTGCCCAGGGTTTTCTGTAAGTCACTTACTATACACTTTTCCTGCTCAACTTTATATGCCAATAGTTCAACTGAGAAAAATTAAAATGTAAACAACATTATGAATCCCAAGTGCACAAAACAAATTAAGTTACAAATGAAACTGATTAGACAGATATGTGTTCCAGTGGGAGAAAGCTGACACTTCCGTGAGCTGAAGCCACGCTTGCGAGGGAGCATGCTCCTTTTTCTTTCTCACTAGGCGTCACTTTCTTGGTCAGGACATGTCCCTAAAGCCATTCCTGCACAGGTGCTGGCCAACCCCACCATATACCACTCACAGGGCAATTCAAATCCCACATGGTATCACTGACAAATTCTAAAGAACAATAGCTCCAGTTCTGTACAAACTCCCTGGAAACACAAGGACAGGGGATACGTCCCAGTGCTCACAAGGCTAGAAAAGGGCCTAAGAGAAAGAACACTACAGACTAGGTCCACAAAACATTCCCGAGTGCAGCCCAGACATGCATGCTGCACTCCAGCTCAGCACTGGCTGTTTCACTAACAAAATCCAAACATGAACACAGGTTCTTCCTCACTGACCCCATAAGCAGTGGGAACAACACAGTGCCAGGAGACAGGGCCTAATCAGCATAGAGGCAGAAGGGAGGCAAGTTGGCAAAGACAAATTCCAAACTCCAGTGCAAATGCCTAAGAGTCCCACACATATAAAGGTGAAGGCCCTTCAGACCCTGCAACCCTTAGGGGCATGCTCCCGGAGCCCTGCATCGAGGACCTAGCAGCCAGATTTTTTCAGTGTGCAGTACAGGACAGTGTCAGGGGTGGCTAGAAGGCCATACTGCACCAACTAGTGGGAGCAATGGCACCCACCTTGCCTACGAAGCTGGTGTTCCCGCTGACTCCCGCGGGCCTCTGAACTCGTCAGTGCTGTGCATAACTGCTGCAGTTTCTCCTGGTTCTGCAGGTGCGTCATGCGCAGCTGAGCCCGAAGGGCCTGGATCTCGGACAACAGGCTGCTCCTATCTGGTGGGAAAAGGTGTTCCTGGGGCTTCTCCTTCAGGTCCCCCTGTGGATGGAGAGCAGCAGACTCTGTGTGATGCACTGGAGGGCAGGTGCTAGGGCTAGGAACACAACCTATGCCACATAGTCCACCTTCCCAAACCCAAGCTTCCAGTGAGACTAGAACATTTTGTATGTGGTGTGAACATACAGCATGGTGCACAACAGTCCAGGGATTTAGCTACAGGCCTGACACCTCACCCACAACTCAAACTCCTTGTCTGGTGTCTGAGGGAAGTAATGTACATGGGATTTCTGGTGACCTTTGTGTGGTGTACTCAGCAGCCCAGGCAGCCCATGGTCACTGAGAGACAGGTTCCAAGGAGGATCTGCAGAGCTCGTCAGAGCTCACAAATAAAAATACTGCATTAGCTGAGCGCTGGTGGCTCATGCTTGTAATCCTAGCTACTCAGGAGGCTTGAGATCTGAGGATCACGGTTCAAAGCCGGCCCGACAGGAAAGTCCGTGAGACTCTATCTCCAATAAACCACTAGAAAATCGGAAGTGGCGCTGTAGCTCAAGCAGTAGAGCGCTTGCCTTGAGCTGAAGAGCACAGGGACAGCGCCCAAGCCCATAGTTCAAGCCCCACAACGGACAAAACAAAAACAAAAAACAAAAACCTGTATTACACTAGGTTTCCTTAACCACTTGTAACCACATTCCAAGGTTAAGAAGAGTATGTGACCCCAAATTCACACATGAAATATTCTCTTATCTTCTCTAGAAGAGCCAGGCTCCTGTCAGGAAAATCAAGGCCTAGACAGAGCGGTTACTCACTTGTTCTTGGATAATCTTCTCCAGCCTCTTGAAAAGGGAACTGTAATCTTGCAGGTCTGAGCTGCAAGATCTGGGCTTCAGCTCTTTCTCAAACGCCTCTTGCACAGCCTGCAAAAGCCCACCACTCCAGGCAAGGCAGGTGTCAGAAGGTTCCTGCAAAGGCCAAACAAGGACTTCAGTGCCAGGCTGGTGTGGCTCAGTGGTGAAGGCTTGCTAAGCACATAAAATCTGCTTCACTTCCAGCACCACAAAAGCAGACAGGCTGGGTAATCCTAGCTACCCAGGAGGCTGAGATCAGGCGAATCAAAGTTTGTCAGCAGAGGCAAAAAATTTGTAAATCCAATCTCAATTTTTTAGAAACAAGCTGAGTATGGCGATTTCAATCAACTTTTTAGAAAAAAAGCTCTGTGTGATGGCATGTGTCTGCTGTACATGAAAAACACTAATAGGAAGGTCAAAGCTGGCCAGGGGCAAAAGCAAGACCCCATGCAAGAAATCATAAAAGCTAATGATGGAGGCATGGCTCAAGCAGTAGAGTACCAGCCTAACAAATACAAGTCTCTGAGTTCAAACTCCAATACCAAAAAAGAATCAAGAAAAAAACAAACCAGCACCCCACCAGCATACCCTACAAATCCCGTGGACTGAATGTGTCCCCGACAGTCACTGTCCTAGGAACCCAAGGCCTCCTTAGAGCTCAGTGTGGTCACAGCTAGGCTCTGACCCCAGGGGGCGAGAGCTTTAACTATGAGAAGGTAGAGGCCCCACAGTGCCTTTTCTGATGCAGTGAGGAGGAGGACACCTCACCAGAGTTGAACTATGCTGGGCCCGGATCTGAATCCCAGCCTCCAGATCAGTCAGAAGTAAATGTCTTTTGTTTAAGTTGTCTAATTTTGATGCCTTGTCATGGCAGAAGAAGAGGCAAATGGGCACCCAGCACCATGCAGGATGAACAAGGCAAATGCTACTGCCACAGAAAGTGCCACAAGAAAGAAGATAGTGAAATGAGGCCAAAAGAGATACTAGAAAACATCTCTCCTTTTCCTCCTACTGCTATCCTGTGAGGACCTGGTCTAGAGAGGCCCAAGGCTAACTACGCCTGTTGCACTGAGTAGCTGGAAACCTCCAAAGGCCATGACCAGAAGCTAATGTGTAACAGCTCAAGGACCCGGTGGCATGACCACAGCACAAGCAAATCCTAGGGGCCTGCATGCACAACTGTTTTCAGTGAGTGGCTGCTTACTCATAAACCACTAGAGCAAGCCTGAGGGCAAGTGATGAAGGAGATGGAGTGTGCCCGGAGTGTCAACCACATGTGGCACATTCCAAGAAGAATACAACCTTTCTCTCCTAATGGGATACTTCCAGCCCAGTAAGAAGCAGCAGATGTAAGGAATGGAGCAGTAGGGATGAAGAGAGGGTGGGTGGCATGAGGCCCAGCCAAAGTCTACTAGGGTCCTGATGTCCACTTCATATCGTCTGGCCCCTGGACACTCGGAGAAGGTAAGCAGAAGAGGAGGAAGGCCAGGGCCAAGGAAGTCTGGTTTGGAAGGAGATGGTGCTGCAGGAGGGATCGCAGGGCTAATGTCACAGTTGAGTCGGCACCTACAAAGCTGAATGACCAGGCCACCATGGCAGTGTGTACTTCCTGGCTCCTGACAAGCACCCTAGAAGTCCTACTGACACCTGAAGTGCATCCAGATCACACAGCTGGGTCTCCTCCTCAGTTCCCTGTAACTGCACTGCATGAACCCTGTGCCTGTGCACAGCCATCGTTGTTAGTGCCTGCACATCTCTGGAAAGAGGCTCGTGATGTGCAAATAAAGCTGAATTTTCAGAGAACATGGGATATGGCTTACCATGTCCAAGTCCCCGGGTGCCATTCCAGTACAACCAACAAACAAAAACTGCGTAAGTATTTTTTTTCACTTCTGGAAGGAGTAATGTCCAGTGTTGAGACAGGGTCTCACGGTGTGGCCCAGGTTGGCCACAGACTCTGGATCCTAGTGACTCAGCTTCCTGAGAACAAGGATTGTATGATGGGTCACCACTATGGGCTTTTCTCATAAACTCAGTTCCATACCTTTTCTTCTTTCTCAGGTGCTAACTCCAGCAGCCCCTGCCTCTCCCTCAAGCAGTCATCCAGAAGGGCACGTGGTTCGCCCCGGCTCAGAGCTCTGGGGAGCTCTTGGTTCTCTGACAAGGCCAGTATCTGATGGCTCTCGTCAAACACCATCTGCAGCAAAGCCTACAGCAGGGAAGAACATGTCAGGAAGGGGGAGACCAGCCTGAAGTCTATGTACTACTGTGCCACCACTACTCTGGGAGCTGACACCCAGGGGGGTCTTGTCAAACCCATGGCTGTGGTCAGATACTCTGGCAGAAATAGGCTGCCAGGCACTTGCAGGAAGGTACCAACCAACTACCTTTGCCCTAACTCCAAGGTCTTCAAACTTTCCTACTGCACTGTCACAGACAAAGAAATCAAGCTGGACAGGGTGACTCCAAGAACAGCCCCATAACTGACTCCACTCTCTACTGCTCGTTCAAGGGGAACGTTCTTCTACATCTAGACTAAACCTCAGGCAGGGCTTCTCAGGCCTGCTATGGTCATGTCACAAGGAGATTCAGCATTCTTGGTCCACCTAAGTAAAATGAGGGGGATCCTTAACAGCAACTTGAGTGCTTATGAATGCAACCTGGCTGATACGCCAATGACCAACTACAAAGTGAAGGTGCCTGGGCAGATGTGGGGCCCAGACAGAACTTCCCCTGGCCTACAGGTCTGTGACTACAATGCAGCCTCTTCCACCCTGACTCTGGAAAGCATCTGTCCGTGGGGATGAGCAGTGAGGTGCCAGGAGCTGGTGCAGAGCCAGCAGAGCTCAGAGCAAACACTGCCAGAGCTGCAAATAAAGGGTCATGTTGATGATGCGTTCAGCCTAAAAACAGTTCCAAATCAGGAAAACTCAAAATTAAGCAATGACAAAACCTATGATACAGTTAACCTAAAAAGTAATTTTGTGTGTTGTGTTTTCCTGGGGCCTGAACTCAAAGCTTTATGATCTTGCTCTGCTTTATCACAGAGAGATGGCACACCACCACGTGAGCCACATCTCCAGTTCTGACTCTTTTCTGCTTAACTGGAGATAAGAGTCTCCGAGATTTGTCTGCATGGGTTGGCTCCAAACCGCAAACCTCCGAACACAGCCTCCCAAGTAGCTATGATTATTATACACATGAGCCACTGGCATTTGACTTAAAAAATATTAATAATGGAAGTGGCGCTGTGGCTCAAGCGGTAGAGCGCTCGCCTTGAGCTGAAGAGTGCAGGGATAGCGCCCAAGCCCAGAGTTCACGCCCCATAACCGACCAGAAAAAAAAAAAGAAAAAAAGAATTCAACGTGTGCTGGGCGTGGGTGGCTCACAGCTATAATCCTACTTAGGAGGCTGAGACCTGAGGATCTCAGTTCAAAGCCAGCCCCACCAGGAGAGTCCATGAGACTCTGATCTCCAATTAACCACCACAAAAAAAAATTAATAATACTAATATTAAGAAGCTAGAAACCAAACTACTATACTTATTTTAAAGATGATTTGGCAATTCAAAGGTTTTCCTTTAAAAAGAACATATCTATTGTTGGTGATGGGTGTTTGTTTCTGATTTTAAGGGGAACAGAAGAAGGGTGAACAAATGCAGTCATGGTATTAAGTATACACTATGTAGAATATGACTTTTGCAACTTGGGGGCAGAAATGAGAGGGGGAGCCAGATGCCAATGGCTCACACCTGTCATCCTAGCTACTCAGGAGATTGAGATCTAAGGATCACAGTTCATAGCCAGCCTGAGCATTAAGTCATTAAGTCCCATACTGTGATGGCGAGCCCCGCCAACAGTACCTTCTCTGTCTAGAAACACTTACATACAGCATAAAATCAGCCCCTTCCTGGAACTAACAGAGCTGTCAGTGCAGGACCTGAGCACCTTCATTTGGCACAGAACACATGGTATGTAGTGTATGTGGTGGCCACTCTGCTCCCAGCAACCCTTACCTTCACATGCTTCCCGTGGACCTCCTTCTCCTTCATTGTTCCTAGTGGCTGTGGGGACCCTTCAAAGTTGAGAGCAGCAGCAACAGAGCCAGCAGTGAGATCCTCAGGTCCTACTGAGCCTGGTGTCAGTATCACATCAGTACCTGGGTCATCACCTGAGAGCACACAGAGTTAAGGGCTAAAACATCCAGTTCTAACTGCTCCTTCAAGTGAAAAAAATTACCTTATGAAATATGAATTACATGAGGATGACCCACGCTAAGTGAGGAAAACTTACTTTGCATATTCACTGTAAATACCTATGACAAACACCAGGGGTGTACCTTACACAGGTACAGCTGTGCACCCCACCAGTAGCTAACCCTGAGCAGACAAGCACTCAAGAGCAGCCAGGCTGCACAGGGCCCATGAACTTCACATCCAACGAAGGGTGAACAAAAGATCAGCAGGCAGACAGAGGGCACTGACTACCAAGGGAAGCTGGAAACAGCAGGATGACAGCAACATCTGGTCCAGAAAAGGTGAATGTGAGATGGGAACATGAAAATCCCTGAACACAATCCAGAACACCTGGACACTGGACAACTTTGTCTGATAAGTCAGGCCTCAAAACTCTCAGGAGAACATAAGGCCACATACAACAAGGGGTGGTTTCCAGGGGAAAGGCTCCACACCACCTCCGAGAGCAGCTCCAGACCAGGTAGGCAGTGAACCCATCCAAGGATAAGGTCCTGCTACGAGGAAAGGCAAGTCTATATCCTCGCAAAGGAAAAGAAAGTAAAGAGACCACAGAGAAGACATAAGGTACAGAAAACACAAGGAAGAAAAATTAAAAAATAGTCAAAACACAACTTCAAAGAAATAGGGAGGACATCATTCATAAAACAAAAATAAAGAAAAGCGCAGCTTGGGAGTAATGAAGTAAGAAGGTCAGGTCTGGCCGGTGCTATACTGGCCACATGATGGATGGGAGGGTCTGGCGTCTTGTCTTCATGCTGGGGGAAGAAAACCCCTGCCCACGACCTGCCTCCCAGGCAATGGGTGTGCCCAAGGGACGGGCACTTGGCTGATAGGTTACTGACTCTGTCAGTTCAGTGCCTGGGACTGGGAATTTCCTGAGGATCTGCCCCCTGCGTGGACCTATTTAGGCCCGGACCAGCCTGGCCGCCAGGGCCATGCCACATGTGTCTCTGTGATCGTGTCCTGTGTCCTGTCTCCTGGCTCGTCTCCAGTCATCATGGCGTCCCAACTCAGCTCTCCATTGAAGCTGAATTGGCTTGTTGGTATTGTTTTTGTTCTCTCTTTCCTCTGTAGCATGTTTCCTAGCTGTGTTATGTGTATTTAGGGGCTGCAGGCCTTTGTAACAACGGGCAGCCTGCAGCCTATTAACTGTATAATAAAGACTCCAATATTCTATCTTTCAAAATGTGGCTTCTGGGACAATTCACCCTACAACAGTAAGGGGCATGCTCAGGAACTCAAAGTGGAAGAGGAGACATGCAACTGTTCAGCACAAAGGTCAGGAAATGAAGTTCAAAAAACAAAATGGAAAAAAAAAGAAACTAAAACAAAAACAAGGTGGAAGAGAGAGAAAAAGAAAAAATAAACCAGTCCAAGAGTACAAATATTTCATGAACAAGAACTAGGAAGAGAAGAGAGAAAACCACGGGGAAATGATCTAAAGGTTAATAAAGAGGAGGTTCTTGACACACTCCACCCTGACCAGAAAGGTTACCACAGGTCAAAAAGAACAAGCGGGCAAGGCAATACTCCACAGCCAAGACCCAGTAGTCTATACCAAGACCAAACAATCAAGAGAATGTTCTCAGAACACTTTCTCCAGAAGCCTCTGGGTATTATGCTTCATTAAGATAAAGGACCAATAAGAAGGGACAAGGGGCCGGGCACTGGTGGCCCATGCCTGTAATCCTAGCTACTCAAAGACGCTGAGATCTAGGATCACGGTTCAAAGCCAGCCCAGGCAGGAAAGTCCGTGAGACTCTTATGTCCAATTAACCACCAGAGAACCCCGGAAGTGGTGCTGTGACTCAAGTGGTAGAGTGCTCACCTTGAACTGAAGCGCTCATGGGCAGCACCCAGGCCCTGAGTTCAAGGCCCATGACAAAAAAAAAAAGGGGGATTAGGGGTCCAATGGAGTGTCCACAAAAGATGAGCAGGCAGAGAACCTGCTTTGATGACTTAAATTGAGTAGGTAAACACAATGGCACACGAGAAAACACCTTTAAGTGGTGGAGAGAACATGCACACGCCACTCCGCTGGGGATGGAGGACACAATGTATATACAGGCCATAGTAGAATGACAAGGAAATGGAAACATGTGGAGCTCACTACTACAGTGTCCACACATTATTTTATACCCTATGTGTGGTATGAAAATCAACCAGAATCTAGAATCAAACATAGATTCCCCATGGAGCAGCAACCCAACTGAGTCAGGGACTGACAAAAGCTGCTCATGGAATGACACATGCAGAGCCCTCAGCTGCTCAAGCCACATGCTCAGAACTTGAAGTAAAAGACAAAACAAATAGTTGCTAGTAAATGAAGGTGTGGCTCAATTAGTAAGAGCATCAGCCTTGAGAAAAAAAGCCAAGTGAGAGCGCAAGGCCCTGAGTTCAAGCCCCACTACCAACAACACACACACACACACACACACACACACACACACACACACACACACACACACACACACACAAAGTTGCTAGCATGATGGTACATGCCTGTATTCACAGTATTAGGTAAAATATCAGTAGTTTGAGGCCAGCCTGGGTTAGTTACATAGGGAGACCCTGCCTCAAAAAAACAAAAAATTGCTGGCATTAGCATTTTGCAAACTTTAGATTTCTAATAAATTATATCTCACTATGATCTCACACTCAAAAATCACTAAAAGTGGCAATGACTTAAAAAAACAAACAAACCAAACAAGAAAAGAAACCCAAGTGCTGACTTGGAGAAAGGAAACTATTACAGAATAAATTAATAAAATTTAACAACCAAACAAATCCAACAAGAACCTTTACAGAGACCAAGACCAACAGCTAAGAAATCGAGAACTTCTACATGGTCTCCAAGTATCTCCCACAGGTGTCCACCTCATGAAAAAATAAAAAAACTAAACATCTAGCAGACTTAACTGTAGCCACGAGGCCCACTCTAACCCCTCATACCTCTGACAATGAAGCACCCCATTTACATGACCTGCACAACATACCAGATAGACGCCTGCTAAGTATCCTACTTCAAACCACTGCCCCTGCTCTTCATGAATGTCATTACTCTTTAAACCCAGGGAGGACACAGGAAACACTCCAAAAGATGGGAGGAGCAGAGACACATCATATACTTATGATCCAGGTACCCCTCTGCCTGCCCTATACCAAATGCCACTTGTAAACTGAGATGACACTGTAAGCTGGAAGGACATTACTGGGATAATCACACAATCTGAGTACCCCCATCCGGCCTTGGCTCAACGTGAACTCCTGGTGCAGAACACTGCTAGACACGTATTCCATGAAACACACAGTGCTATGAGGTCTACAACCTCTGAGCACAGGAAGGGGACACAGTGCACGTGAAGGAATTTCTTATATCATCCTGTACTCTAGAATTGATTGCCAAAAGAAAAAATAACTCACTGTTTCCACTCCCATTGCTTCTTTTTTCTAACCCGAGAGGAGGGGATCTTAATGGTTCTTGAGAATCAAACGATGTTATGACAAAGTCTTCAACGTCCTTTTCCTATTTAGATAGGCAGACTTTTAGATGGTTACAAAATAGTAACATCACATCACAGAGCCAAACTTTTCAGATGGTAATTTTCTAAGGCCAAAATTTAACATCTTCCCATAAGGAACCCAGCTCACAGCATTCAGAACTTGTGAACAGGCTGAGGTCATATGCTTCCAACTACTTAACCTGAAATACCACTGCACTTTAGGAATATTTTATATATTAGCCATTAGCAAACATCCTAAGATTCTATGATACCACATGTATGGATCCCTAGATAACATGTACCCCCAAAATTACTTATTTTATCTTGCTTAAGATATATACATTGTTCAAATTAATGCTAGGGAAAAATAACTGAAGTGATCTTAAAATTAATCAGCATCATATAAAAAAAAAATCTGAGGGGTTGGGATGGTGGCTCAGTGGTAGAGCGCTTGCCTTGCATGCCTGAGGCCCTGGGTTTGATTCCTCAGTACCACATAAGCAAAAAGAAAAAAAAAAAAGCCAGAAGTGGCGCTGTGGCTCAAGTGGTAGAGCGCTAGCCTTGAGCTGAAGAGCTGAGGGACAGTGCCCAGGCCCAGAGTTCAGGCCCACGACCGGACCCAAAAAAAAAAAAAAATCTGAGCCTGGAGCCAGTGGCTCACGCCTATAATCCTAGCTACTCAGGAGGCTGAGATCTGAGGATCTCGGATCAAAGCCAGCCCGGGCAGAAAAGTCCATGAGACTCTTATCTCCAATAAACCACCAGAAAACCGGAAGTGGCGCTGTAGCTCAAGTGGTAGAGCACTAGCCTTGAGCTGAAGAGCTGAGGGACAGCACTCAGGCCCATAGTTCAAGCCCCACGACCGACCCAAAAAAAAAAAATCTGTGGCACATGAAGTATTTATGAAAATAAACTAAAAAACATTCTAGAGAAAGAATCTTTCTGCATATTACACCCCAACAATGAATATTTGACTGCACTACTCAGAATCTGCACCAGGTAACCAACACCAGGATGAGTTTCTAAGAAGGGCTACTACACCTTTCGTTTTAGACATGACTGAAGTCAGCTATGGCACTGCCTGCATCCCTAAGAAAGCCAGTCCCTCCAGGGACTGGGAGGCACCTGGCTGACAGGTGAGCCAACAATGGTGCTGCTGTGAGGCAAATGCACAGGAACTCCAGCCAGCACCTGGGTGTTGTAGAGAAGTCACCTACCGGGGCTGTCTCTCCATGGTGATGCTCAGCCGACACAGCTGCTGTCCTCTGTGGGCTCACTCCTGGGTAACAAAGCAGCTCTGAAGCATGGGCCCCCATTGGTGAGTCCATCCAGTCTTTTGGGGTGGTGTCAGCGCTGCGCAGGCTCATGGCCCCTGAGCAGGGCGTCAGGGGTAGGCTGAGCTGAGGCTCTAGGGTAGAGTCCTTCCGGAGGACTTCAGGAGAGCTCCAAGAAGACAGGTCCGCGGGCCTCACTGGGTGCTTCTGGGGCTCAGCCTCCTCAGTGTGGAGGAGGGAGCTTCTGTGTATGCTGGTTTGTGAGGAAACAGGCCCATCTTGTAATGCTAGATTTTCTTGAGTGGGAAAAGCTGGGATTTTACTGTCTACCAAAAAATCTCTATTTTTATTTCCACCAAGGAGATCCTGTGTGGATTTATCAAAATCAAACATGTCAACAGGAGGCAACCCATCTGTTTCTTCGCCATTATGGAAGCCATCATCTGAACCATTTTCTAACAGGTATGGCAATGTTGAGCACTGCTGGAATTTAGGAGGCTCAGTGTCGATGTCCTGGAAGGCCATAGAACATACCAGTTGGTTCAGTTTTTCCTGAAGTTGTTTCACTTGAGCAATGAGGCTGACTTTATGCAGCTGACAATCTTCTACTTGCTTTTCCTTACCCTGTAAGTGGGGAGAATATGGACAGTGCGAAACAGCAAAATGTAAGGTGCTTTACCCTGCCTAGTGGTGACGGTGAGCTGAATTCAGAAAGCACGTATGGGTGAGGGGCCAGGATGAAGACCTGGTAACCCTCTAGGCACTGAACATTCCAGGTCAGAACCAAGAGCTAATGACCCATGCCTAAAAATCTCAGGAGGTTAAAACCTGAGGATCAAAGTTCAAAGCTAGCCCAAGAAGACAAATCCAAGAAACTCTTCTCTCCAATTAGCCATCAAAAGACTGGAACTGGAGGTATAGCTAAGTGGTGGAACCCCACTTGGGAGTGAAAAGGCAGCACTCGTGGTCCTAGAACCTGTGCACATGCACGCACACAAGCACGCACGCACACACAGACAGGAGTTAGTTGTAGCCTCTGTAACAAATGTCTGTTACTTGCCATCTGAGAATCCGGTTCTGCTTGTGGCACCACAGGGTCAGCTCCCCAGCGTTGTAAACATGGCCCCCTTGACCCCATGAGGGCAGGAGGGACTGCACAGACCGCACTGCCTCCTGAGTGCTCAGCGGGCACTCAAAACAGACTCACACATGTTCTTTCACAAAGGCAGCCCAGATCCACATGTTGCTCTTAGCATAGGTCTGGGCACTACAGACTTCAAAACCTGCAAATGCTGCCTTTGCCTTCTTGCTAAATCGGAATCCTATCATAATCTAAGGATGGTGAAGTATAACTTTCTTCCCAAGAAAAGTAAAAATATGGGGGGTAGGGGAGATCCTGAGGGTCAAAAAATAATCTGAAGCCTTCAAAGTCATTCTTGCCAGGGACAACAGTCCTGAGCCAGGGTAGAGCATGACTATAGTTCAATCCTAACATGAAAAACACCTGGCTGCTGAGACTGGGAGAAATGTGTCCTTAAATAAAGCATGCAGGAGATCTCAGACAGAAGCATTAGTACAGCAGGGCAAGTGGACTCAGAGAACAAGCAGCTATATGCAGCCCTCAGCAAAGCAAGTCTCTTCTCCGATGTCCACTCCCTTCTGCCCCTGCCTCATACTGAGCCCTGGCCCTCTTGGGATGGGCAGGGCTCCCACATTATTCCTGCAACATATATTCACACACACCCTCCCAAGCCTACAGACCTGCAACCCTTCTGGCATCCAGCTGCTGTCATCCATGTTCAAGCACATCTCACTTTTCACCAAGAGCAGCTCTGCTTCCAGCTGCCTCTGGCACACTGTGAGCACCGAGATCATATTTTCTGCTTTGTGGAGACCGGAGTCCTTTGGTGACACCAGTACTTCAGCAGGCTGCACATTGTCCTTGATCAGGAGAAATGGTAAGGATGCTTATAAAGCTAGAGCCAGATGCTGCTCAACTATCCCTCAGAGCACTGAAGTACTGCCTATCAACAGAGACATCAGAAGAAAGGCACCCTGGCCTCTGCTTACAGCCAACTACTGGGTAGCAAGTACAACAGGCTGTAGACCACCTGCAGTGGGATGACCAGAGATTTGGGGGCATCTGGGAAAGGATGCTGACAGAGCAGCTAATCCCCAAAGTGTTACTCAAAAGCAAACTAGAATATTTTTTGAAGTAATTCAATTCTGTTCCAAACTGAGATGAGCTTAGAACAGTTTTCATGGGAAATGCTTATTAAAAGAACAACAAAAAAATAAATTAAAAATAAATAAAAGAACCACAGAGGGAAATCTATGCCAAGTAGCCTTTGCCACTGTACAGTCACCACAGCATTAAAGGAGGAGTCGTTTTAAAAGCTTAACTGACTTAAAATAATCTTTTTTTTTTTTTTCCTTTTGCTGGTCCTGGGCTTGAACTTTGGGCTAGGCACTGTCCCTGAGCTCCTTTTTGTTCAATGATAGTACTCTACCATTTGAGCCACAGTGTCACTTTTTTTTCCCCCAGCTTTTTCTGTGATTAATTGGAGATAAGTCTCAGACTTTCCTGCCATGGCTGGCTTTGAACCAAGACCCTCAGATCTCAGCCTCCTGAGTAGCCAGGATTACAGGCTAAAATAATAATTTCAAAGCTGTACAACATAAACCAAGTCTGATTCTCTGGGAATTCCAGAGCAGGTTCAAATTCTTTGCTCTCTTCTCTGCCCTGTCAAGATCGCCCAATGATGGCAGCATTCCCAATACTCATCACAGAAGTCACTGAAGTTAAGAGAGAAAAAGGAGGAAAATACAAGCAATTCAACATCCAGTCTTCATACCCATCCCCATACCCCAGGTAGCATGAGCACCCCAGCAGCCCAGTCCATAGGGAGAGAAGCCCACCTGTTCCAACAGATCATGCTGCTCAGACTGTGTGTCCATGTGAGCATGTGGGGAGCCGCCAGGCACTCCTCCATGGGCCTGATGCTGATCCGGTTCCCCCTGGCAGCCCAGGAGCCGCTGGTACAGCAGCTGCAGCTGGCAGCTGAGATGGGCACACTGTACTCGCAGCTGCTGTAGCTCAGGAGGCTCACCTGGAACAGCCAGAGGCTGCCGTTCCAGGGCACCACGGAAGCGTGTCAAGGCCAGCAGGACAGAATGCAGCTCCACCGAGTGAGCCACTCCCTGCTTGTTCATAGCGTCAATTTCCAAATCTCTCTGCACAATGATTGCTTCCTTTGCCCTCAGGACAGCTTCAAATTCCTGAATTCGGGAGGCCATCACCTCAACCTCAGCCTCCCTGAGGGTCACAATGCGTCCCAGTTCAGCCAGCTGCTGTGTGGCAGCCTCCTCTGCAGCTTGCAGGCGCTGCTGCAAAGCCTCCAGGGCCTGATTGTGCCCCTGTACCTGCTCAGCCAGCACCTGGCTCAAGACTTCCTTGGCTGAGCATGTAGCTTCAAGCTCAGCCTGCAGCGCCTGCCCACCTGGCCCCTTAGACTGGAGGCTAAGCAGCTCACTGTGAAGGCTGTCAGCTGCACAGTCACTGAGTTCATGTACCACAGGCCCCATGAGGGTCAACTCATGCTGCAGCTTCTCAATGACTTCGTGGAGCTGTTCGATTTCTTCTGTTTTGTCTTTCTGTAATCGCTCTTGGTTCTCTTGTAAATTTTCAATAATGGCTTTCAATTCTTCAACCTCAGAGCTTCTGCTGTACCCAACCTAAAGAGAAAGCACGTGTCAGAGAATGTTACTGATATTTTAACAAGAACTACTTTGAATCTGTAAATGGTAAGAGGAAAAGATGGATGTTTTAACAGTAATAATTTTCCATATCTGAGAACACAAAATGTCTTCTCATTTTGTGTCCTCTTCAAATTCTTTACCAGTGCTCTACAGTTTTCACTGTAGAGGTCATTCACTTCCATGATCAAACATATTCCTAGATATTTTAGTTTTTATACCTATTATGAATGGAACTACTTTTATGATTTTTTTCTTAGCAATCTTGTCATTAATATATAAAAAGCCACTAATGTTTGGGGTAAATATTATCAAAATACATCATATGCACATATGGAAATATCACAAGTCCCTTTGTGTAATACACACATACACACTCACGCTCATTAAAATTTTTCTTTTATTGACGTCAACTAGTCGTAAGGCAAATTCATTTTAACAAGTCTACTTCTTGTTCATAATCACCTCTCAACCATTCTCCCTCCTTCCCCTTCTCCTTCTAAAACTGATCTTATTCCATTTTCACACAAGTATATATTCTGTCTACATTGGTCTTCCTTCCCTATCTTCATTCATCTCCCCCCCCCCCCCCCCCACTCATGCTTACACCCTAAATAAGAAATGTCTCAACCTCTTGTTGTTTGGGGGTTTTTTTAACTGTATTTTTTTGTCTTTTCTTTTTTGGTACTGGGGATCGTTGTACTTGCTAGGCAAGCGCTTTGCCACTGAGCTACATCCCAGCCCCTCAACTTCTTAATATTCCTTTTTGTTAAAGTGAATGTTCATTGTTTATTTGGATTTCATCATGGCATCTTACACATGCATATACTATAAGCAGACCAATCTCTCTCTCTCTCTCTCTCTCACACACACACACCCCTATGTGTGTTTACATACATATTTATATTTTAGGTCTAACTTCTACGTATGAGGGAAAACACGTCCTTTGTTCTTCTGAATTTGCCTTACTTCATTTAATATAATTGTTTCTGGGTCCATCTATTTCCCTGCAAATTACATTTTTTTTTTGGGGGGGGGGGAGGGGGGGGGGGAGTCATGGGGCCTGAACTCTGGGCCTGGGTGCTGTCCCTCAGCTCTTCAGCTCAAGGCTGGTGCTCTATTACTTGAGCCACAGCACCACTTCTGGTTTTCTGGTGGTTAAATGGAGATAATAAGAGTCTCACGGACTTTCCTGCCCAGGCTGGCTTTGAACCGTGATCTTCAGATCTCAGCCTCCTGAGCAGCTAGGATTACAGGCATGAGCCACCAGTGCCCCGCTCATAATTTCATTCTTTTTATGGCTGAATAATATTTTTGTTGTGTATATAACACTTTTTTAAAATCACAGACCTGCTTTATGACCATGTGATACCACTACTGGCTATATAACTAAAGGAGAATAACTCAAGATACTAAAGAAATGCTTGAATACTTAAGTGTATTGCAGCCTTGTTCATAACAGCCAAATGGTGGAATCAACAACAGACTAATGGATATGGGTAAAGAGAATGAAGGTTAGGGTTCTCACACACACATACACACAATGGAAATTACAAAGTCATAAAAATGAAATTATGCCATTTGCAGAACTGATTATCAATGTTGCAATAAGGAGCAGAGCAGAGCTCAGGATAGGGTCATCAGCGCTCCACTCACAGGACTAAAAAGCTATCCTAAGCACACCCCCTGCAGCAATGTTCTGCAGGTGCAGCCCCTCTTCTGCTTTGGAAGAAAAGCTCCTGGATACCTAGTGATGCCAGCATTCACAGTCTGCACAACTGAAGTCTCCACAGCATCTTTTCTGTTTACCTTTAAACTGGCATTTTCCTCTTGAAGTTCCTGGATGCTGACCACAGCAGGATTGTTCTGTACCTCCAGTTTTAAGTTCAGATGTAGTATTTCTTCATTTTTACGTACTAAATCAGCCTTAATATTTTCTAGCTGTTTCTTTAAGTCCAAAACCTTTCATTAAAACAAAAGAAGTTTCAAAAATTATCTAATTACCTACTAATTAACTATCTAGCCAAATAATCTAACATAATTATTTTAATATATATTTTTTATTGTAAAGATACTGTATAGGGATAGGAAGGTGGCTCAGTGGTAGAGTGCTTGCCTCTTGCATGCATGAGGCCCTGGGTTCGATTCCTCAGCACCACATAAGCAAAAAGAAAAAAGCCAGAAGTGGAGCTGTGGCTCAAGTGGTAGAGCACTAGCCTTGAGCTGAAGAGCTCTGAGGGACAGCACCCAGGCCCAGAGTTCAGGCCCCATGACCAGAGCCACCCCCCCCCCCAAAAAAATACTGTATAGAAGGATTACAGTTACATGAGTAAGGTAATGAGTACATTTCCTATCAAACATTGTCACCCCCTCTAACTGATAATTATTAAAATAGCTCAGGAGATGGGCTGGGAAGGTGGCTCAGTGGTAGAGCGCTTGCCTTGAATGCCTGAGGCCCTGGGTTTGATTCCTCAGCACCACATAAGCAAAAAGAAAAAAAAGCCGGAAGTGGCGCTGTGGCTCAAGTGGTAGAGCGCTAGCCTTGAGCTGAAGAGCCTGAGGGATAGCGCTCAGGCCCAGAGTTCAGGCCCCACGACTGGACCCCCCCCCTCCCCAAAAAAAAAAAAAAGCTAAGGAGTAGTTATACTATGCACCATTATCAAATACTGATATTATAAAGAATATGCCTTAGGCCAGGCACTAGTGGCTGTATACTAGTGCTACTCAGGAAGCTGAGATCTGAGGATTGTGGTTTGAAGCCAACCTGAGCAGGAAAAGTCCATGAGATTTTCTCTAATTAACTAGTAGTAAGCTAGAAGTGGAGTTGTGGCTCAAGTGGTAGACCAACCACTAGCCTTGAGCTCGAAAGCTCAGGAACAATACTCAGACCTTGAGTTCAAGCACCAAAAAAAAAAAAAAGGAACATATCTTAGTCACAACCCTTCTACTTGTGTTTGGACATTTAGTCTTTTTTTTTTTTTAATGCCAATATTGGGGGTTTTTTTGTTGTTCAGCCCCACTTGAGCGACAGCTCCACTTGCAGCTTTTTGGTGGTTAACTGGAATGAGTCTTAGGGACTTTCCTTCCTAGGCTGGCTTCAAACTGTGATCCACAGATCTCATCCTCCTAGTAGCATGGATTACAGAAACAAATCATCAGTGTCAGGCTTAGATATCTAGTCTTCTATAAAGAAGTACCCAGGCCAGGCGTCAGTGGCTCATGCTTGTAATCGTAGCTACTCAGGAGGCTGAGATCTGAGGATCACGGTTCAAGCCAGCCTGGGCAGGAAAGTCTGTGAGACTCTTATCTCCAATAAACCTCCAGAAAACTGGAAGTGGTACTGTGGCTCAAGCGGTAGAGCGCTCGCCTTGCGCTGAAGAGCTGAGGGATAGCGCCCAAGCCCAGAGTTCAAGCCCCACGACCGACAAAAAAAAAAAAAAGTACCCAGGGCCATAAGAGGACAACACGGGGGTCCACACAGTCCAGGCTACTCACCTCAGTCTCACGCTGTAGGAGCTTTCTCTGTGTTGTTTCTAGCTGGACTTCTAAATCCTCAGGAGAGTGTTCCAAAGGTGGCAAGGGACACTTGCCTTCACTGAGTGTAGACTGTGACATAGACATTAGCAGAGAATCACTCATCTGCTGTCTCTTTAGTGCCTCTTTATCCTATTGAAGAGAGAAGTGGAAATGTATGAGACTAACACTTAGGGAATGAAGGACTTCAGGTTTCTGTCAAAGTATAAACCATGATCAATCCTGAGGCAGCGGGTCCCCCATACACACCGATGTTCACTCCCCTTTCTAGACAACACATGCTAGACAGAGCCCTCTGGGCTCTTGCTGAGACCCACGTGGTAAAGAGTCACAGGGCCTACCCATGACTCCAGTATGAGAAATTTCCCGTAACTGTTTAACAAAGTAAGAAAATATGCACCAGACTACAATTAAAATATTGAAAAGAAGTTAACAAAGTATGGCTGAAGCTACATCCATATGATAAATATTAACAACACTGAAAAAGTTCCCACAAAACAGCTAATATGGAGAAAATGTCATAAAATATTAGGTGGGGAATAAACAAATCGGCAAGTGCAGTTAAGTGATTCAACTTGAAGGAGGGGAAATGGTTTTTTTCTGTACCTCTATCTAGCACTTTACCTCCATGAATGTTTGCTGAGTGAATGAATGAGAAGGGTGAACAGCCCTAAGGCAAACCAGCTGGGAAACAGAGCAGGGTCCCTGCAGGTCAGGCTATACAGAGCATCAGGAGACAAGTGGGGAAGAGAAGGCACCAGTCAGATGCATGGAAGCAGCAGGATATATCTGAGTCAAACTACTGATTCTCAAATGAAATTTCTCCTTGGGCACTATTTTTGTTTTTTATTTCTTCTTTTCATTTTTGGTGGCAAGAAGTTTAAACTCAACTCAGGGTCTGTGCTTGTACTCCACAATTTGGGTCCCACCCTCAGCACCTCTTTTTTTGGAGAGGGAGTGTCAAAGCTTGAGCTCAAGAACCTCCAGCTCTCCCTTAACTTTATTGCTCACAATTGGCGCTCTACCACTTGAGTCACACTTCCAGTCTAGCATTTTGCTGATGATTTGAAAATATAGTCTCAGGCTTATTTGCCTAGTGGCTTTGAACCACTTTCCAAAAGGTCTCGGTGGTAAAGATTACAGGCATGAGCCACCAATATCTTGCTGTTTTAATTTTAGAATAGGGTCCTCAATTTTTTTTCTCCAGGGCTAGCGTGGACCGAGACCTCTTCTCCCCATCAATGCTTCTAGCAAAGCTGGGTAACAGGTACGCATCATCACGCTTGCTTCATAACTGAGATGGGATCTGGCTAACTTTTGCCCTAGGTTAGCCTTAAACCACAACTCTCCTTAAGTTCCACCTCCCAAGTGTCTAGCATGTTGTTTGACCTTACTTTTCAAGCCGCTTTTTAGCCTTCAGTGACAAAAATAAATGAAATGTCAAAAGTTCAATTCCTGAACTCAAAAAGCAGGTGCACCTGGAAGATGTAGTCCTGAAAAAGTAGGTGCTCTGGTCTAGAGCCACCAAGGACGTCTGCCAGGCCTTCCATCACTGGACCCTGCTGTGACTCAGTGGTCAGAGAGTACAGTCCACGCCCCTGGGCCATCCAACCCATCCTGTCCCCAGATGCCCGCTACACCCAATGAGGATGCACAATACTTTACTTGCAGTTCTTTCACAGTTTTTTTCTGCTTTTCTAGTTCTTCCTGGAGCTGGACCATTTGTCTTTGGGTGTTGGCATGTGTCGCCTCAAGGTATTTAATTTCTTCTTCCTGGGTCAGAAGTTGTCGATCTGCCAACTCTTTTTTTATGACCAATTCATTAAATCCATCTGATTTTTCTCGCAGTTTTTCTTGTAACAATTCAATCTAAGAATAAAAAATGTGTAAAAAATACAAGAGACCATTAAAAAGATACCTTCTTCCAAATAAAAAGTCCCAATATAACTGATAAGAGAAAACGAATACCGTTTCTTTAGATCAAGGTGCACTGAACCTAAAGAAAGACTAGCATACTTGTCCAGGCGGGCTTTGAACCATGATTCTCAGATCTCACCTCCTGAGTAGCTAGGCTTACAGGCATGAGCCACTGGTACCTGCATTTATTTCCATAAAGTTTTCATTTAATTGTTATTTAGGGTACAAACATGCTCAAGTTCACTATAGTTAATCAGCTAGGCCAGTCCCACTCTACCACAGAACCAAGATGGACGGAGTCTATACCTGCTCAGATTTCTCTTTGATCTTTAATTACAGTAAGGATTCATGTTCATGAAACAGCATTTAAGCGACTTGAGAAATAGTTACTGACCCAAGACTATATTCATGAAGCTTTCTACAGAATAAAGAAGAGTTATCTATGAGTTTATAATGTAGGAGAAAGTGTGGGTAATAAAAGAATCAAAGACTTTTGGAGGTTAAAAAAAAAAGACTAGGGCATGGTTAAAGACAGTCTTTTACTAAAGACACAAAAAGAGCAACCAAAAAAAAAAAAAAACATAAAATGAAAGTTATTCTGACAAAGGAACACAATAGTATTTCAAAACTTAAAAAAAAAAAAAAAAAGCTAACAGTGACCATAGCAACAATTTGGATGAAATAGAGAATTACAAAGAGTAGGGGGGAAAAAAATCTCAACCCAAAAAGCTAATACATGACTCTATTCTTTTTAATTTTATTGTCAAGGTGACATACAGAGGGGTTACAGTTACATAAGGTAGTGATTACACTTCTTGTCTAACTTGTTACCCTTCCCTCATTTTTCTCCCTCTTTTCCTCCTCCTCGTTGTTACATAGGTTCCCCCCACCCTTTATCCTTTGTCTCACCACTTTGTTATTCCCCTTCAATTCAGATGAACGTAATTTCAATACCCAGGGTACCAAAATCGAACACAACAGGGGATAAACCATAGGGGGAAAACACAAAAGAAAAAAAATTACAGTACATTGAGAACAACATCATATTAAATAAGCCAGACCCAAAGAAACATAGGTTCCATGTGCTCCCTTATTTGTAATAATTAGTATACAACTAGGATAATCTTAGCAGATAAACAGAATAGCTCAATAGCTATGTACATATGGCCATATAAGATGATACTAAGTGAAATGAATTTCAAGACATGGACACAAGAGGTTCTTCTTTGTTGTTCTCAACATGATTCCATTTCTTTTTTTTTTTTTTTTTTTTTTTTTTGGGGGGGTGGGGTCCAGTCATGGGGCCTGAACTCTGGGCCTGGGCGCTGTCCCTCAGCTCTTCAGCTCAAGGCTAGCGCTCTACCACTTGAGCCACAGCGCCACTTCCAGCTTTTTTCTTTTTTGCTTATGTGGTGCTGAGGAATCGAACCCAGGACCTCATGCATGCAAGGCAAGTGCTCTACCACTGAGCCACCTTCCCAGCCCACATGATTCCATTTCTATGTTGTTCAAATAATAAAATTACAAAGTACAACAGATTGGTGGCTGCTAGTTATTGGAAGGGATGTTGTGAAGAAAGGCAGTGGGAGACTTCACTATACCTTGCTGACACTGGCTTGTGCTCCTGGAGTCTAATTCTGCAGGATATGGCCATAGGGTACAAGTATCTCTCTGAGCCTTACGTGTGTGTGCGCATGCACGCGTGTGTACATATATGTACTCATTCACACACAGGTCCTGGAGATTGAACTCAGGGCCTGGATGCTGTCCCTGAGCTTTTTTGCTCAAGGTTAACGCTCCACTACTTGAGCCATAGCTCCACTTCTAATTTTCTGGTGGTTCACTAGAGATAAAGAGTCTCATGGACTTTATTTCCTGGACTGGCTTTGAACCATGACCCTCAGATCTCAGTCTCCTGAGAAGCTGGGATTATAGGCATGAGCCACTAGTGTCTGGCTCTGAGTCTTACTTCTTACAACGGTATGAAAATCTATCATTCCCCCCAAATGAGCTTAATTTAAAAAATGAATAAGAAAATCAACAGCTACCTCAGAAAAAAAGGTCACTGCACAGCAAAGAAATAAGATGGCACACAAGACCCAACCCACCATACAGGTAGCCCCATAGCAAGTAGCCCCTAAACATAGCCATCTACCTCCTCATCCAGCTGTGAGCATGGATGTATGTATATACACATATGTGTGTGTGTGTGTATATATATAAATATCTATATATATATAGAAGAAAAGAAATTGCATGCCTGTATTTGTGTGTATATATATGTGTGTATATGTGTAGGTGTATACATACACATAGGTATACACACACACACAGAAGGAAAAAAGGAAAGGAAAAAAAATAAAAAACACTGTAGAAACCAGGTGAGGTAGCTCAATCCTACAATTCTAGCTACTCGGGAAGCTGAGATTAGGCACAACAGTTTAAAGCCAGCCTGGGCATACAAGTTCTCAACATTCTGCCTCATTCAACAGCTGGGTACTGTGGTGAAGGACTGTTATGGGGGAAGCACAATGGTTGGGTATGGTGGCAAACTCTTGTCATCCTCAGCACAAGTAGAGAGACCGCAGCCCAGGGCAGCCTGAACATAAAGTAAGACTTTACCTTAAAAATAAGCAAGGAGGGCTGGGAAGGTGGCTCAGTGGTAGAGGGCTTGCCTTGCATGCTCGAGGCCCTGGGTTCGATTCCTTAGCACCACATAAGCAAAAAGAAAAAAGCTGGAAGTGGCGCTGTGGCTCAAGTGGTAGAGCGCTAGCCTTGAGCTGAAGAGCTGAGGGACAGTGCCCAGGCCCAGAGTTCAGGCCCCATGACCGGACCCCAAAAAAAAAAAAAATAATAAGCAAGGCAAAAAGAGACTGGCAGCCTAGCACTCAAGTGATAGAGCACCTATCTTTTCCAAGAACAAGGACCTGAGTTCGAGACCTAGTACCACCAGAAATATTTACTAAAAGCTATAGAAAGGCCAGGAGCTGGTGGCTCACGCCTGTAATCCTAGCTACTCAGGAGGCTGAGATCTGAGGATTCAGTTCAAAGCCATCCAAGAAAGGAAAGGGAAAGGAAAGTCCATGAGACTCTTATCTCCAATTAACCACCAGAAAACTGGAAGTGGGGCTGTGGCTCAAGTGGAACACTAGACTTCAGCTAAAAAGAGCTCGGAGACAGTGCCCAGGCCCTGAGTTTAAGCCCACAGCAACAACAAAAACAGCTGTAAAAAAGCCAGGGATCAGTGGCTCATACCTGTAATCCTAGCTACTTGAGAAGATATGAGGATTGTGGTTTGAGACCAGTCCAACAATAAACATCAATCTCAACCAATAGCTTGGCATGATGGTGCAGGCCTACCATACTAGCTGTGTGAGATGCTAAGATCAGAAGGACTGAAGTTTCAGGACAGCCTCAGTAGAAAGTCCAAAAGACTGAAAAGTCAAAAAGGAAAGAAAAACACCCACAAAACTATACACATTAGCTACTGCATAGACACAGCACACACTCTACCTGGCTATCAAGGTGATTTGGCAGCCGTGGCCGGGCTGACTGGCGGAGCTGCTCCTCCAGCCTCTGGATCTCCTGCTGGAACTCTTCACGCTCATGTTCACGCTCAACAGCCTGCTCCTGCAACAACGAGTGGTCACACATTAGAACTCCCATTGGAAAGCCTATAACAAACCTCAGAGCCAAGGAATATGGCCAGCATTATACACACGTCCACCCACCAGTAACAGCTTCTTCACCACCGTCATTTCGCAAAATGGGGTTAAGTAAAGAGGAATGGCCTCTTAGATTTAATGTGAAGGAAGCCTGGAGAAGAGAACATTTTGAAGCTTGTGGGCAAGAAGCTTCAGTAAGCACAGATGGCACTATACAGCGGTGTGTCCTCCTCCAAGGGAAGGCCACACACACACCCCAGATGCAAGACTAAAATTCAACTGCTAAAAACTTCTCCCATGATAGTAAGAGGGAACCCGAGATGACAGAATTCTCTCACAACCAGCTTATGAAATCAAATAAGACACAGTGCCAATCAGTGCACCATGGCACTTATCTTGAATGGCATATCATAGAAGCTTCTCGTGCCATCTTGAAACTTAGTGATGCAAATAAAATTTATTATCCAGAGGTCTTACGTCCATGAACTGCCGCTGGCTACGCAAATGCTTATCCAGGGCAAGTAACTGCTGCTTTAGAGTGGCCGCCTCCTCAGCCTGCTGGGCACAGCCCTGGTGCTGTGAGAGCTGGTCCTCCAACTCTGACTCCAAGATCTTCATCTGAGACAGCAGAGATGCCTGGTCCTTCTCCGACTGCTTCCTGGCCTCTGACTGCTCCCTGGTTAGAGATTCCATTTCCTTCTGTAGTGCTAAGAGTGCCAAGAAAACAAGTCAGGGCCCAGGAAATGTGTACACCCTCATGATGACAATATACAGAAGAGTGCCAGACTTTGATGGGCTGCTCGTTAGGACTCCAACTAGGCTGACAGAAGTTACCAGGAAAGAACAGTCACTACGTTTGGCCACCCTGGAGAGTACACCCAAGCAGGCCTGTAAAGCTACCAACCCTGACTTCTATCAGGCAGGCCCACCTGGATGCCTTTTGCATGGTATCACAGGGCTGTGATACTATAGGGGCTGGAACCAGCCTGTCTTTGTCTCCAGACCCACATCTCAATAGATACAAGGCTTTCTCAGACACCCTCTCAAAATAAAGACAAATGTGAAACATACCCATCACCCAGCTGCCTCAAGCAGGCTGACTGAGGGCCAGGTGCAAGCCCAGGCAAGAAGTCACACCCCACTTCAAAAATAACCCGGTGCAAAAAAGACTGGTGATGTGACTCAGGGATAAAGCACCTGTCTAGCAAGATAACAACAGGCTGTCATACCTGTCATCCTAACTACATACAAAGCTAAGATCTGAGGATTATGGTTCGAAGCCAGCTGGGGCAGAGAAGTCTATGAGATTCTTATCTCCAGTAAGAACTAAAAAAGCTGCCAGCACCAGTGGCTCACACCTATAATCCTACCTACTCAGGAGGCTGAGATCTGAGGACTGTGGTTCAAAGCTAGCCTGGGCAGAAAAGTCCCTGAGACTCTTATCTTCAATTAACCACCAGAAAACCAGAAATGGTGCTGTGACTCAAGTGGTAGAATGTCTTGAGCTGAAGAGCTCAGGGAAAGTGACTAGGCCCAGAGTCAAGCCCCACAACCAGAACAAAAAAAAAAAAAACACTAAAAAAGCTCGGTAACAGCACCTAGACACTGAGTTCAAGTCCCAGGACTGGCATTTAAAAAAAAGCTAAAATATTGTCTACAAATTTTCTTACATTTCACTAGTTTTCAAAAAGGCCAATCCTTTATGACAAATCAATACTATTAGCATAACATTCTCAAAAAACTTTCATGCAAAGAAATCAGCAATTACTGAAATGTAGCTTTAAACATGCAGTTATAACCATGTCATTCACAATCTTCAGTTCAGGAAAAGGGCCTGAACATGGCCACTCTTAACAGCACTATTAGTTCAAGGAGACAAACACAGGCTCCAGCTAAGCCCAGACACTAGAGGATAGAGGAGCACCCCCCTCCCTGTCCTCAGCCCCTTCCATGCAAGGTCATGGGACATAGTAGCCATGTAAGTGTATCAAAATCGGGGGGGGGGGGGGGGGTGGCTAGGAAGGTGGCTCAGTGGTAGAGCGCTTGCCTTGCATGCATGAGGCCCTGGGTTCGATTCCTCAGCACCACATAAGCAAAAAGAAAAAAGCCGGAAGTGGCGCTGTGGCTCAAGTGGTAGAGCGCTAGCCTTGAGCTGAAGAGCTGAGGGACAGTGCCCAGGCCCAGAGTTCAGGCCCCGTGACCGGACCCCAAAAAAAAAAAAGAAAGAAAGACAGAAAGAAAGAAAGAAAGAAAATCAGACAAGGCACAGAGCACAGGGTGGCCCAGTCCCTCCCCTGAAGACCTTCCAGAAGGCTCCACTGAGAAACTGGCCCAACAATCACCACCACTGATGTCAATTCTTACAAAACAGCCCACACAGGGCTTATAGTAAATACAGTGGTCATTAGAGAAATACTTATGTCTTGAAGCTTTAAAATGGTAAAACTTGGCCAATTTTTGTAAATGAATAGTAAAGATTGCAGTATCCAGCCAGGTGCTGGGGGCTCATGCCTGTAATCCTAGCTACTCAGGAACCTGGATCTGAGGATTGCAGTTTGAAGCCAGCCCAGGCAGGAAGGTCTATGAGACTCTTATCTCCAATTAATCACCTGAAAACTGGAAGCAGAGCTGAGGCCCAAGTGGTAATGTTAGCTTGAGCATTAAAAACTCAGGGACAGCACCCTGAGTTCAAACCCTATGACAAGAAAAAAAAAAAAAAAAAAGGATTACAGTATCCTTTTAACAGTTTAGCTCTCAAGTACATTTTAGTAAGTAATTTGTAAAATCTGATGCAAACATAGAGGACATCGTGCAGAAATCACATTTGTCTTTACAAACCTGAGTTCTTGTGGGCAGCAGAGGCAGGCATGCCTACAAAGGGGAAACACAGTGCATCACAGAGAGGGAAACAGAAGATGGGACCAACCATGGTAGGGACAGCAGCACTCAGGCAGCACTCGAACCCCACACAACCATGACACCACTGGGCTGCTCCCTTGTGGTTTCAGGGGTTGGTGCCGGCGGATCGTGTGCTCATTTCCAAGAAAACAAACAGGACAGATGGCATCTTCCTGAGGTTGACCACAACACATACTCCATAGTTAAAAGTAGGAGAAAGGAGGCAGAGCTACAGTTCCCCATGAATCCCAAGGTTCCTGGGAAATCAGTCCATGTTCACCAAACAGGGGGGGAAACCTACGGCCAGGGAAACTGAAGACACAGTGCTCACTGCTGGCCCCAGGAAGCTGGGCTTCCTGGGTGTGAACGTGAACAGACAGTACTAAAGCTTTAGAGGCCAGGGTGAGAGGAAGGCAGAGGAAATAAACTGCCAAAATGAAAGCCATCTAAGAAGACTCCAGAAAAGTGACAACAGCTTCACAGTGACAAAGCACAAAGAAGGGCAGCTCAAGATAGGAAGAGTTCCTGGAGATATTCCTACAGTGGCTGACCTAAGCCCAGCCTCTGCCGAGGACCTGCAGATCAGTTCTACATAGAAGCCCAGGCCCTACAGAGCAGAACTACAGGGCAGCACAGAAACCCAGCTGCAGCCCAATATGGTATCTAACTATCCACAGGCCCAACTTCTGTATCTGTCATGCCCACATTAATAAAACACAAGGTCTCCAGGAAGGACACCATGGCAGACTACTGGCTGGGGTGAGGGTTTTTGAAAGACCTAGCTAGCAGAAAATGATGAGTCTTCTGACCTCAGGGAAGAGCTAGGACTAGAATCTTGTATCACCTGTTATGTCTAATAAACGAAGAAGGAAGCAAGGGAACGGTCAAACACTCAGTCCTAAAAAGGCCCCACGCACAGAGCCTTGGGAGACAAGAAGACCTGGACAACGAAGGGAAGACACTTGGTTGACTGCACACATTCACACCTGAAGAAGGAAGTCCTGTTCAACACAGCAAGCAGAAAGGAGAGATGAGGCAGCACAGAGGAAGTCAGGAGTAAATCCAAAGGCTTTGAGAACAGGGACCAAGATTAAAAGGACCAAATAAGAAGCTCACCAATGACAATTTGAAAAAGTCATTGAAAGCTGAAGAAAGATGTTTGCCAATGAAAGTTTTATTTTGTTTGTATGTATGTATTTTGTACATATGTTTTTTGGCTGGTCCTCAGGCTTTAACTCAGGGCCTGGACACTGTCCCTGAAGATTTGGTTCTCAAGGCTAGCACTCTACCACTGAGCCATAGTTCCACTTCCAGCCTTTTTGGTGGTTAATTGGGGAAGAGACTCTCAGGGACTTTCCTGCCCAGACTGGCTTTGAACAATGATCCTCAAACCTCAGCCCCCTGAGAAGCTAAGATGATAGGTATAAGCCACCAGTGCCCAGCAAATGACAGTTTCAAAAAGTTACTACGACTGGAAGAGACTCTCAGCAAGTAGAGTAGCTCAGCAGTACCTGCCTAGCAAGTATTAAGGCCCTAAGTTCAAACCCCAGTACTGCCAAAAAAAAAAAAGAAAAAGAAAACTCATTAACACAGCATCCAGAAATGAAATTAATGTACTTTAGCCTGAAGATAAAGCAATAAAGAAGATACAAATGAAAAAGCCAGACATGACCAAGCAAATCTGACAATGGTGCGGAACTATTTCTAACACATTAGCATTAATCTGCAAATGCTTTACACTTATGTTTCAACCATTTCATTTTCAGTATTTATGACTTAAAAAAAAAAAAAAAAAACCACTAAAAATCTGGCTAGGTTGCCGGGTGCTGGTGGCTCACGCCTGTAATCCTAGCTACTCAGGAGGCTGAGATCTGAGGATCCCGGTTCAAAGCCAGCCTGGGCAAGAAAGACCGTGAGACTCCTATCTCCAATAAACCACCAGAAAACCGGAAGTGGCGCTGTAGCTCAAGTGGTAGAGCGCTCGGCTTGAGCTGAAGAGCTGAGGGACAGCGCCCAGGCCCAGAGTTCAAGCCCACGACCGACAAAAAAAAAAAAAATCTGGCTAGGCACAGTAACGTGTTGCAACGCTAATAACAGTACCTACGAGGCTGAGGCAGAAGGATCAAGTTCACAACCACCCTGGCCTGTCTATATGGCCAGATCTTGTCTCAAAATAAAAACAAGGGGCTGGGGACGGGGGGAGGATGGGAAGGGATGGGAAGGAGAAACAAAAGAGGAGGCTACAATGCTTGATAAGAAATGTACTCATTATCTTGCCCATGTAATTGTAACCCCTCTGTACAGTATTTTCACAATAAAAAAATAAATAAAAATTAAAAAAAAAAAACAAAAAAAAAACAAGGGGCTGGGAAGGTGGCTCAGTGGTAGAGCACTTGCCTTGCATGCCTGAGGCCCTGGGTTCGATTTCCCAGCACCACATAAGCAAAAACAAAAAAAGCCGGAATTGGCGCTGTGGCTCAAGTGGTAGAGCGCTAGCCTTGAGCTGAAGAGCTGAGGGACAGCACCCAGACCCAGAGTTCAGGCCCCATGACTAGACCCCCAAAAAATAAAAATAAAAATAAAAAAAAAACCATCAACAACAACAACAACAACAAAAAACAACCTGAAAATATATTATCATTGGATCTTAGGGGCCCTCCAAAGCTCCTGTGTTGAAGAGCTGGCCCCTGCAATGTAGTCGCGTTTAGAGTGGGGATCTTAGGGGCTGGTAAGATCACGAGGCTCTGACCTCATCAACACATTCACAGCTCAATAGATTAATAGGTTGGGGGAGGAGCTCTGTTTGAAAAGCTGGAGAGGCTGGGAAGGAGGCTCAGCGGTAGAGTGCTTGCCTAGCATGCATGAGGCCCTGGGTTCAATTCCTTGGTACCACATAAAACAAAACAAAATATAATTTTTCAAGTGAGTGAGTGAGCTTCCTCAGCTCCTTATCCACCAAGAAGTGAGCAGCTCTCCTCTGCCACACAGTCCAGGCGTGGTGCACTGCCTGACCACAGCAAGTTAGCAAGTAACCTAACCATGAAACCTCTGAAGCCAGAGCCAAAATAAACCTTTCCTTCTTCAAGTTGTTTTTCTCACACAGGAGACACACATTTACAGTACAATTTTAAGAAGCTCATCTTTTTTTTTTTAGTCGGTCATGGGGCTTGAAATCTGGGCCTGGGAGCTGTCCCTCAGCAATTCAGCTCAAGGCAAGTGTTCTGCCACTTGAGCTACAGCACCACTTCCGGTTTTCTGGTAGTTTATTGGAGATAGGAGTCTCATGGTCTTTCCTGCCCGGGCTGGCTTTGAACCACGATCCTCATATCTCAGCTTCCTGAGTAGCTAGGGTTCAACACTTTTTTGGGGGAGGGAAGGTTGGTCATGGGGCAACTCTGGGCCTGGGCGCTGTCCCTCAGCTCTTCAGCTCAAGGCGAGCACTCTACCTTGAGCCACAGCACCACTTCCAGCTTTTTTTCTGCTTATGGTGATGCTGAGGAGTGGAACCCAGGGCCTCATGCATGCGAGGCAAGCATTCTACCTCTGAGCCACCTTCCCATCCATCCCGGTTCACTGTTCCAGAGGATTCAAAAGCAATAACCAGTCAAGAGGATCATCTTCCTCCAGACCACTGTGTAGCAACTGAAGTTGCATCCTGCCAGTCACTTTCAAACAAGCCCGGCTCCTTGCTTTCCATGTCTTCACGCCTGTAACTAGCAAGCTTCTGTGTGAGTTTGGACCCCACCCTCACCTCTACATCCACATTCCTTACCAGCCTCCCTTGCCTCTGCCTCAGCAGCCAAGGCTTCCTTCTGGCTCCACAGGGTGGCCTTCTCCTGTCTGAGAGCAGCCAGATCCTGGGCTGCCTGCTCCAGCTGCTGTCGTAGGCTTTCAAGCTCCAGGACTAGCTGCTGCTCCAGCTCCTCCTTTTGACCAAGTGCCTCCTGAAGATCAGCTTTCTCCACCTTGAACCCTTCAAGGAGGCCTGAGGAAGAGACAGTGTTCAGGCAAGGTGTTGAAATTCACCTGGAGGGTGAGAGCCCACCAGAAGCCCTATGAGTGCTAGGAAACCACAGGCAACACTCCTGGCCAGCAGTCACAGGCTGTCTTCCGTGGAGGTGGGGCTATGGAGAAGCCCACACCCCAGGAAAGGGTTACACACCAGCGACCCCTATGTTAAGACAGTGTGCAAAGAAACCTCCGTCCCAGGAAGGCTATGGGACGAACACTGAGTGTCAAGGGCATTCCTTGTCTTCAACCCAAAAAGAAGAGGTCAGTGCCAAGAGATGGTGGCCACTCCAGGGCTGTCTGTGGCCCTTAAATGGCCCTGCCAGTAACCTAGGGCACCCAAGCCATCAATGCTTCCCCAAGTACAATTTTCATTAAGGGATGTCAGCGGGCCACACACAGCTGTAGTTTATTCATATACTTTGCTTCTCACGCTTCCTGTAGGAGAGCGGAATCCCTGATGATGAAGTACACAGCTTACTTTGAGCTGTGTGCAGCTCCAGCACCAGCTCGGCCTTGGCAGCGCTCTCCTCTTGCAAGCGTTCCAGCATCTCCTGCTGCTTCTGCACAAGCTGTGCAGTCTCCTCGGTCTTGTGGAGAAATTCTTTTTCAAAATGAGAATGTATCTGACGTGCTTCTTCTAACTGTTAAAACATTTCAGATTGTTTTGAGAAGCAAGAGTGATAAAAGGAGTAAGATTGGTTAGAATACATTGCAAACGTTGAAATGCAACAATGAAATCCTTCCCTCACCCCCGTATAACAAAAGGTTAAAAAAAAATAAGCACACACTTTTGAGAATCAGAACTGCAAATTAGAAATAAGCATAGAAAAATAAGAGAGGCCAGGCACTGGCCTGTAATTCTAGCTATTCAGGAGGCTGAGATCTGAGGATCACACTTCAAAGCCAGCTCAGGTAGGAAAGGCCATGAGATGCTGATCTCCAATAAACCACCAGAAAACTGGAAGTGTGGCTCAAATGGTAGAGGGCTCTCCTTGAGGTGAAGAGCTCAGGGACAGCACCCAGGCCCAGAGTTCAAGCCCCATGACGAGAAAGTGAGAGAGAGAGAGAGAGAGAGAGAGAGAGAGAGAGAGAGAGAGAGAAATTACCAGGTACTACCAGGCGCCAGTCCCACCACCACTAGCAAAACAGTAGATGGTATATGTCACCAGGGCCGTCCTACTTCCCCCAGAGCTGAGGGGGCCTTCCTAGACCTCCTTTACTTCCCAGAGCCCAGCTCCGCCCGCCCTAGCCCTTCTGCCTCCCTCTCTGGCACTTTCAGGCCATCTACAGGGTGAGGGACGCAGATGGGCTTTTGAACTCAAAATACACACTCCTCTACTCCTAGAGTAAAGCACCAAGCCAAGCTTCCCTTGGCTCCCCACTAGTTAGCTCAAAATTCTGGCCTTTCCTGGGCTCAAGGTATGTACTGGTCTCTAAGAATATCATTGCTTCTTTCCTGAAAATGTTTCAGAGGACAACTCTTATGCATCTATTGCCTCTCCCAAAACTGGCCACCTCCTCCAGCTTCTATCCTCTTGAACACCCATCTCTATCTGCAGTCAAGGGCCACATAACCACCAGCAAACACAACCTGGCTGGGAGGCCTGTCTGACCCTGACCTCAGTCACAGCCGCTACCACATAGCTCTTGTACTTCCCCCAAGGCTCTGCTGCCTTGATAGGGAGGCTCCACCTTCAGCACCTCCCCATGTTACTTCCCTTCCCCCCCCACCCCCAGCGTGGGGGAAGGTTTTTAATAAGTCGTATAGACACACATGGCAGCCCCAAGGCACTTGCTTAACATCTGCACCATGGGGTATGGTCCTGCAGAAAAAGCTCATAGGAATGAGTTCCATTTAGACCCATCTAGAGACATGGAAAGCACCCGACTACAGGTCAAAGGCTGGACAGGACGCTCATGGGGAGAATGGGGCAGGCAGGCGGGAAGCCCCAAGAAGTATTCTATGTCTTAACACTAAGGGTAGAAAAATTACTTAACACCAATGCTTAACAGAGAAATGCTTATGTTTTAACTGGAATAACTTAGAAAAAGAATCACTTATTGTTTTCCACATACTCTTATTTCATTCCTACTATAATTGCCTTAAAGGTTCTGAGAGTTAACAAAATGAATTCTTCTTAGTGCTAATCTCTAAATATGAAAACACTGAGTGGAACTGCAATACTGCATGATGTAAAAGAAGTGGTCTGAGATTCTATTTGCCATTCACAGAAAGTTTCCCAGAGAGTAGGAAAGAAAAGACTGGAAGAGAACATGTATGAGAACACAGTTGATAATTCACATGAATAAAAGTCAAGGCCTGAGGTGGTGACTCAAGTGGTAAAGAACCTGTCTTATAACTGTGAGATTCTGAATTCAAATTCCAGTACTACTACCTCACTTCCATGCCATCTGACTATCTCATTGCAACAAGACCAGGAGATTTTATTCCCAAATGACCAGTAGAACCTCTGCTCCTTACAGGCTGCAGAGCGTGGCAGAAAATTACAGATAATGCAGTCACAGAACCTAACTAGATGCCTAACAGCCCCGTATCACCGCGTGACTATATTCTGTCAGCACCATGTTGGTGTCTGAAGACTCACAGCCTCCACCATGACACGCACTGGGACTCACCTGTCTGGAGGAGTCTAAGGCCATCTCTAGGAGTCCATCAACAGCCATGCCAAGGCTCTGGTAGAATTTTCTAATGGGCTGCTCACATTCCAGAGTACTTTCCGGATTCAGTAAAAAGCTTTCACAGACATGACTGCTAATTTCAGCCACTGAAGACATCTCTGCTCCTTCAGGCAAAGTTCTGTCCAATCCCAGCAGGATGGTATCAGACCATATTTCATCAAGTGCTGGAGCTAAAGTAAGCAAATACAGACAACTCTTCCTATGAGTGAGTACTCTGACCAGTCTGTGCTCTCCACTCAGTGAAAATAATGACCCAGCCAGAATCTTAGGACCAGCATACACTCCACTTCCTCAAGTGGAGGCCCAGCCACAGCCCTAGAACCCAAACACTCTAGACCATAAGCAACTGATTGAGCCACACCCTTAGGACTAACACACACACACACTCACACACAAGCACACAGCAACCCTCAGGACCAGGCAATTCTACATAGGCCCAAACTTCCCTCTCCCTGAGTTTGGATATAGGCAAGGAACAAAGGTGAGGCCCCTTAGAGCTTCCCCAACCCAGGGGCCTGCTCCCAGCATCCCCAGCATCCCCAGCCTCTGAGGGACTCATCCTGGTACACGCACCTGCTTCTGGGGCTTGGCCTGCTTCTGTGGCACCCATGTGGTCCAGAAAGAGACCCACGCGCTCACTAATCCGGCTCTTCAGGGCAACAGCTGCCTTCAGTGTTTCTCCAAACAAACCCAGCAGTCTCCTCAGGGCATCACGGAGTACTTTCCTAAGACATGAACCACAGTCATAAGGCTACTCTGCGGCCTTAGGAATTCCCTGGCTGACTAGCCTGCATACCACAGGGTCCCAGAGGACAGATTTCTGACCCGTAACAACCTGGGAAAGGACTCCCAGGCAGGAAGTAGTACTATTACTGGTTAGATGGGATGGGATTGTAGGAGACACAAAGGAAGACAATGTGAAGCAGGTAGGGCTGGTAAAATGTGAAGATTTGGAAAAGTAAACTGGCAAGTATACAGGTGTTCATCACATTCATGACATTATCTCGACGTTGAGATATTTTTCGGTAAGAAGAGCACTGTGGCCAGGGTCTCTGTCCACCAGACGTAGATATTCAAGGAGAACACCGTGGACCAGGAGGAGGGCAGCATGATGCCAGGGACACACTGACCCCTCACTCTCAGACTGGTCCACATCTGCCCGGAGCATGCAGATGAGGGCGGCACCCTCCTGGTTCTCCCTCTCACGCCTCTGCCGCAGCCTCTCGAGCTCAGCGTGACACTGTTCTACCTCCTGATGCAGGGACAAGACTTGGTCTTTCAGCTGTTGAGAAAAAGTATTGAATCCCAGTTAAAACAATTAGTTAACTGTAGGTTGCTATGGGAAAATTCTGTAACTTTAACAATTATATCTAATAAAAAATGGGCTCCCCAGTGCTGTCTCTCACAGTAACAACGGATCCCAGCAATCTTGTGAAGCTTGGAAAAAGCAGAAAGGGAAATACTCCAGCCAGAACCCTTAAATCAAAACATCCCTGAGGGCCATTCACCAGAGACTAGGACTTCACCAACATAAACATGGGCATCCGCCACACAAGAAAGAGCAGAGGAGGCTACAATACAACATCACTACACACTGCAGACTCAAGACCAAGAGCACAGGGAGAAACTTCCCTTGTGGACAGCATGGGGAGGCCATCCTTTCCACAGCTGTTACAGGGCAGGGACGGGCCAACGACATGCCAATAGGCTCTAGGTTGGGAACAGAGAGCAGAAGCCAAAGGTAAGTGGTCTTTATGGAGAGAGGCCATGTGAAGGGGCCTCTGTGGGGCAGGGAGCAAGCAGGGGCCAGCGAGGAGTCCCACAATAATCTTAGTGTACAAAGAAAACACAGTGCTGGGAAGGAGGTTTAGCAGTAGAATGCTTGCCTAGCATGCATGAAGCCCTGGGTTCAATTCCTCAGTGCCACATAAAAAGAAAAAGCCTGAAGTAGTGCTGTGGCTCAAAGTTGTAGAGTGCTAGCTTTGAGCAAAAGAAGCTCAGGGACAGTGCCTAGACCATGAGTTCAAACCCCAGGACTAGCAAAAAGAAATTTAAAAAAAGAAAAAAATAGACCAGAGGAAAAAAAGGAGAGTATGATTATATAACCAACCTACTACAGGAAATCATACCTACCATAAATACAGTATTAATGGAGGAGAAATAGAAAAACACACAGATTCTGTAAAATCAGTGGCTGAGTCCCACTAACACATACAAGTGACTCAAAAATTAAAGAAAACGGAGTAAGTAAAAAATGGGCTGGGGAAGTAACTCAGTGGCCATAGTATGTTTGTGTTAGGCCCTGGGTTCACCCACCATGCTCAGTACTAACAAACAAACAAACAAAAAAAACTCTCTCTCTGAGAGAAATCTAGACAAATGTATGTGTGTAGGGTATGTACACACACACACACACACACACACACGTTAAAGAATAACACCAAGAGACAAAGGACAGTGTATACCAGAATGCTCCCAGCACACCAACACGTATACATCCCAGATGGCTCAAGGCAGGGTTATATCCCCCTCCCTGGATGACAGCAAATGACAGTGACCAGGGGTTGACAGAGGACAGACATACTACCGTTTAAGCCACTTTGCTAATGCTTTTTGTCCAAATGTGTCTTACTTCCTGCCAAGTCTACCCTGCACTGTTACTGTGCTTCCCTCATCCCTAGGATGATACAGATGTGTGTTTCTGCACCCAACCACTGAGCTTCCCCATAAATGGGATCAGGTATGCACAACCACTGGATGTAAGTCAGAGGAGAGATCTATCTGGTGCACACAGCTCTCAGAGATCAATATGAGCTACCTGTAACACACAATGCAAACACACGTATGCCTTCATATACAATAATGAGGAACTCAACAACAAAAACAAACCACTCCTGGGGGCTGGGAAGGTGCCTCAACGGTAGAGCGCTTACCTTGCAGGCATGAGGCCCCTGGGTTCGATTCCTCAGCACACATAAGCAGGAAAAAAAAAGCTGGAAGTGGAACTGTGGCTCAAGTGGTAGAGTGCTACCTTGAGCTGAAGAGCTGAGGGACAGTGCCCAGGCCCAGAGTTCAGGCCCACGATCGGACCCAAAAACAAAAAACAAAAAAACACTCCTTTAAAAAAATGACCAAGGACTGGACAGACCTTTCTCCATATATACAAGCTGCCTTAATAAGTACATGAAAACAGAGGTAACAAAACTAATCATTAGGGAAACACAAAACAAACCCACAATGAGGTACCTCTTCATACCTACTAGCAGTAGGATGGCAAAAAAAGGAGAGGGAGGAGAGATGAGGGAGGGAAAGGAAGAAAGAAGAAAAAAGGAAAAAGAAGAGAAGAGAAAGGGAAGAGAGAAGCAGAAGGGGAAGAAAAGAAAGGAGAGAGGAAGGAAAGGAAAAGGACAAGAAAGAAGAAAGGGAAAAGGGTAAGAAAGAAGGAAAAGAAAGGGGAGAAAGAAAAAGGAAAGAGAGGGAAGCTGAAGATGGAGAAGTGAAAGAAGGAAGAGGACAAAGATAAGGAAGAGGAGAAGGGAAGGGCTGGGAAGGATGGAGAAGAAGAGGTGACAGTGACAACAGCAGCAAGCAGGTCATAGATCTGAAGGGTCATGATCCAAGGCCAGCTCAGGCAAAAAGTCAAATTCTGCCTAACTAAAACAAAAAGGGCATGCCTCAAGTGGTAAGCACAAAAGTCCCATGAAACAAAAGGAAAGTAAGTATTGATAAGAATAGACTCTACAGAAAATCAAGCCAGGTGCTGGTGGCACATACATGTAATCCTAGCTCTACTCAGGAGACAGATCTGAAAAATCACGACCAGCCTCCCAAAAATAATCATAATAATAGTAATAATAATGTAGAAAAGTCAGAACCCTGTTCAGTACTGATAGGGAAAGTAAAATGGCACAGCTGCTGGAGAAAAGTTTGGCAGAACAGAAAACAAAAAACAAAACAGATACCAAGTAGGCACTGCTGTAACACAGCTCATCTATAGGCCTAGCTACTCAGGAGGCTAAGATCTGCCCACGGCAATCCAAGATACTCAAAACCTGGGTTCCATCAGCTTTAAAAGGTAAACATGCTTTCTTCCCAAATAATATGTTTTTCTTTTTTTCAGTAAGGCTCACATAGATGAACTAATCCCATTAATGAAATAAGCAGAGAGTAACCTAGCAGGCTACAGCACATTTCTCAAGTCAGTACAAATGGCCTCCGTGTGTCAATGACCACAAACAGAAAGGGTGGAAGTGCCTCCACCGAGGACCAGTGCAGAAGCTAACAACCAACGGGACCTATGGCCTCACATGGAAGCTGGAGCCCACACAGGCTGGCCCCAGACCTGCTGCTCAAAAGCAGAGCTGTAGGCTCCATTCAGCTGTAGACCTGCCTTCCCTCTGTACCCCTATCCAAGAACAGCTTCACAGCAGGAAAGAGAATGACTTCAAGGAGATGCTGGGGGGACCTGGGGGAAAGAGGGAGGACTGGAGGAGCAGGCAGTTATGCAGGTGTGCAGCTGGGTAAGGCTCAGGCTCGGGGCCTCTAGACAGCCATGGCTGGCTATCTGGTAGGCCCTGACTATACTCAATAGCTCCTGCCGCCCATGCAGGGGATCCTACCTTTTACAATCATTTCTATTTCCAGCATGGGAAAAAACTCAGTTCAGTTTATTGTGTTCTAAATGGTAAGATCAGTCTAAGAAAGGATGTTTTTAAAAAGGCTTTTTTTCCTGTTTTTTTAATTCTCAGAAATATAGAAAAAAACACATAATTTTGTCATAAAACATAATTGATATTCCTAGAGAAGAAAAAAGGACATACACACATACCCCCCCCCCAAAAAAAAACCCAACCAACATGAGAATAAAGATAAACTTGCCAAATAAAGAATTGAAGACATTCAAACATCTAAACTGATTACAGGTTCTCTTAATACTTTCAAAAGTTAACCTATGAACATGGTTAGTACTTATCGAAGAAAACAGGAAAAAAGCCCTAAACAATCATGACTGGTCACACCACAGCTCATTTCTGGACCCCAGACCTTGCTTAGTGTCACCAGCTCAGACTTCATTAATGAAAAGAAATTAGTCTTACGTTTTGAGAGTTTCTCACAACCAAACTCCAAAAGGCATAACATGAAAAGTAACCCAGCTGCCTCAAGTGTGTGAGCTAAATGAGCCTCTCTAGACAGGTGCAAAGATATTTGTGGCCTGGAGTGGCTACGGCCGAACAGCAAGAACAGCTTGTCCCTGCTATTTTAGGACAACGGTCCTGGTATCCCGAAGAGCACCCTGACAGGGTTTCCAAAATGTCTGCCTGAGAGGAAGTGTTTCACTAGCAGTCATTCTGGCCATCCCTGCAAACCCACCTTCACAAATCCAGGGCACAAGGGAGAGCTGGTCCAATGCATCAAAGCTCTGTGTGAGTCTAGTCTGCACACCCACACAAGGAAGAGAAGGGGCCTGGACTGGAAACACACAGGAACAAAGGAGTAAATGAAGACTTCTTAGGATGGGTCGTGGCAATGTCTTAGGGAAGAAGGGTCTGGGAACTGATGCACTAAGACTGGTGCATACGCTACTAGAAGTGTGATGAGGAGTTTATTTAATTATTCAATTATTTATGTGTCTAAATATGCCCCATACCCAAAAAAGTTAACCTAAATAACTATGCAGGACCACACCTCTTCTAGCCAAACTGCTTTGTCTGAGATTAGTGGAGCACAAGTATTCTCATGAGACAGCATCAGTCACACACAAATTCAGACTAGGGGAGAGAGGAACAACTGAACAAGGTTGTGCCACACCCAAAAATGGTCAAAATTACTGCACTCAACACAGTTCTCAGGCATACAACAGTCACCACAGATGTCTCAACAGCATTGTGGTGACCCAGAAAACAAGCAGGGGGCCTGGGAAGGTAGCTCAGTGGTAGAGTGCTTGCCTTGCATGCATAAGGCCCTGGGTTTGATTCCTCAGCACCACATAAGCAAAAGCCAGAAGTAGCACTGTGGCTCAAGTGGCAGAGTGCTTGCCTTGAGCTGAAGAGCTGAGGGACAGCACCCAGGCCCAGAGTTCAGGCCCCACAACTGACAAACAACAACAGAAAACAAGCATGGCTTTCTATAATCCTACCAACTCAGGAGACTGAGATATGATGATCAGAGTTCAGAGCCAGCCCAGGAAGAAAAATCACTGAGACTCTTTTATGTCTAATTAATCTCCAAAAACCCAAAAATAGTGTTTTGATTCAAATGGAAGAGCACCAGTCTCGAGCAGGAAAAGCTAAGGAATAGTGCCCAGGCCCACAGTTCAACCCCCAATGGCATACGCAGGCATCCAAGAGCATGCACATGTGTGTACGTACGCGCACGCCCACGCGCGCGTGCACGCACACACGCGCGCGCGCGCACACACACACACACACACACACACACACACACACACACACACACATACTCAACACAGAAAAAATTTTCTTCAAAAGTATGTGACAGGGCTGGGAAGGTGGCTCAGTGGTAGAGCGCTTGCCTTGCATGCCAGAGACCCTGGGTTCGATTTCCCAGCACCACATAAGCAAAAAGAAAAAAGCCAGAAGTGGCGCTGTGGCTCAAGTGGTAGAGCGCTAGCCTTGAGCTGAAGAGCTGAGGGACAGTGCCCAGGCCCAGAGTTCAGGCCCCATGACCGGACCCAAAAAAAAAATTAAAAAAAAAAAAAAAAAGTATGTGACACCAGTGGCTCACTCAGGAGGCTGAGATCTGAGGATCACAGTTTGAAGCTAGACCACACAGAAAAGTTCCCACAACACTATTATCTCCAGTTTTTTACCACTCAAAAACCAGAAGTGGAACTGTGGCTCAAATGGTAAGAGTGTTAGTCTTGAGCACAAGGAAGCTCAGAGACAGTGCCCAGGCTGAGTTCAAGCTCTACTCTTCCCGCACCACCCCCCAACTCTTATCACCTCTATAATAACAATAAAGTGCATTTAAAAAATTAAAAAAAGCAAGCACACAGCTCTAAGAATGACTTTTAAAAAGCAAGGTAAGCCGGGAACCAGTAGCTCACACCTGTAATCCTAGCTACTCAGGAGGCTGAGATCTGAGGAAGGAGGCTCAAAGCCAGCCCTCTCAAGTCATGTGTACACATGCTACTTATACAAGTTCATCAGGCAGACCAGGGACTATAGTGTAACCTCGATGCAGGGCCTCTGCACAAGGGAGACCCTGGTAGTGAATGTTCTCCTACACAGATGGACTAGGGCCCATGGTAGCAGGGCAGCAGTCCTTGTAGCCTCCCAAGGATAAAAGGGGTTTCTCAATGCTTTGTTAGATTTTGTCATGAAGCTGCCACATAATTTGGCATATAGATAAACTCTAAAAAAGAAACTGTAAGGTGTGCAGATTTCCCAAAGTATCTAATCATGCTCTGTGTTAAACCCCATAGCAGCTTGCCCCATACCATCCTCCTACATTCTTCCCTAGAAATGGTACCAACAACTCAACTGTGGCCTCCCTGCCAATCTCATGCCACTGCCATCATCAGCAACACTTTAGTAGATAGCCTTACACCCGCCTCCCCTCCTTATGCCTCTCATGGACTTAGGTCAACTCATGCCTCGGTCGAAACAGTCATCATCACCAGGCAGGCACTGGTGGCTCATACCTGTAATCCTACTCAAAAAGCTGAGATCTGAAGATCCTGGTTCGAAGCCAGCCAGGGCAGGAAAGTCCATGAGACTCTTATCTCCAAGAAACTATTCAGAAAAAGCTGGAAGTGGTGCTATGGCTTAAGTGGTATAGATTTGGGCACAAAGAGGCGCAGGGACAGTGCCCAGGTCGAGTTCAAGCCCCAGGTCCAGCAAAAATAATCAAAACAGTCATCATCGGCTGGGAAGGTGGCGCAGTGGTAGAGTGCTTGCTTCGCATGCATGAAGCCCTGGGTTCATGCATGTACCACATACACAGAAAAAGCCAGAGTGGTGCTGTGGCTCAAGGGATAGAGTGCTAGCCTTGAGCAAAAGAAGCACAGGGAAAGTGCCAAGGCCTTGAGTTCAAGCCCAGGATGGCCAAACAAAACAAAACGGTCATCATCAATCCCTTCTCCATTACATTGTCAAAGTGCCTCTGGGATAGATTCATGTCCCAAGAGTCACCTCTGCCTGTAAGACTAGGCCAAGACTACTCTCCAGAGGCATCCACGAGGACACTGGCAATCTACTTTACAAGGACACCCACAAGGTCTGGATGAGCCAGCACTTTGACGTTGCTCTCCATGGAGCTAGGTCCTCACCCACTGCAGTGGGTCCCACAGTCGCCATGGACCGCTGAGCGCGGCTGTGGTTCTCACAGCATCATGATCAAGGTTTCAAGGTGGCACCCAGGGACTCCATCAGAACGCGCGCCTGCGTACCCCAACCCTGTTACACATGGAACACTCACCTGAGCAGCCTGTCCCTGTACCTCTGGGGGCTTGGCCAGCTCTATTTGTGACTTCTGTGTCTCTACTGCATGTACATCTCCCAGCTGCTGTGGAGTGGCTTGGCCCTCTAGGAGCAGGACTTCAGTGTCCACCCTGTCCAGGGACGCAACCTTATCTTCCTCTAGCAGGCACCTCTGATGATGCAGGGCAGAAGCTAGTGACTCCTGCCAAGAGAGAATCCCAACCACCCGTCAGCAGTGCACCGGGGCCCCTCTAAGGCCTTGCCACATGTTACTTACAGTTAAATTCTGCCACCAATAAAGTTCAGTCATGTGTAAAAACATATTTTTGGCTGGGCGCTGGTGGTTTATGCCTGTCATCCTAGCTACTAAGGAGGCTGAGATCTGAGGATCGTAGTTTGAAGCCAGCCAGGGCAGGAAAGTCCATGAGACACCTCTAATTAACCACCAGAAAATAGGAAGTAGCACTGTGTCTCAAAGTGGTAGAAAAAAGCTCAGTGACAGTGTCCTGGCCCTGAGTTCAAGACCCAAGATCAGCATGAAAACAAAAACAAAGGGCTGGGAAGGTGGCTCAGTGGTAGAGCGCTTGCCTTGCATGCCTGAGGCCCTGGGTTTGATTCCTCAGCACCACATAAGCAAAAACAAAAAAAGCCGGAAGTGGCACTGTGGCTCAAGTGGTAGAGCGCTAGCCTTGAGCTGAAGAGCTCAGGGACAGCACCCAGGCCCAGAGTTCAGGCCCCACGACCAGACCCAAAAAACAAAAACAAAACAAAACAAAAACAAACTGCACTTTCATATATGATATGCATTTTTCTGCTTTCTGAATATTCTATCAGAACTTCATTTTCTTTAAACCAAATGAACCAAGGCCTACTACAAGCTTAGATCTACAGGCCAAAGCAAGTGCCACCCTTAGCATCTGCCACATGTGACTCGGCCAGGACAAGGGACCCTGAGACAGGTTGTATGTGGCTGAAAAAGTGTATGTCTTGCCTGGGGTCTCCTAGTAGCATCAGACATCTTTGCAAATCAGTTGAGATAAGAGGCAGAGAGAGGGAGAGAGAGATCACAGAGTCAGCCTCGCTGGATCAGTCCAGGTGCAGATGGCGCCAGCCTTACCAGCAAGGAGACAGCAACTGGGGTGGCACCTGTTCCAAGGGCTGGCACTCACAAGTGTTCACTGTTCTATATACTACCAGAGTAGCGGCATCTACCTCAGGAAGACAGACTCCCATAAGCTAGAAAAGTGTGCAGCGTACACACTAAGATGTGTTTTAAATCAGACAGATATGGCCTATTCATGATCACAGAAAAATGGGTTCTGCGATGGATGCAGGTCCATGGAGACTTGGCCAGAAATTCTCCTTCCTGCCAAAAATTTCAAGTGCCTGCCATCAGAACCACCACTGCTCTTGAAATGAAAAAAACCTTGATTTCAGGAAATATCAATAAAAGAAAAACCAAGGCTCTGTATGTACAACACAAAAATCAGATCTACTGGGCTGGGAAGGTGGCTCAGTGGTAGAGTGCTTGCCTTGCATGCATGAGGCCCTGGGTTCGATTCCTCAGCACCACATAAGCAAAAAGAAAAAAGCCGGAAGTGGTGCTGTGGCTCGTGGGAGAGCGCTAGCCTTGAGCTGAAGAGCTGAGGGACAGCGCCCAGGCCCAGAATTCAGGCCCCACAACTGGACCCAAAAAAAAAAAAATCAGATCTACTTACTGCATACAGAGACAGGGAGAGGCTGATGCACATGAGGCACACAGTGCCCCCAAACACAAGGAAACTCACTGTTCTGAGTCATTTCAAGAAAGACCAGAGCTGTCAGCCATTTGTGAGGTCCATGGACATGCACACAGACACACACAGAGATGTGAAGACACACAGGTAGACCCAAGGGTACAAGACAGACATGTGCACATGACTTGAGAGTTACACGAAGACTAAGAAACACACACTGACGCAAAGGCATGCATACCAATGCACACACAGAGAAACATGCTATATGCAACCAATACACACAATGTGCAGATGTGCCTTGGGCCAGAGGAAGGGGCCCTGGCGACTCTTGAAACTCACCTGGCGTACACCTTGCACCTCGATGGTCTGGGCTGTCAGTGGCTCTGGATGTTTAGCACTCGTTGCAATTCTCAGATTGTCCTTTAGAGACTGAAGCTCCCCATCATATTTCAGCTTAAGCTTCTCCAACTCTTGGGTCAAAATTGCTTGGTGATAGGAGTCCTTTTTCTGCAGCTGTTCCACAAGTTCTACTCGCAAAAGCTCCAGAGCTTTCCTGTGCTCATCCTGAACACTCTGAATGTCAGCCAGGTAACAGGATTCCAGAGCATCCAGGTTGGACAAATGTCTCCTCTCCAAAGCACTAATTTCCGCAGCATGTTTCACATGCAATTCAGCCATATGCTTCTCAAAGAGCACCCGCTGCTCACTCTCAAGCGAAGTTCTCTGCTCAGCAAGCTCAGCCTGTTGCTTCTTCTCCAGTTCTGTCCTTAATGAGAGAAGCTGCTGCTGGTGTTCCTGCTGCAGGAGCTGGAGCTCGTGAGCATGCTTCCCCTGGATGTCCTGCAGGAAGGCATCTTGTTCTGCAGCAAATTTCTCCATAATTTCTTTACGCTCTTCCAAAAACCTGAGGCAATACTCAAGGTGAACATAGGCAGCAAGACATTCACACTGCATCTCCCCCTTCTGAATCCTGAGCCACACTCTTCACAAAAGATGCCTTGGCCCTGGATTTGAACAGACCTTGGGATGAGCTCAGAGCAAGCCACATAAAGCCTGAGGGGTTCAAAGGCAAGGGCAAGAGTCGCCAGGCCAAAGAGTGAACACAGCATCCACAGGGAAATCACACAGGCATCTCAGTAGGACCATAGACAGCAGACTCAACACTGGAACAGCAAGGAATCAAGATCCTTGGCCCTCTCTGCACCTTAACAGAAGTATTGGCCACAGGGGTCATAGGGCTACAGAACAGCCAACTGGCCCAAGAGAGCAGAAAGATTAAATTCTCAGGAGCAGGAGAAGTCCTCCTGTGGAAGGAGGAGCACAGATAACCGTGGAAGGCCCCAGCACTGGTCATGAGTCAGTAACGAGAACTCTTTATGTGGTTACAGACCTGATATTGCAAGACAAAGTCTCATATTTGTAGGCCTCCCATAGATTACCTCACTGAACATTTCCATTATGTGAGAAAAGTAAGATCCCTTCAGGTGAGGTATCTGACACAATTTGGGCTGGATCTGACCTTTTTTTGAAGCTAGAGCAGAATTCCTAAATATCCCTGTGATGCTGGAGAAGGCAACAGAGGGGAAGTCAAGCCAACAAGTGCAACGGCCGAGTGACAAGGAAACCTAGGCTTCCACAGGCCAGACTGGAGTAGCACCAAAAAAGGCAAACAACTTATTCACATTTTGAGTTTACCTAAAATTTCAGGAAATTAAGTTTTAGTTTAGTTTTAGTTCTAGGTTTTTTTTAGTTGTATGCTTGAGCCAACTGCTGATGGCTCACAAGTATAACCCTAACTACGTAGGGGCTGCGATGGGGAGAACTGCAGCTCAGAGGCAACTTGAGCACATACAAGACTCCTTCTCAACTGAACTTTTCAACTGTAGCTGTACAGTAGCCTTAAACGGGAAGAATGCATTCTTCCAGTCCAGCCTGGACAGAAAAGTCTGTGAGATTCCATCTCAACAGAAAGTGGCCAAATGTACACATGTGCCTTGGCAGGAGGCAAAACGTTATCTAAATAATAACTAAGTACAGATGGGCTCGTAGCTACTCAGAGGCTGCAATCTGAGGATCATGGTTGAAAGCCAGCCCAAGCAGAAAAGTCCGTGAGACTCTTCTCTCCAATTAACCACTAAAAAGCTAGAAGTGGAGCTATGGCTCAGGTGGTAGAGTGCTAGCCTTGAGCTGAAGAGCAGACAGTGCCCAGGCCCAGAGCTCAGGCCCCATGACCAGCAAAAAATAAATAAATAAATAAAAAATAAATAGCCAGGCACTGGTGTCTCACACCTGTAATCCTAGTTACTCAGGTGGCTGAGATCTAAGGATCGCAGTTCAAAACCAGCCCAGGGAAGAACAGTCTGGGAGACTCTTATCTCCAATTAACCACCAGAAAATCAGAAGTGGTGCTGTGGCTCAAAGTGGTATAGCACTTATCCTTGAGCAAAAGAGCTCAAAGACAGTACCCAGGCCCTTAGTTCAAGCCCCACTACTGGCAAGCATGCATACATACACACACACACACACACACACACACACACACACACACACACACATATACATACATACATACATACATACATACATACATACATACATACATACACACACACATACATACACACATACATTTAAAAAGCCAGACACAGTAGCACATGACTGTAATACAAGAAATCAAGAGGCCAGGGAAGGAGGAGAATCATGAGGCCAAGGTGAGCCTGGGCTATATAGCAAGACTCCAACTCAAAATAAAAAAAATTAATAAAAATAAAATAGCAAGTTACTGGTGGCTAGAAGTATGGTTCAAATGGTAGGGTCAGCCATGAGGGGAAAAAGAAAAGCCAAGCAAAAGTAGGAAGTCCACAGCCAGACATGAGTGGCTCTAGTATATAATCCTACTCAGGAGGCTGAGATCTGAGGATTAAAGTTTGAAGCCAATTGGAGCAAGGCAAATCCATGAGATTCTTTTTTTTTTTTGAGTCCGGTCATGGGGCCTGAACTCTGGGCCTGGGCACTGTCCCTCAGCTCTTCAGCTCAAGACTAGAGCTCTACCACTTGAACCATAGCGTCACTTCCGGCTTTTTTCTTTTTGCTTATGTGGTGCTGAGGAATCAAACCCAGGGCCTCATGCATGCAAGGCAAGCACTCTACCACTGAGTTACCTTCCCAGCCCTGAGATTATCTCCAATTAACTACCAAAAAGTCAGAAGCAGAGGTGTGGCTTAAGTGGTAGAGCATCAGCCTTAAGTGAAAAAGCTAAGGAATAGTGTCCAAGCCCTCAATTCAAGCCCCCAAAAAAGTGTGAGGTCCTGACTTCAAGCCCTGGTAGTGACCCGCACACATGTGTACAGACAGACAGACACACACACACACACACACACACAAAACAAGGCACTCAAGCTCCAGAGACTGTTGCCAATGTATCTGTCAAGCACAAGACTGTTCCCTTTAGTTCGGGGTGAAAATTCAGTACATCACTCCTTGCTCTACCACCTTCCAGATCCTGCCTGGCTGGCCAAGAGCTCCACTGAACATCTTCCTGGGTGCTTGCCTCTCATACTCTGTTAGCTCCTTTGGCATCCAGCTCCAACCAAAATCCATGGCTCCACGACCTCACTCACCTGTTCCGAGCCAGCATAAGCTGGAGGGCACAATCCTCCTCGTCATGGGGAAGCAGGGTGCACTCTCCTTCCTCAGCCATGGATGGCTGCTGGCCACACTGGCTGCACAACAAGGCCTCATCCCCAGCAAGTTCTTGTTCTAACTGCCGCAGACGGCCCTGCTGGTCCCTCAGAGACTTCTCTAGGCCCAGGATCTGGGCTGTCTGTTGATCTTGAAGGTGCTTCATACCCTTCTCTCGAAGCTCAAATCTTTTTATGACGGACTGTTTCTCAGACTCAGCCTTTTCTCTCAGCTCAAGAAGCATCAAGGCTAACCTCTCTTCAGCTTCCTTCTTCAGGTCCTGCTGTAAAAGTTCCCACTCCATTTCTTTCCTTTTTAATTCTTGTTTCATTAGTTGAATCTTCTCTTCTGCTTTATTTAAATCTTCTTTGTGGTGTTCAACTAGAGTATGTTTTACCTACAGATGACATGAGTGTATGTAAGAGTAAATAAATTAAAAGAAATACTGGAAACAATTACTCAAATTCCACAACACACAGTAATGAGAATGCTTCTTGTGTTGATGCAAGTAGAAGGAATCTTAAATAAAATAGAAAAACAGGGCTGGGAAGGTGGCTCAGTGGTAGAGCGCTTGCCTTGCATGCTTGAGGCCCTGGGTTCAATTTCTCAGCACCACAAAAGGAAAAAGAAAAAAGCCGGAAGTGGTGCTGTGGCTCAAGTGGTAGAGCGCTAGCCTTGAGCTGAAGAGCTGAGGGACAGCGCCCAGGCCCAGAGTTCAGGCCCCATGACCGGACCCAAAAAAAAAAAAAAAGAAAAAAAAAGAAAAACATACAAAGGACAAGAGTAAAGATGGCAATAAAGTCCTGCTCTACTGTAACCAAGAACAGCAATGGTAAATCAGACAGAACCTGGGTCTGCTGTAAGAGGAGGCCATTCCAACAGCAGCAAGATTAGCGGACCAAGAGAGACTGAGGAAGAACACAGTCAATGCGTTCTAGTCTCCTGATCTGTAATGAACTAAATAAACTCATCATTCTAAAGGTACCTTATGAACAGGAACTGAATGAGAAACTTGAGGGTGGCAAAGTATCCCAAGTTTCAAAAGAGAAGAAAGTATATCAATAAACTTCTGAGTATCATCAATAAGAAAATAATCAAAGCCAAAAAGGAACTTGAAAGTAGCCACAATTCCTTACTAAAAATAAAATCTAAGTCAGGCTCTAGTGGCTCATACTGTAAACCTGGCAACTCAGAAGGCTGAGATCTGAGGATTGCAGTTTGAATACAGCACAGGCAGAAAACTCTATGAGACTCCTACCTCCAGTTAACCAGTAAAAAGCCAGAAGTGGAGGTGTGGCTCAAGTGGTAGAGTGCCAGCCATGAGCAGAAAAAGCTAAGGGAGAGCACCTTGCACCTTGAGTACACCTTGGTACCAAAAAGAAAAAAGATATACAGAGCCTCCCTGTAAAGGTTTGATACTCACATTCTCCAGGTCCTCTTTCAGATGAGTCTCATGCTGTAACTTCTCATGTAAATTTCTGTTTTCTATTTTTAAGAGTTCAATTTCTTCCTTGAGCTCAGTTTGAAGAAGTGAGAGTTTAACCTTGTGCTCAGCTTCCAAACCCAGGATTCTAGATGCTACCTGTGCATCTTCCTCCGTTGTTATGTCCTGCATACACCGGAGATGCACCTGCACGAGGTCTGAGAAAAAAGGAAACGGAGAGAGTAATATACTGTAGCTCATCTATGTTATCTGAACTTTATCCTTCAGATAACTCAAGCAACAGAGACATCTAGGCTGTGCACACTCCAGGTGCAGCTCTCGTAGTACCTCTGCCAAAGGCACAGCACTGTCAAACCCCTGAGTCTGCACAGCAGACACCTAGCCAGCCCCGGCTCTTCCTCTAAGTCAGCTGTGACATGCTGCCTGAGGCTGATCAGCCAGGGCACGCCTTGCACTAATCAGATGTGGGTGCTATGAAGGTTATTTGAAGCCTCAGATGAAGGACAGTGCCTCAGAGGCCGGTGAGTCCATGAGCCAGATAGAATGCTCCCCTACGCTAGGCCTGAGTCTCCTTCAACAAAAGAGGGTAAAAAAGACCTAAGTCCTGGGATCAGAACAGAACAAGCTGTCCTACCGGCAGCATGGAGCAGTAGCAGCACCTGAGGACTGAACACACTGAATATACATCCAGTTCTTGGGTGCTGGTGGTGTTGGTCCTAGGGTGTCAGTGTAGGTTCTGGCACACAAGGGACAAGAGCACTGAGAAATAAATGTAGCTGTTCAGACCTAGACTTTCAAGTGGAGCCATGTTCAACCTGCTTCATAGAGCCCTGAGTGAACGCTCAGCCAGAAGAGAGGCTCCCACACCACTGTTCTCACTTTTTGACGCTGGCCTCCCCATCTCCACCAAGGATGGGCACTGTGTTCCAGAGCTGAGCAGAGCAATAGTTGTACTATTGCTACACTTCATGCTACCCATGTTTGGCTGCATTCAGTGACATTGTTCAAGGTTTGATTATTTTGACCAGGGGTTTTCCATCCCACCACTTCTGACCCCCTCACACCCCATTCCCTGTCAAGATGACCCACAGCCTTAGTCTGACTAGCTTGTGCTGCTCAATGGGAATGGAGGGAGAAGACAAGGGTGAGTGGTCAGCACTGGTGCTGCCAGCAATCCAGGCCACCTCTGTGATGTCCCCTCCCCAAGGCGAATGGCCAATCCCTGTGCTAGGGTAATAAATACCCAGCCAATACATCCTATCTGAAGGTCAGCCCCATGTGGAGTGAGCCACCCCCACAACTCCACTTTGCATAACAGCACTCATAGCAAGTGGTCCCTCACAGTAAGTGACCCTCACAGTGAGGGGGTCATGTCCCCCAGGAGGAAGGCTCACAGTGTTCAGAGCACAGCACTAGCTCCAGCAGAAGCGGGTAGACACGCAGGCGTGCTACAGGCACTCATCACTACTATGGGACATTCCTGAAGGCAGAGCTAGCAGGGCTCAGAGCACAGAGAACACGAGCCAGGAGGGTAGACAGAACACCCACCTGGGCTATGCTGGTCTGAAGGTGCAGCCAGGCTTGGTTCCAGATCCAGCACCTTGGGCCCGAGGCATCTATCTGACTCGTCTGCTTCCAGCTGGACATGGAGACAACTTAACACCTCTGACTTGCACATGTGGTCTTCTTCTGCCCCTGCTTGTAAACACGTCAGGGTTTCCTAGGGAAAAACCACAAAGGATGATATGTCCATGTACCTGACCACCTCATTTACTGTGATTACTGTGAAGGTATTTACTACTACAGTCCAATATAATGCCTCTAGACCTTGATGGATTCACCAAGCCATGCTGTTGATCCGTCCGTCACACACCTCATGAAACCATAGGCCCCCAGAAGCAATGGCTGCAACCTGAGGACAGTGTGCTCCGTGAAGCACACCATCATGGACTCAGGTAGAAGTCCTTCTCCAGGGCTGTCCTGACAGTAAACCCTTACAGCACCCAACACATTCACTTTGCTCTTCCCCTCCTAATCAAGTCACTATCTAATGCCTCCCCTTTTGAGTCTCTCCTGAAATCAGTCTCACTTCTCAAGCTGGGACTCCTTCCTAAACTCCAGACATCTGTGACCTATACCACTCCATTGTGGTAGATTGTGTCTTGTCATACTCAGACTCAGCATTCATTGGTCCATGGAGATGCAGCAAGGGAGAGGGGGAGGTATGGATCCCGCTCTCCTCCCAGGGCCAGCCTGCCTGTCTAAAGGCTCTGCATACCTCTTTGGGTATTTCTTTGTCCTGGTGAGCATTCCCTCCATAACCTGTTGGTATCAAATCCATATGGGTGTCTGGCTCTCAAAGGACTATAACCAGCACTACCCTGCTGCCCACCCTATGCCAGCTAGATGCCTACTCTCTGATGTGAGGCGTCTGGCTGCTGTGCCAAGATGCCATACAGCTATCACTTCTGTCATTTGCCTAACTTTTGCATCCCTTAGCTCTTCATCCCCAGAGTCTAATAACAAGCTTTCTCAAGTGTGGAACAAGCTTCTGAGATGGGTCTCTGGTTCTTCCTAAAAACTAGTCCTGCTCTCTGTAAACTCAACCTATCCTAACACAGGATAACTGAATGGGTACACTAATGCTAAACATTCTCTTGAAAATGCAGGCAAAAAAAATTTTTTCCAGCCGGCTACCAGTGGCTCACGCCTGTAATCCTAGCTACTCAGGAGGCTGCAATATGAGGATCATAGCTCAAAGCCAGCCTGGGCAGGAAAGTCTGTGAGACTCTTATCTCCAAGAAACTGGAAGCAGCACTGTGGCTCAAGTGGTAGAGCGCTGGCCTTGAGCTGAAGAGCTAAGGGACAGGGCCCAGGCCCAGAGTTCAAGCCCCAGGACCGACAAAAAAAAAAAAAATTTCCTCAAACCATAGGAGTTCACATCATTCTGAACTTCAAGCTCCTGATGAACCCAAATCACCTTTAAATCAAAACCTAAATTCTCAATGTTACAAAAGAAGCACCATTACTGAAGAGATAGACTTGGTCCAGTAACAGTAAGAAACAGTACAGTGCGTCTCAGCAAGTAGACAGAGTCTGAGGACATGAAGAACGAGGCAAAGCCACTCTGAACCCCACCCTACCACTGGGTATCAGTCTCTCACTGGTCGCACCCAACGAGAAAAGCATGAAAGCATGAAAACATTCCCCCGCCCCACCCCCCCCCCCCGCCCGGCTTGAGCCCAAAGGTGAGCAGTGCCAGGAACTATTCAAATAAAAAAACTATGAACAACCATAGTAAAACGGGAAGAGGAACAAGCCCAAACCAATGAAGGCTTGTCGGCCATGGACTGAATCCTCTGAACTGTGAGTCACAATAAACCTTTTCTCTGCAAAAAAAAAAAAAAAAAAATGGGAAGAGGTGGGAAGCAATCGTAACAAGTGAAATAATGGTTGGTAAACAAATAAAGATACTTAATCTCAGGGCTGGGAAGGTGGCTCAGTGGTAGAGTGCTTGCCTCGCATGCATGAGGCCTTAGGTTCAATTCCTCAGCATCATGTAAGCAGAAAAGGCCGGAAGTGGTGCTGTGGCTCAAGTGGCAGAGTGCTAGCCTTGAGCTGAAGAGCTAAGGGACAGTGTCCAGGTCCTGAGTTCAGGCCCATGACTGACAAAAAAAAAGAAAAAGAAAAAGAAAAAGATACTTAATTTCATTAATAATCAAAGAAATAAAAACCGAAGAAATTTGGACTATCTATCAGATAAGGAACACAAAGAATTTGGTGGCGGCCAGCAGCAAGTACACCTATGGGAGCCAGGTAAGATGGGAGTATTTTCATTGTTCTTTTTAATCAGGGTCTTCATATGTAGCCCAGCCTGGCTGAACATGATGACCGTTCTACCTCAGCCTCTCAAGTAACTAAGACGACATGTAGAACTTGTCAATATTTTAAATACAAACACTGACTCCACCATTTTTATCTCCACACCTCCCTGAAATATAACTGACGGGTAGGAAGTGATGTTGTGGCTCAAGCAGTAGAGCACTCGCCTTGAGCTGAAGAGCACAGGGACAGCGCCCACGCCAAGAGCTCAAGCCCCACAACCAACCAAAAAAAAAAAAAAAGAACTGACTGGGGTAGAGGTGTTAACTTATGCACTTATAAGGGAAATTAGGGAAAGAGAAAAGTGGTGCCAATTGTAGGCAGTCAGAGGCTCTGGCAGCTAAGACTTCCAAGGATGTAGAAGAAGGACCCAGGGGCAGGGCTCCATGACATCCAGAGGGTGGGAGTCAGGGTGCAAACAGTTTCAAGGACAGGAGGGTAGATGCCACATTCCCTCCTAGCATAACCAGGGAATGCTGGACAGAGGCAGCTGTGGGGTTCCCTTCCTCCTGCCCTTTCTCCTAAGGTGCCAGAATGTGGCAGTAGCCCCCAGTAGAAGGCAGAAGAGCCATCACTGGAAAAGACTAACAGCTCCAGGAAGCTTACTAATATCATTGGCACCTCCAAGTACAGCCCTGGACTGACTGGTACATAGAGCTCCCCAAGTTTAGCAAGGCCAGATCACCAACAAGCACAGAGAGCATCCACCTCCAACATCAAGCACAGAGACCTAGGAAGATGGACAACAGAGAATATGCACGAGGCAGACATCTCTAAATAATGAGAGTCTTCAGAGAGGTAAGTATAAATAAACACTGGAACAGAGATAAAACACACACACACACACACACACACACACACACACACACACACACACACACACAAAAGCAAGGCTAGAAATTAAAAATTAAAAAAAGGAAAATAAGTGTACTAGAAAACTAGAAGAGACAGGCACTGGTGACTCACATCTGTAATCCCAGCTACTCAGGAAACTAAGATCTGAGGATTGCAGTTCAAAGCTAGCCCAACAGAATAGTCCTTGAGACTCCATCTCCAATTAATTGACAAAAACCTGGACTGAAGGTATGGTTCCAGTGGTAGAGAACCAGTCTTGAACAAAAAAGCCACAAGTGGGAGACCATGAGTGCAAGCCTGGTACTAACACACACACACACACACACACACACACACACACACACACACACACACACAGAGACCATGAGTGCAAGCCTGGTACTAACACACACACACACACACACACACACACACACACACACTAGGAGAGAGTAAAGAAAATCTGCCATCCAGAAAACAGAACCCAAGTAACTGCAAGATGAGAAAAATGTAAGAACACCAAGCCTGGTACTAACACACACACACACACACACACACACACACACACACACACACACACACACACACACACACACACACACACACACACACACACACACACACACACACACACACACACACACACACACACACACGGAGAGAGTAAAGAAAATCTGCCATCCAGAAAACAGAACCCAAGTAACTGCAAGATGAGAAAAATGTAAGAACACCAAGTTTTGTTCTAGAAGCTAAACCAGTAAGAGAGGCCACAGAGTGACCTACCCTGAAACTCCTTGATTTTGGATTTCCAGCCTCCAGAACTGAGACAACTATATCTGTTAATTATGAACCTCTGAGTGAACATAACCTATATACTCCGTTACTGCATCCTCAGGACAACCATCACCACATAAAACCAAGAATAGTGGCCGTCTGAGACAAGGCAAAGCACACTTACACTCATGCCATGGGCCACACTAAAGACTGTCCTGTCTAGGACAGTAGGGTCTAGGGCTAATGGCATTTCCAAGAACTGCTATCAAGTGACCTCAGTCAAACAGTCATGTGTGCTGGTAGCCAAGACACTGTCTATGCACATCATCCCAAAAAACTGTTTGATCAGCGCTGCACCACAGAGGTTAACAACTAAAATTAACAGCAGAGAAGCAATCCAAAGAAGAAGAAACGTACGGGCTCATGAAAAGATGTCTCACCTGTAACTCAAAGCAAAACAGCTTCACACCTACCCTGTAGATTGTCAAAGTCATAGATGAGACAAGTACACAGCACTGGGAAGGCAAGACAAGAGAAGCTGTACTGACATCAGGACAGGAGACAAGACAAGTGAGACAGGGAGCAAAGGGTACAGTACCTGAGTGATGTGTGACAGGTCAATGAGGAAGAAAGAAAAACAGAGATTTTATGACAGGAAGGGTGATGACTAAATTAAGGACTAATGATACCCACCTTTTCTCAGTAATCAAAAATAAATCAGAGGCCAAGCACTGGTGGCACTCATCTGTAATCCTAGCTACTCAAGAGACTGAGATCTAGCCAGATGCCGGTGGTTCACACCTATAATACTAAACTACTCAGGAGGCTGATATCTGAGGATCGAGGTTCAAAGCCAGCCCAGGCAGGAAAGTCCATGAGACTCTTATCTCCAATAAATCACTCAGAAAACTGGAAGTGGTGCTGTGGCACAAATAGCAGAGCGCTAGCCTTGAACTGAAGAGCTAAGGGACAGTGCCCAGGCCCAGCATTCAAGCCCCACGACCAATTAAAAAAAAGAAGGGGGAACAGACCAAGATCTGAGGACCACCAAAGTTCAAAAGCCAGCCAGGGAAGGAAAATCTATGAGACGCTCATCTCCAATTAACCACCAAAGAGCTAGAAATGGAGTTGTAGTAGAGTTGCTAGCCTTGAGTGAAAAAGCTCCAGAACAGTGCACCAGGCCCTGAATTCAAGCCCCAGGACCAACACCAAAAAGTAATTAAATAACTAATAATTAGCTTGTCACCTGCTGCTGTTCAAGATGAAAATCAAGTTGGTCAAGGTGCTCTTTTCTTTCTCTTCCAGATGTCTCTTCTAAAAATATACAGGATGAACTAGGAGAGAAAATATGTTTAAAGGTGTTAGCACTCTCCTTTCTTCCCACCATGCCCACTCTGAATTTGAGTCAAGTGCACCAACCTAAGGTATCCAAGAAAAGGTGTTTGATACCAGTCTGCATATCACTCCTGGAATTACAGTACTGGCAAGTAAGCCTAGATTACAGAGTGCCTTTCAGTCACTACAGGGGCCAGGGGCCAGTGACTTAGCAGCCAAGTACAGGACACACCGGCTCCGGAGCCAGCGCTCTGTACAGACCATAGAGTACATTCCTGAAACATACATCTACTGATCTCCACTGACACAAGGTCATAAGCAAAAGAGATGCAAACCCAGTTCAAGGTCCCCACATTTTAGACACCCACTCAGAAGACAGAAGCTGCCTACTCTACCTGACCTCTGCGGACCCTGGGGGAGAATCCTCCCTTGCCTCCTGCAGCCGCTGCTGAAACAGGGTCAAGTCTTCTTGGTAAGTCTTCTCAGCATCCCTCAATTTCTTCTCAAAATAGACTCTCAACTGCTCCAGTTCACACTCGTGCTGGGCTCTGTCCTGCTGCTGCTGCTGAGCAAAATCCCATCGCAGATGTTCCAGCTCCTCCACATGAGACGCTCGTGCATGGAGTGGGTCCTTTGACTCTTCAACAGTACAAAGCATGAAATCACCAAAGAGTGAAACAGGAAAACAGGAAACAGGGAGGTAAACCCCTAAGTAGACACTGAAAAAGGGCTCAATCTTGGAAGGACCCTCCATAGCTCAATCAACACCTCAGGAGCCCACTGCAAGACAAGGCATTCACTGGCAAGTGGTTCAAGAGCCAGAGAAAGTAGGAGCCAACAAAATTCAATGTGACAGGGAAGTGGGCGTATAGGACAGTAGGGAGACTACAGGCCTTCATCCTGTAATCAATCACAAGGAACTGGATCGTGCTACAAGTCCAAAGAATCTGGAAGTGGATTTGGGGTAACACATGGCTGCTAACATCTGCATCTCAGCTGTGGGAGGTGCTGAAAACTTGGATAACCCATCTCAAACTTTTTGTGAGCTTATAACCATGTGTTCTGAGATCACCAAGTTACTTGTTAACTTGCTTCCCAGTAACAAAAAAAATCAACATAGATCACACATGGCCCAAATGATGCTGCCAGCCAGACTATGGAACCACTAGTAATAACAGGGACAGAGCTGCTCTGTCAACCACAGAGGTTTTAGGTCAAAGTTCTTTGTCTGGGTCCTCAGATAAGGGGTGGAATCCAATGACGATCCATGTCTAGACCACATATAGAAGCAGCTCTGCCTCTGGCTCCCTCAGCTTATCTCTTCTCCAGCCATCAGTGACATACAGACCCCAGAGGAAAAACAAGCTGACCCTACCTGGTCAAAAACAGAACTCAGGTCCACAAATAAGAGATCAGGCCTCGGGTCCTATCACATGACAAAGGGCAAAACTGCCAACAGCTGGTTTCTAGTCCTTTCTCTTAACTGCTCCTTGATATAAACCACATTTAACCTCAGGAATAAACCAGCAACAGACTTAAAAGGCTGCTTACAAATGATCACCAGAAAAAGGTCTCATAGTTCAGTGCCAAGCTCCTGTGACCTTGGCTATTGGTGGCGTAAACTAGGCTTGTTCTCTGCCTGACTTGGAGGGGCCATGTCATCCAGAAACACAGAGATTTTACTGACATAAAAGTGGGACCTGAGCCGGGCGCAGGTGGCTCACGCCTGTAATCCTAGCTACTCAGGAGGCTGAGATCTGAGAATCGAGGTTCAAAGCCAGCCCGGGCAGGAAAGACCGTGAAACTCCTATCTCCAATAAACCACTAGAAAACCGGAAATGGCGCTGTAGCTCAAGTGGTAGAGCACTCGCCTTGAGCTGAAGAGCTGAGGGACAGCGCCCAGGCCCAGAGTTCAAGCCCCATAACCAGACAAAAAAAAAAAAAAGTGGGACCTGAGGCTCGAAGAATAAGGAGCTCAGACTTAAGGAACAGAGGGCTAAATGGAATTGCATCAGCAGAAGTGGCCACAGCTGCTAGGCCCTGGCAACTTGGGCATCCATCACCCTTCAAGAGTCAGATAGCACCTGTCCCAAAGCAGCTCCCAGAATCTGCCTGGCAGTAAACACCAGCAGGAATACCTACTGAGAACAACACTTGGGTGGCACTCACTGTGTCTGCAAGTAGATACTGAGCACCCTTGGTACGTCACCCGATACGTGACTGAAAAACCAGGCCCGACAAGTTAGGGTTAGAATATAGTCATACAACTGATGGTGAGCCAATACACTCACAGACTAAACCAACGTGCTTTCAATACATCATCTCCATCCTAAAACAATACACATCAATCTTCAAGATACAAAACAAAGTAGACTTTTTTGTGAATGGTGTAACTATTACATTATAGTTTGGGGCTTAAAAAATTAGAAACAAGATGACTACAGCTATGGGTGTTGCTCAGAGGCAGAGGGTTTCCTAGCAGGAGCTAGGACCTGGATTCCACATTTAGCATGATCAAAAAAAAAAAAAAAATTAAGATGTGGCTCAAGTGGTAGAGTGCTCGCCTAATAAACACAAGGATCTGAATTTCCCACACAATATTCCTCACCATTCAGTTCCTCTCTGTTGATTCTCACAGACTCGAGCTGGGACCACAGATGCCTAATTTCTTCTTGTGATTGGGCCTTCAGGTTTTCATAGGATGCCTGAAGATTCTCTAACTGTGGAAGAACAAAGTGTCTACATGAGAGTCTAAGATGAAGGCAGGGCAGTGCTTTCATGGCTTTATAACACTGCTTCTATTTCTCTGGAACACCTCAGGGCCTTGCATCTGACAAGCAGGAATAGAGCATACGTAGGTTAAGAGATCAGATATCAAGCCTGAGGCTCAGAAAAAAGAAACAACCATCAGAAGGAAGGAACATAAACAGCTTGACGCATAAGAGGCCAAGGTCAGAGCCAGTGAGCTCAATGGCATACACAAGCCTTCCCAAGCACTTAGGAGGCTGAGATAGGAGATCATTCCAGTCTAGGAATTTGGGGACTGCCTAGGTGACATAGTTAAGACCCCCATCTCAAAAAGTAGGGCTTGGAAGGTGGCTCAGTGGTAGAGCACTTGCCTTGCATGCATGAGGCCATGGGTTCGATTCTTCAGCACCACATAAACAGAAAAAACCAGAAGTGGTGCTATGGCTCAAGTGGTAGAACTCTAACCTTGAGCTGAAGAGCTGAGGGACAGACCCAGGCCCAGAGTTCAATCCCCACAACTAAAAAAAAAAAAGAAAAGAAAAAAGTAAGCTGGGCACCAGTGGTTCACACTTATAATCCTAGCTACTCAGGAAACTAAGATCTGAGGATCACATTTTGAATCCAGGCCGGGCAGGAAAGTCTATGAGACTCTTATTTCCAATTAACCACCAAAAAGATAGCAGTGGGGCTTTGATTCAAGTGGTAAAGCACCAGTACCCTTGAGCAATAATGCTAGAGGAGAGTGCCCTGGCCTGAGTTCAGGCCCTAGAACCAGCACACACAAAAAGAAAAAGGTAATAGTAACTTCTGGGTTTGTTCACAATGCAACTTGAGCTAGAACATGACCACGGAGCAGCCTGGTTGACTGCTTGCTGGTGTCAGTCACAGCTGTGCCATTCTCCTGAAGCAAGCTATGCTATGGGCAGTGACATCTGAGTGGGCCCACACAGAGCAGAGCGTGGTCACAGTAACAAATCGCTAACGGATCCACAGCAGGCTTAGTGAACTGGATTCTACTTGACATTAATGTTGAGCTGCCTCAAAGCAGCAGGGGTCCACAGAACTTATAACTCTCACAGTAAGGGGGCTCCTCTTTTATATGTTCTTATGTATAATAAAAAGCATGTTCTGAGTGTAGAAGCTCTCTCCTATAATCCTAGCTACCCAGAGGCTGAGATCTGAGGATTGAGGTTTACAGACAAATCAACAAGACTTTTATCTCCACTTAACCAGAAAAATGCTAGAATTCTAGAGGCATGGCTCAAGTAGTAGAGCACCAGTCATAAATGAAAAAGAGAGTACCAGGCCCTGTGTCCCAAGCCTCCAACCTGGTGCACATGTATACATACATGTGCATGCACATGCATGCATGCACGCGCACGCACACTCACACACACACAGAGGCAGCAGGTTCTCTTATACTTTATACTACACACTACTCCATCCTGTCATCTAGAGTCAACATCTAGGACCAGTCTTAGAGGTTCACATCTATGATCTCAGCTACTCCAGACAAAATAAAAATCTCAATTCAAGGCCAGCCTTGGGGGACGAAGAGTTATCAATGCCCTCCCTCACTCCCTCAAAAAAAAAACCTTGGGGCCGGGCACCGGTGGCTCACGCCTGTAATCCTAGCTACTCAGGAGGCTGAGATCTGAGAATCGCAGTTCAAAGCCAGCCCGGGCAGAAAAGACCGTGAGACTCCTATCTCCAATAAACCACTAGAAAACCGGAAGTGGCGCTGTAGCTCAAGTGGTAGAGCGCTCGCCTTGAGCTGAAGAGCTGAGGGATAGCGCCCAGGCCCAGAGTTCAAGCCCCATAAATGACAAAAAAAAAAAAAAAAAAACCTTGGGGACTGGGAAGGTGGCTCAGTGGTAGACCGCTTGCCTTGCATGCATGAGGCCCTGGGTTCGATTCCTCAGCACCACATAAGCAAAAAGACAAAAGCCAGAAGTGGCGCTGTGGATCAAGAGGTAGAGCGCTAGCCTTGAGTTGAAGAGCTGAGGGACAGTGCCCAGGCCCAGAGTTCAGGCCCCACAACTGGACCCAAAAAAAAAAAAAACCTTGGTAAGGTAGCATGTGTATTCCAGTTACCCAAAAAGCAGAAATATACTGGGCATCAGTGGCTCACGCCTGTAATCCTAGCTACTCAGGAGGCTGAGATCTGAGGATCACGGTTCAAAGCCAGCCTGAGTAGAAAAGACCCCATGAGACTCTTATCTCCAATTAACCACTCCAAAACCAGAGGTGACACTGTGGCTAATTAATCTCCAACTAACCACTTAAAAACCAGAGGTGACACTGTAGCTCAAGTGGTAGAGTGCTACCTTGAGCACAAAGAGGCTCAGGGATAGCACAGGTGCCTAAGCTCCATAACCAACAACAACAACGAAAGACAGAAATAGAAGGATGTTGGTCTAAAGCTGGCTTTAGAGCAAAAGCATGAGACCTTACCTCAAACAAACAAACAAAAACTAAAGCAGGCTAGGCATAGGAGCTGTGCGGTAAACCCAGCTACTTGGGGGGCAACAACAGGAAGACCAGTTTGAGGCCAATCCAGTCAAAATGTTAGTGAGACTCTATCTCAACAAGTAAGCTGGGCTATGCTGGGCTATGATTCCAGATAGATGGAAGCCACAGGGAAGAGGACTATGGTTCAAGACTGGCCCTAGGCAAAAACTCCAGATCCCATCCAAAAAATAACTAAAACAAAAAAGGTACCGACAAAAAGGTCTAGGATGTGGCTGGCTCAAATGGTAGAGCGCTTGCCTGATAAACACAAGGCCCTGTGTTCAAACCCCAAAACTGTGCCTCCTGAAAAAAAAAATCTACAAGAGAACACCTTGACAAGCTGGGCCCTGTCATGGGACTCTCAAATTTTAGACACTGAAGACCACACAATGATGTCACCAGGACCAAGGCGGAGGTGGAGCTTGGGTCAGACTAATAACACCCTCCTATGACACCTCCTATAACATCTGTGCATGGCTTGGGCCCTCCAGGACCAGCTAGTGGCTGCCCAAGCAGGACCCTGGGCAGGCACTTTCCAGCAGGCTCTGCCTCTGCAAACTTATCAACATGTTACGGAAAGGGGGAGGAACAAACCACTGTACGAGTGTTAGCCATAGAGGGGTTAGTCCTCCTTCTTCCCACAAATCCCTGCTCGGCTCATTGCTCCTCATCAAGCAAGGACTTGTCCTTGTGACTGTCAGTGGGGAGGTTTCAGTGCAGGGTCAGAGCCTGGCCAGGAGGGAGGGGCCAACAGACACACATGCTTCACTGTCTCTCTTCTCACAGCCTCATGGTAACTGGAAGATATGAAGCATCACAGCCTCTCTGGGATCTGGCCCAACCTACTTTTAGGAGCTGACACAGAGCTGTTCTCAGCTCCCTCGGTAAGAGCCTGATGGAAGGGTCTAAGGTCACAGAGGATGTGAAATACCACAGCTTGGCCTCTGTACAAGAGGCCACAGACCCCAGTGCTCCAGGGTACCTAGCAGGTCTCCCAGGCCCCAGGACTGGACACTTGGGCTTCTCAGGCCTCAGGCATGTAATTCCAACTCCTGTCTTATTCTGTTTATTTCTTTCAAATTTTTTTTTGTTGTTGGGGGGCCTGGGCGCTGTCCCTCAGCTCTTCAGCTCAAGGCTAGCGCTCTACCACTTGAGCCACAGTGCCACTTCCGGCTTTTTTCTTTTTGCTTATGTGGTGCTAAGGAATCGAACCCAGGGCCTCATGCATGCAAGGCAAGCGCTCTACCACTAAGCCACCTTCCCAGCCCCTTCTTTCAAATTTCTTAAGCTGATGGTTTGATTCTTGGTTTAGTAATAAAAGCACTTGAGACCTGAATAGAACTTGTTTGGTATGTGTAGTACTTTACTAGAAAACAATATTGAATGCACAAGCAGCATAAATATTTTTATCTTATTTTTTAACTTTTGGAATTCTTATTCATTAAATTGTCATCACAGAAAGTACTCTTACACTCCTAGTATTTGGAATTTTTGTAAATGTCTTGGGAGTGCTTATAAAGAATACATATCAGAGTTAGGCACCAGTGGCTCAAGTCTATAATCCTGGTTACTCAGGAGCTGAGAGCTGAGGATTATGGGTCAAAGCCAGCCTGGGCAGGAAGTCTGTGAGACTCTTATCTCCAATTAACAACCAGAAAACTGAAAGTGGTGCTGTGGTTCAAGTGGTAGAGTGCTAGCCTTGAGCTGCAGAACTCAGGGACAGGGCCCAGACCCAGAGTTCAAGCCCCACAATGGGATTAAAAAAAAAAAAAATAGATATGGGGGGTTGGGAAGGAGGCTCAGTGGTAAAGTGGTTGCCTAGCATGCATGAAGCCCTGGGTTCAGCTCCTCAGTAACATATACACAGAAAAAGCCAAGAGAAGCACTGTGGGTCAAATGGTAGAGAGGTTCTTTCAGAGACAGCACCCAGGCTCTGAGTTCAAGCCCCAGGACTGGCAAAAAAAAAAATCTCTTTTGTCAGGCACTGGTGGGTCATCCCTGTAATCCTAATTATTCTGGAGGCTGAGATCTTAAGATTGTGGTTCAAGGCCATAATCAGGCAGACAAATTCATGAGATTGTTATCCCCAAATAAACAGCAAAAAGTCAAAGGTGGAAGTATACTCAAGTGATAGAATACCAGCCTTCAGCAAAAAAAGCCAGGTAATGGGGCTGGGAAGGTGGCTCAGTGGTAGAGCGCTTGCCTTGCATGCATGAGGCCCTGGGTTCAATTCCTCAGCACCACATAAGCAAAAAGAAAAAAGCTGGAAGTGGCGCTGTGGCTCAAGTGGTAGAGTGCTAGCCTTGAGCTGAAGAGCTGAGGAACAGCGCCCAGGCCCAGAGTTCAGGACCCACAACCGGACCAAAAAAAAAAAAAGCCAGGTAAGAATGCAAGGCCCAATTGCAAACCCCAGTACCAGCACAGGGGGAAAAAGAAAAAAAAAGGCTTTGTTTTCCTGATAGCATTATGGTTTGAAGTTAGGGCACCTTGTACTTGCTAGGTAATTGCTCTATCACTTGAGCCACATCTCAGTCCCAAGAATAAGCATTCTTAGTTTAAGACTTAATATATTAGTATATGGACCTCACATTCTATATCCTTATATGGCTCTGTACTAGAGTCTTGTCAAATTTAGTACTTCAGCCAGGCACTGTAGCTCACGCTCATAATCCTACTCAGGAAGCTGAGATCAGAGGACTGCAGTTAGAAGCCAGCATGGGAGGAAAGTCTACTGCCTGAGACTTGTAATCCCACTTAACCACCAAGCTGGAAGCAGAGATCAGAGAACTGCAGTTAGGAGCCAGCCTGGGAGGAAAGTCTACTGCCTGAGACTTGTAATCCCACTTAACCACCAAGCTGGAAGCAGAACGGCGGCTCAGGTGGTAGATCACAGACTTGAGCAAAAAAAGCTAAGGGTGTGGCACCCAGATCCTGAGTTCAAGACCCAGGACTGGCACAAAAAAATAAAATAGAAAATAGTACTTCAATTTCAGCAGTTAAAGAATACAAAATGGCTCAGTTCTAAAATGTTTAAAAAACTTCCCTAATAAACTAAATAATTAAAAATCAGTAAGTTCACACCTACCTCCAACTGTTTTTCTTTTTCCTTTTCTCTGAATTTCACCTCCAAGTCTTGCAAATACTGGCAGTGTTCCAGCTGCAAGTTTTCCTGTAACTTCTTGATGGCTGCTTGATGCTGAGCCTCTAGGTTCTTCAGAGAAACTAGAAAGCACCACAGATACCACCTAGTTAACAAGACACACACTCTTCCTTGGCGGCAGTACCAGTCAGCTCAACACAGAGCACACTGTCCCTGCCACAGACTCCCTTGGGTATCATCCTCATGCCTGGACATGCTAGGACAGGGTGCCAAAATAGGGGCACAACTGAGTCACAGTTAGCAGGCTCTATCCAAATGCCATCTCAGTCACCACTCTGCTCTCCTGGAGAGAAAGAGAAAACACACATATACATAGCCCCTGACCAACAGGGCTCACTATGGAGCACAGGGTCCCAAGGCATCCAAACAGAACAAGCACAATACTACTGTGCAAAAGCTATCTTTGAAACAAAGGTCAGAAAGATTGGGGGACCTCATGAGGAGCCCTGTCCTACTCTGTTCTCCCTCTCTCAGTAACCCACACCAGAGAGACAATCTGAAGTGCAGCACAACTCTGTGTTTTCTCCAGATCTGCTTGCTGCAACCCAATGCTCACCTTCAGCTTGATTTTTGGCTTGAAAAATCTTTTCCATCTCAGCTCTCTGTTCCGCCAATTCTTTCTGAAATTGATTTTGCAAATCCTCCATTTCTGACCGGTGCTTTGCTGATAACTCTTTGCGTAGATTTTCTAAGCATAACTGTCTTTCAGATTCCCAGTCTTGCTTCAGGCTCTAATTAAAAAAAAAAAAAAGGTCTATACTTGGGAGGTAAAGAAAAAGGAGACAACTGGAGACCAGCCCAGGCAAAAAGAGCAAGCCAGAGCCTGGCACTTGTGTAATTCTAGCTACTCAGGAAGCTGAGAGACCTGGAGGGTTAATGTTCAAAGCTAGCCAGCACAGAAAAGTCTGTGAGACTTATCTTCAGTTAAAAAGCACAAGATGGGTTGCGGGTATAGCTCAACTGATAGAGGAGAACCAGCAGGTTCAAGTTCAAGGCTCTGAGTTCAAGCCCCACTACCAACACACTACACACACACACTATACACACACACACACACACCCCCATATGATAGCTCATGCTTATAATCCCAGCTTCTGGAGAAGCATATGTACAAGAATTAGCCCCACTACCAACACACTCCACACACACACACACACACACACACACACACACACACACACACACACACACACACACACACACACACACACACACACACACACACACACACACACACACACACACACACACACACACACACACACACACACACACACACACACACACACACACACACACACCCCATATGATAGCTCATGCTTATAATCCCAGCTTCTGGAGAAGCATATGTACAAGAATTGCTGCTCAAGCTAAGCCCAGGAAAAAAGTATGAGACCCTATCTGAAAAACAACAACCAGGGGCTGGGAAGGTGGATCAATGGTAGAGTGCTTGCCTCGAATGCATGAGGCCCTGGGTTTGATTCCTCAGCATCAGATAAACAGAAAAAGCTGAAAGTGGCGCTGTGGCAGAAGCGGTAGAGTGCTTGCCTTGAGCTGAAGAGCTGAGGGACAGCGCCCAGGCCCAGAGTTCAAGTCCCACAACTGACAAAAAAAAAAAAAAAACCAACAAACAGCCACACAACCAATTTAGAAAATGACTGAAAAGATTATGATCAATAATTCATATCTGTGGTAAAGAAATTTTAATTGCGGGCTGGGAAGGTAGCTCAGCGGTAGAGTGCATGCCTTGCAAGGATGAGGCCCTGGGTTCGATTCCTCAGCACCACATAAACAGAAAAAGCAAGAAGTGGCGTTGTGGCTCCAGTGGTAGAGCACTAGCCTTGAGCTGAAGAGTTGAGACAGTGCCCAGACCCAGAGTGCAGGCCTCATGACCGGCAAAAAAAAAAAAAAGAAATTTTAATTGCACAGTCAGAAACCTAAAGTGGATAGTCACACCCAGCCTAAACTGTAACTGAGAAAAATGGCTCTTCATGGCTGCTCCCCCAGTTGCTTGAAGAACAGACTCGAAGGACCATAAGGCAAACACCCAGAGGCAAGCACAACCGGTCTCTGAACCAAAGCATATGGTAAAGTGTGTCTCAAAAGCCCACAGAGCCACTTCCAGGTACCCATGGTGCTCTCACAGACCTCATCTCAGTGGCTGAGCTCTGCCCTAATCATAGAAAATAAATTATGAAAAATACATATATGTAACACTTACTTCATATAACCATGAAATGAATTCCCACCATCACAATTAAGGGACATGCTAAGTGTCAGTGGCTCACATCTATAATCGTAGGTACTTAGGTAGCTGCCATCTGAGAATCATGGTTCACAGCCAGCCTTGGCAAGAAAGTCCGTGCAACTCTTATCTCCAAAACACTAGAAGTAGAGCTGTGGCTCACGTGGTATAGCATCAACCTTGAAAGAAAAGACTAAAGAACAGTACTAAGGCCCTAAATTCAAGCCTCAGTGCGCGCACGCGCGCGCACACACACACACACACACACACACACACACACACACACACGCACACGCACACACGCGCACATCTGCCAAAAGACAGGAGGGTGATCCTCAGTCCCAAACTGACCTCTTCCCTTGGCCAATGCCTGAACTCAACCAGGATGTAGACTTATCAGGACCCTCTAAACACAGTGAGTCTGAGGGCTTTACCATGGTCCTGTAGATACCACCCCTCCTGACATCCAGGCACATCCAATCCACCTCATACCTCTGGCCATGTTCACTTCCCTCCACTAGAAACAAGTATATATAGAACAGGTGAGTGTTCCAGGACATCACATGGAGATGACTGTTAGTTATATGTTATGCTAGTAAAACTAACATAAAGGGCTGGGCAGGGGGGGGCTGGGAAGGTGGCTCAGTGGTAGAGCGCTTGCCTTGCATGCATGAGGCCCTGGGTTCGATTCCCCAGCACCACATAAGCAAAAAGAAAAAAAAAAAAAAAAAAAGGGCTGGGCAGGTGGCTCAGTGGTAGAGTGCTTGCCTTGCATGCATGAGGCCCTGGGTTCAATCCCTCAGCACCATATAAGCAGAAAAAGCCGGAACTGGCACTGTGGTTCAAGTGGTAGAACGCTTGCTTTGAGCTGAAGAGCTGAGGGACAGCACCCAGGCCCAGAGTTCAGGCCCCACGACTGGCAAAAAAAAAAAAGAAACTAATGTAAAACCTCAAAACAAGTCTGCTAACAGATGTAGTTACCCGATACAAATAAAGGAGAGCACTATACATGTTACTATCTTCTTTTTGCAGTACTAGAATTTGAACTCAAGGCCTTACCTTGCCCCCAGCACTTTTTTATTTGCTTTTATTTTACTTTTCAGCTAGAGTCTTTTTTGTCCAGGCACAGCCTTAGACTGTAGCCCTTCTACCAATGCCTGCTGAGATAGGCAACTTGGGATCACAAATGTAAAGGACCACCTCTGGCTTACTGGGTGAAATGGGATCTTGCCCAATTTTTGCCTGGGCTGGTCTCAAAATGCAATCCACCCAGAATCCACCTCCCAAGTAGCTGGGAATATAGGCACAAACCACTATATCTGGAAGTGGCACTATGGCTCAAAGTGGTAGAACACTAGCCTTAAGCAAAAAGAGCTTGGGGACAGCACCAAAGCCCTGAGTTCAAGGCCCACCACTGAGAAGACAAAAAAAAAGGTCCAAACCACTACACCTAACAACGTATCAATTTGCTTTCTGTCAGTAACAATAGTTCCAATAACCCTGTAATGGATTTTGCATCAAAATAAGGGGTATTTCAGTGGGGTATAATAAGAAAGGACAACAGTGTACACACAGAACTGCATTACTGATCAGCCACACACCTCCATCATCTGGACATTTTTCTCCATTTCTGACCGTAACTTCTCCTTCAGCTCAGCTGCAAAACAAACATAACAAGTAGTTCAGACCAGAGTCTCTACCTACCCTGTAACCTGCTCTCCCCGCAATACCCATGGACAATTGGAACGCTCACTGCAGGCAGGACTTTAAGAAGATATCTGGCTTAAGTAACCAACTTACACCTAAACAAAAGACTGAGATTTCCAGCTAAGCAGGACCTCCTAAAAGACCAGGTAAAGAGCTGGGTACCAGTGACTCAGCCTATAATCCTAGTTACTCAGTAGGCTGAGATCTGAGGATCACAGTTCAAAGCCAACCCAAGTAGAAAATTCAACAAGCCTCTTGGGGTTTTTTGTTTTTGTTTTTGGTCAGTCATGGGGCTTGAACTCTGGGCCTGGGCGCTGTCTCTCAGCTCTTCAGCTCAAGGCTACCGCTCTACCACTTAAGTCATAGCACCACTTCCACTTTTCCAGTGGTTTATTGGAGATAAAGAGTCTCATGGACTTTCCTGCCCGGGCAGGCTTTGAGCATGATCCTCAGAGCTCAGCCTCCTGAGTAGCAAGGATGATAGGCATGAGCCACCAGTACCTGGCCCACGAAACCCTTACACACACACACACACACACACACACACACACACACACACACACACACACACACACACACACACACACACACACACACACACACACACACACACACACACACACACACACACACACACACACACAGCGCAGCTAAGAGTAAGCTCCTAGGGTCTCCATCACTGATACCTCCAAACCTGCATGACACTTCTCACTAGCACTGCAGGGCTCTTCAGCTCAGGTTCCTGCTGTACCAGGCAGGGGAGGGGCTTTACAGCAACTGCTATATAGCTAACAACACTGTATCCATTTGTCATGTGGAAACTTGACAGGAAAACAATAGGTTCAACCAGCCTAAACTAAGCCCTATTCAAGAGCAAGTTTGCCCTTGGCTAACCTTGGACTGCACTGCGGGGATGCCTACATAACTGGCAAACACACCAAAAGTCATGAAACTATTCTTTTAAACAGGCAGGTGATATGCCATATTCTCAATAAAGTTGAAACAATATAGAATGTACACAAAAGGATTTTCTTTTTTTGTTTTTGCTGGTTGTGGGGCCTGAACTCTGGGCCTGGGTGTTGTCCCTCAGCTCTTCAGCTGTAGACTAGTGCTCTACCACTTGAGCCACAGCGCCACTTTCAGCCTTTTTTGCTTATGTGGTGCTGAGGAATAGAACCCAGGGCCTCATGCATGCGAGGCAAGCACTCTACCACTGAGCCAGCTCAGAAAGGGCCGGAAGTGGCGCTGTGGCTCAAGTGGTAGAGCGCTAGCCTTGAGCTGAAGAACTGAGGGACAGCACCCAAGCCCAGAGTTCAGGCCCCACGACTGGCAAATAAATAAATAAACAAATAAATAGCATGCATTAGGCTGCCCTAGTAATACATGTCTGTAATACCAGCACTTGGAAAGCAGGTGGATCACAAGTTTGAAGCCAGCCTGAGTGGGCTTCACTAGGAGACTTTGCCCTCAGAAAAATAAAACAACAACAAAGCATGTATTAGTCATAAAGAGCTCAGTGTATGCCAAGAATTACCAAAACTAAAAGGAGAGTAGGAGCCAGGACCGGGTGGCTAAACACCTATAATCCTATTTACTCAGGAGGCTGAGTTGGATCCAAGCCAGTCTACACAGGAAAGCTCATGAGACGCTTACGTCCAATTAACCACCAAAAAGCCGGAAGTGGAGCGGTGGCGCAGGTGGCAGAGTGCCAGCCTTGAACAGACAAAGCTAAGGGATACCACCCTGGTCTTAAGTTCAAGCCCTAGGACTGGTACAAAAAAAGTGCAGTCAGCCAGTGGGCAACACTGTTGACCAGAAGAATGACAGTCCACTGGGCACAAGACAGGGGCAGTGTCCAGGGGGATCTGGGTTGGGCTGACAAAGCCAATAGACAAGTAGTCTACTGAAGATGTTGTTGGATAAACTTCCAGGCAAATGAAGCCAGTCCAATGGAGGCTGGATTCTGGATAAAGAGGCACAGAAAAAAAAACACAGCTGACCTAGCATACAGAGCTTCACAGTCAGGGTGCCACTAAATCGTGTCCAGAATGAACAGACATACAAGCCTGAACACCACCCAGCAGAGCCCAGCCTAGCAGCAGGGTATACCTGGCCAAGCTTCCTTGTGCTTCTAGAGAGCCCAGACACTGCCACGGATGGGACTGTCTGATTCCACAAGGACAGAAACAGGAAAGTGGGGTTAGAATCATGGCTCAGTTGGTAGAGCACTAGCTAATGAGTGAAAGTGTCAGATACTAAGTTGAGTCTTCATCTCAGACCAAGAAACAAAGAAGCAAGGCAGGAATATTTACTTTGAAGGGGAAAATATTTAGAAAATAAGGGGGCAGCTTCTTAAAGAAGTCACTGTGCTTACAAGCTGCAGCTAGTAAAGGTCCTTGCCCAGAGCTGGCTCAGTACCTGTCTCCTGCCCACAGCGGAGAAGCACTGCCTCCTTCTCCCGAGCATGCTGCTCCCTCACCAGCTCCAGTTCACACTGCTGCCGGTTCTGCAGCAGCGCCAGCTCCTGTGCCCGCCGGCCGTTGAGCATCTCCCGCAGTTCTGACAGAGCTGTCTCCTTCTCCTTCTGCAAGTTGGCCTGTGTCAGCTCTAGCTGTGCTGTGTGCATGTTGTTCAGACTCAAGCGCAGTGCTTCCAACTCAAGGGTAGGCACTGTCTGCGGGTAGAAAAGCCAGTCCTGATGAAGGCCAGGCTTGGAACAGGGCAATACCAGGAAGCATAAGCCAGAAACTAACCAAGGGGCAGGGGAGAAATGTGACACAGGAGGGTGATGCCCACTCTCTACAGTACCATATGTCCCCACACTAGTGGTTAATCATGCAGCCTCCGCCAGCACCCACCCCTCCCTACAACTTCTCTCATTAGATTGCAATTTGTAGCAAGTGTGGTCAGTGCATCTTTCAGTCTGGAATGTGCCAGACTCCTTGCCCTTCTATCTGCCCTGGGAAGGGCCTCAAACAGAATGGAAACAAAATAGAAGAGAAGGCAGCAAAGGCACAGCACTACTGTATATTCTCAGATGCATCTCCCCATCTGCAACCCTCCCTAGTTCCCAAGACCTGATGAATCCTGGTGTGAATAATAGAGTATAATAGAGTATAATAATAATAATCCTGGTGTGAATAATAGAGTATACTTGTGAGGGTTGAGAGCCCAGGCCAGGCCATGTGGATTACCTGAAGTGACTGCTGCTGGTGCTGCTGGTGGCCAGCCCCATCCTTAGGTCCTCTCACCAGTTCATGATCTTGTTCTTGCTCCTAGGAAAAGAAAGCAAAGGATGTGGCCCAGAGAATTCACAGGAGCAAACTATCACTGGAAGAGGGGGCAACTGCCAATGACTATGAGGTTTCCTACTAGGGTCATGAAAACATCTGGAAGTAGATAGACAGGTGCAACACTATCCTGTCCTAAAATCTACTAGCATGTATTAAAGTGGTGAATCTGTCGTTACAGGGAAGTGAATGGACCTAGAACAAATCAAGTGAGGTAAGCCAAGCTCAGAGACAAATGGTGCATGTATTCTCTCATATGCAGAAGCTAGATCTAAAATACTCAAGGATATGATAAACTATACAGGACTCTAGGCATTCACATACAATGAGATCAAAAGAGGATATTCTTAGGGGAGGAACAAAAAAGTGCAATGTCTATATGCTTCTTATCTTATAAAATAATATTTATTGAATAAAAGTTAATTTTAAGGTACGTAAACTATATTTACATTAAAAATTATGGAAAAACATCCAACATATTCTATAGTCCTGACACCAGCCAGCACATTAACATCCAGGCCTCTTTAGCCGTAAGAAGTGAGAAGTGATACCAACAAGATAAAAAGCATGCATAAATTGACTGGGAAAGGCAACAAATGCTGAACCAACATGAGATGCAATTTTATTTATTTATTTATTTATTTTGCTCATCTTGGGTTTCAACTCAGGGTCTGGGTGCTGTCCCTGAGCTTCTTTTGCTCAAGGCTAGTGCTTCACCACTTGATCCATAGCCATAGTTATTGAGGATAAGAGTCTCAAGGACTTTCCTGCCCAGGCTCTCTTCTAATTGCGATCATCAGATCTCAGCCTCCTGAGTAGCTAGAATTACAGGCATGAACCACCAGTGCCTGGCTGAAGATATAACTTTCAAAGAAAATTTTACACCCACTAAATCAGCAAAAGTTGTTGCAAATACTATTGATTCTCAATGCCATTGAGAAAAAGCTAAGTAAGGGATAGTGCCGAGGTCCTGAATTAAAGCCAAAAATAAGTTCAAGATTTTTCTTTTTTAAGAACCATTCCAAGGCTGGGAAGGTGGCTCAGTGGTAGAGCGCTTGCCTTGCAGGCCTGAGGCCCTGGGTTCGATTCCTCAGCACCACATAAGCAAAAAAGAAAAAAGCCAGAAGTGGCGCTGTGGCTCAAGTGGTAGAGCGCTAGCCTTGAGCTGAAGAGCTGAGGGACAGCGCCCAGGCCCAGAGTTTAGGCCCCACGACTGAACCCAAAAAAAAAAAAAAAAAAAGAAAAGGAAAAAAAGAACCATTCCAGCCCGGCGCCAGTGGCTCACACCTGTAATCCTAGCTACTCAGGAGGCTGAGATCTGAGGATCAGGGTTCAAAGCCAGCCTGGGCAGGAAAGTCCGTGAGACTTTTTTTTTTTTTTTGGGTCCGTTCGTGGGGCCTGAACTCTGGGCCTGGGCACTGTCCCTCAGCTCTTCAGCTCAAGGCTAGCGCTCTACCACTTGAGCCACAGCGCCACTTCTGGCTTTTTTCTTTTTCTTTTTTTTTTTTTTTGCTTATGTGGTGCTGAGGAATCGAACCCAGGGCCTCAGGCATGCAAGGCAAGCGCTCTACCACTGAATTACCTTCCCAGCCCCTCCGTGAGACTCTTATCTCCGATGAACCACCAGAAAACCAAAGTGGTGCTGTGACTCAAGTGGTAGAGCGCTCACCTTGAGCTGAAGAGTACAGGGACAGCGCCCAAGCCCCATGACCAACCAAAAAAAAAAAAAAAACATTCGAAGCCAGGTATGATAGTACACACCTGTGATCCCAGTTACTCAGGACACAGAGGAAAAAGGATCATAAATTCAAGGCCAGCCAAGGCAAATTATCCAGACCTTATCTCACGAGTAAAAATATAAACAAAAGGATTGGAGGTACTCAAGTGATAGAGCACTCACCTAGCATGCTCAAGGCCCTGGATTCAATCCCTAGTACCAAAAAAAAAAAAAAAGAGCTACCTTGACACCAAAACACAGAATACCTCTGTCTTAATATTCCCACCACAGGAACGCTTTAGCAAGCAATCTAAAGGAAAAGGAGCAGATACAGGCCTGTGTCTCACAGAACTCAGGAGCTGCAGCCCTGTGTCTCACAGAACTCCCACCAGGCTCCTGCTGTCCCTCTCTGACCTTGAAGCCAGTCTCTTAGGGCTTCCCTCAGGTAGTACATTGCCCTACCAGCACATCAGACTCAAAACGAAGCTAACTCCCCTTCCTGCAGTAACTAGGGAACTGCTGGGTAGACCTCTAGAGAAAACTCACTGTGGAACCAATAGGGCAGGGAACTGATCTGGAGAGTGGGAGATACCAGGCAGGAATTCAAGACAGTATAATGAGATTCCTCCAACACTGGGGTCCTTCACGTTCTTGGTCTTGGTCCCAGTCCTGTTCCCACCACCATGTCAAGCACTAGTCCTGGTGTCTGTCCATCCTACAAGTCATTGTGGTTCCCATGGCTCGCTACCCACCTCCTCTCTTTGCTCTCTTTGATTCCACTGAGAGCCTTTCTGGCCCTGGTGATCACAACCAGCCCAGCAGAGCCCATATCGCTCTTCATTGCAGCCACTCTTGACAGGAACCAGATACCGGCCAGCGACTCAAAGCTCAGCACTAACCCAGTAGGCACCAGGTCAGGTGTCAGCATGACTCTAAAACCATACACACAATGCTTACCTGTCCATGAAGGCAATGGTTTAGAAACAAAATTTTTCATATTAGGAGGAAGAGAGTCAGGTACCATTGTGAAATCCATTTCAAGTGGAGCTTTCTCTCAGGAAAAGTCAGATGCCATCTTAGAAATGAAAGCACAATCTTCAAAACTGCTACAGAAATGAATGGAAATGACCTGAAATGATCCTGAGGGATTCCTCACATACTTGATGTGACCTGAAGCTCAAAGGCCCTGGATACTAGGAGGAGCCACTTGGACACAGACATCTAGGATTTCACTCAAGTCCAGAGCAGTTAGAAATGGAGCCTCTGAGGGCTGGGAAGGTGGCTCAGTGGTAGAGCGCTTGCCTTGCATGCCAGAGGCCCTGGGTTCGATTCCTCAGCACCACATAAGCGGAAGTGGCGCTGTAGCTCAAATGGTAGAGCGCTAGCCTTGAGCTGAAGAGCTGAGGGACAGCGCCCAGGCCCAGAGTTCTGGCCCCACAACCGGACCCAAAAAAAAAAAAAGAAATGGAGCCTCTGAGTATGCCACACTCCCAAGAGGCCTGTGCCAGGATGGAGTGAATGAACACATCTCTGATCATGGGACCATCAGGAATGAGGGAGTCAGGAGAGTTTAGCCAGTTTCAAAAGTACAGATCAAGTCTATCTCTTCTTCAAAATGTAAACTAAGGCTCTAATATCCAGAACATACAGAGAACTTAAAAAACACTCAGGCTAAGAAGGTGGCTCAGTAGGAGAGTGTTTGCCTTGCATGCATGAGGCCCTGGGTTCTATTCCTCAGCACCACATAAGCAGAAAAAGCCACAAGTGGCGCTGTAGCTCAAGTGATAAGAGTGCTAGCCTTAAGCTGAAGAGCTGAGGGACAGCACCCAGGCCCAGAGTTCAGGCCCCATGACTGGCAAAAAAAAAAAAAAAAAAAAATGGCTGGGAAGTTGGCTCAGTGGTAGAGTGCTTGCCTTGCTTGCATGAGGCCCTGGGTTCCATTGTTCAGCACCACATAAGCAGAAAAAAGCCAGAAGTGGTGCTGTGGCTCAAGTGAGTGCTAGCCTTGAGCTGAAGAACTGAAGGACAGCACCTAGGCCCAGAGTCCAGACCCCATGACCGACAAAAAAAATTTTTTAAATTAAAAAAAAATTTTTAAATGTTGGTGCCCATCCTGGGGCTTAATCAGGGCCTGAATACTGTCCTTGAGCTTTATTACTCAAAGCTAGTCTTCTACCACTTAAGCCAGCTCTTTCCTGCTTGGGCTGGCTTCAGACCACAATCCTTACATCTCAGCCTCTTGAGTAGCTAGGATTACAGGTGTGAGCACTGGTGCCTGGCTGACCAATCATTCTTCATAATCACATACACTCACACACCCATACATTCCCCCACCCCCACCCCCTACCCACACACACCTAGAAGAAAGATTTCCTGGAGGAAACAGGGCAAGATGACAGACTGTGTATCTGCCGTTTTTTACAATAAGAATCTGGTGACATAAAGAGATTCGTCAAAATTCTGAAGAAAGAGTAGAAGAGAAAAAAAAATGACTAGATCAGGAGGCTGAGATCTCAAGATTGTGGTTCAAAGCCAGCACAAGCAGAAAACTCCATTAGCTTCGTATCTCTAACCAGCAAAAACCCTGAACAAGAGGCATGGCTCAAGTAGTAGAACATAAGCTGTGAATGAAAAAACTAAGAACACAAAGCCCTGAGTTCAAGCCCCAGTTCAAGGAAGGAGGGAGGGAGGGAGGGAGGGAGGGGTTAATTATCCACTATGTTCTCCTCAGAGAGCCTGACAAGAGTCCTACAGTGCAGAATGTCTTGGAGCAAGTAGAGGCCTTCTCAACATAGGCGTATCCCCTCAGCCACTAAGACAGCTTCACTAACCTGAGAGGTACAATGAGGGGCTCATGATAAGTGACAGGTGGCCCACAGGACAGAACTGCAGGGAGGGTGACATGAACCTAATCAGGCAACCGCGTGACCACCAGGCCAGTCCAGTGCTCCAGAGCACACCAGGTCAGTCCAGTGCTCCAGATCTTACACAAGCACCAAGGCAAGGTCTCAAGCCTTTCTAAAGAAGCAAACTGCAGATTTATAGGTAGACTATCACACATTTTAGATACAGGCACAATTACATTTATCAATAAGGCTAGCCAGATGTATGTATCACAGCTTTGAACAAAATTCTGCTCTCCACATTATTTTCCAATTTCTGGAAAACTGAATCTACCAGCAAACATCCTAGCAAACATCATGACTGTACCCTAAGGTGTACATGGCAAAGCAGGTCAGGCTTTAATGACTCATTTTATAAAAGTGCCAGGAAAAGCCCACCTAAGAGCAGTCTGAAGGCCCAGGAGCGCAGCCCCTTCTCACTGTCAATGCCCATAGAAGAGCTCCATGCCATTCACAGGCCTGCAGCATCAGAGCCAGCTTTTTCAGCCACACACCACCTCTGCCATACCTCCCTAATCTTCCTCTTTATCCTACCTTCAAAAAGGAGGAAAAGGCAAAGACAACAATCAAGTGCATTTCAAAGAAGAAGACAGGATATCATACTGTAAGTGTCTAACATCTGTCAAAGAGGCTGATACAACCACACAGAACCATAGCACAAATTACAGTTGTAAAATTGCATTACCAAAGCAGCAAAATAACACTTACCTTTAAGCGATCAATCCAAAATTTCTCAAAATCAGTAAATTATTCACTTAGAGTAAAACCATATAAGTTTGCCTAACTTTCAGAAACTAAAACAAAGCCATCTTTTCCCCACTTAAAAGTTAGATCAAAGATCACTTTTACTAAGTTACTCTAGCAATAACTAGAACCTACATGTGCTAGCAGATGGCTGCAATCGCAGCACTCAGGAGCCTGAAGGAGGAGGATCATGAATTCAAGTTCAACCAGGGTTAAACATCAAGACCATTTCTCAAAAAGCCAAGTAAATAGAGAAGCAAAATGTTGAACCACAACACTGAACCACAACTACCTGAGCTGAAAATGACCCTCTGGCCCCATGTGGGGTGTCGCTGTGTGCCGCACTCTTGCAAACAACCCTCGCTCCCAGAAGCCCACCATCCCGGGAGGCTAGCGGACTCTCCTCCTGGATAGGCGCAACGAAAGCCGGGCCCTTCCTCTCCGCCGTCTTTTTCTTCGAATCCGCACTGTCACCTTTTGTTTTCCTCCGCCGGAAGTGAGCAAGCTGCGCAAAAACGTAGAGAAGTAGTAAAGGCAGAGGTAAGTGAGAAAAAAGTAACAGAAGCACAAAGTCAACAGTCCTGTGGGGAGCATGAGGCTCAGGCCACACCTAGACAGCAGGCCACTTTCCCACTAACACTGTCCTCACTGACATCAGTGACACAGGCATTTCAGTTCAGAATGATATCCGGAGTCTATAAGTGAAGCGCTATTAATTATGCCCAGATACAGACAGATTCGCTTTTCTAACCCTCGGCAGTTTACAGAAAATTAACCAAGTTAAAATACATTGAGCACTTAATCCGCCATGCGTATGTATGCCTTAAAACTATACAGAAGCTGCTATTGTTCCTCTCGCCCCCTTCCCCCAGTCCAGCCAAAACTTGCGGGTTCTGAAACAAGATACAGAAATAGCAGAGAATTAACGAAGCCAGGTCAAGCTAACGTCTTCCTTTCCGGAACCCGCTGCTCTATTTTTCACGACTAGCTCCGTGCCCCGGGGACTGGCAGAGGCGCCGCCTCGCTCGCTCGCTCGCCCGCCCGGCCGCCCGGACCGCCGTCTCCCCGGGAGCCTCACTCGAGAGAGCAGGTCGCTTTCCAGAGCAGGGCGTGTTTCCTACACAGACCCGGCGGCCGTACGGGACAGGGCTTCGCCCCGCCGCCGTCCTCGGCCGCGGGGCCCCGGGCAGAGGCCGCGCCAGGGAAGGGCGGGCGGGCGGCCTCCCGCACCCCGCGCCCCGGGCCGAGCGCACCGTCCCGCCCGTCGCACCGCCAGCGGACACTCGCACGTCCCGCGCGCGGCGCAGCGGCCCGGGGTGACCCGGCCCAGACACCGGCCAGCGGCGGAGCGCGAGTCCGCGGCCGCGCGCGGCCAGGGCGGGAGGGCGCCGGAGCCCACGAGCCGCTGCCCTCCATCCGGTCGGGGCCATGGCCAGACCCCACCTTCCCGCCAGGCACCCCGAGGCAGTGCTGCCCGCTTATGGCACTCATGGACTGGCTGTACACTGGCGGAGCGAGGGGCCCAGCGCGACCCGCGGCGCCGGGCGGGGGCGAAGGCGGGAGGCTGCGCAGCTCCGCGGACCACAGCCGGTCCCACGGAGGCGCTTTGGGGCGGCTCCGGGCGCTGAGGCGCGCCGGACGCGAGCAGGGCCGCCGCGCCGGACGCGAGCAGGGCCGCCCCGCCTCGGAGCCTACCGCGCAGGCGCAGTGCAGCCCCGGCCACGGCGCGCCCGGACCCCGGCGCGCCAGGCGCCCAACCCGCCAGCCCGGCGCCGCGAGCTGCGACCGCTGATTGGCTGCGGCCGCAGCGGGGGCGGGTCCCGGCAGAGGGCGGCGGATTCAAGATGGCGGCCAGCAGGCAGAGGCTTTCCCGGCGCAGGCGGGAAGGGCACGGCCCGGGCGGCGGCCCGCGTCCGGTCGCGTCCACTCCAGGCCAGCAGTGGTGGCGAGCACCGGAGCCTGCCTGAGAACTTCTTGCCGCGGCCACGCGAGGAGGGCGCTAACCACTTACCTTCGCTCTTCCGGCCTCGACCTTCCTGCGCCGCCGCTCCTGCTCGTCTTCCTCCATGGTCCCCCGGAGCTCCTCGACGGACACCCGCAGGTGGCGAGGAGACGCGGCGCCTCCCCGCTCTATTTACACTCCCGCCCCTCGCCCGCTCGCCCTCCCGCCCTCCTCTGACAACTGTCAGCGCCGTGTCCCCGCCCCTCTGCGCCCCAATCAGGGGCCAACTGCTCGCGCGCATCTGCGCGCTCTGGTGACGCAACGAGGGAGGAGCTCAGGCCTCCGATTGGCTTACTGGCCCGCCCGCCTCCTACGGGCCGACCAATGAGCTGAAGGCAGCTGAAGGCGACTGAAGAAGTAAATGACCAGCCGCGGACCCGCTGTCCCCGGCCGTGGTACGAGCACCCGAGCGCCCCCAGCTGGCCGCGGGAGCTCCGGCGCGCGGGGCCCGCGCCTCCCTGGTGCTCGGATCTACGGACCGGCCGGGCCCGGCCGTGAGGCCGGGGGGCTGCCCGGAGGCAGGGCCCGGGCCCCTTCGCTCTAGGCCGGGCGCTGTTTGCCCGCTCCTCAGAACCACTTGGGAGCCGTCTGCGACGCGGGAACCCGACGGGCCGCGGGCGGCCGGGGCCCTCGACACACGTCGCGCGGTCTAGCGGCCAAGGACGCGGCTCCCTGCTTTAAGGGTGCTGTGCAGAGCGCGTCCTCCCAGACAACAAAGGAGGGAAAACACGGAGATCAGAGCGACATGGCAGTGGTGGGTGGTGGAGAGGCTGGCCAGGGTAGGGTGTGGTGAGGCCGCACCATCCACCCAATTCCCACGCTGGTCCAACCCGGCCGCCTGCTGTCTGCCCAGCGCCTCAAGCCGGTGCTTCATTTTGGGGGCCCTAGGGTTTGAACACGGGCTCATACTTGTTTTTTGTTGTTGGTGGTGGTGGTGGTCGGATGTGGGGCCTGAACTCAGCCTGGGCGCTGTCCCTCAGCTCTTCAGCTCAAAGCTAGTGCTCTACCACTTGAGCCACAGCGCCTCGTCTGATTTTTTCTGGTTATGTGGTGCTGAGGAATTGAACCCAGGGTCTCATGCATGCAAGGCAAGCACTCTACCACGGAGCCACCTTCCCAGCTCCAACGGGCTCATACTTGTGAAGCAGATGCTCAACCACTAGTCACATTGCGGCCACTCTTTTTTCTTCTTCTTCTTGTTCAGCTAGCACGCCACCACTTCAGCCACTTGACAGTACTCAAAACTCAGTCACCAAAAACAGGGACCTCAAAGACACTGTTGCTGCTGTAGCCACAAGGAGCCTTGGGACGGGTCCTGAGATTCCCACATTGAGAGCATTTGGCAAAATACTAAGACCAGAAAAGATTGGATTTTATTTAGCAATGTCCCAACAGTCCTTCATTAATTATAGCAAATATGTCTTGCCTGTAAGTAAAGCCATAATGCGTTGTGTGGAAACCAACATCTTTTTCAACTTTTCTGCAGATCTAAAACTGGTTCTAAAGGAGTGACACTGATCCAGATGCATTATACTCACAGCCTGACATGTTGAAATGGAACTCCTTCGTACAACTACTTAAGGATAAACAAACTGTTTTTACAATAACCTATGAAAAAAAAATTCTGTGGTTGTTTGTTAGTGCATACCTGCAGTCCCAGCATTCAGAAGGCTAGGGAGGGAGAATTGCTTTAGCTGAGGAGTTCAAAACTAGTCTGGGCTATATAGTGAGACCTTTTCTCAAAAATAAAGGTAAGAAAGTCATGCCCACTAGAAGGCATGTACCTGATGGTTACCACCTCGTTTCCCTGAGTTGTTGAACTAAGTTAACTGGCCAATCCACACTCAGACCTACCTGTCAGTCTCCGGGAACTCCCATCAGAAAGACATGGAGACACGCCAGTGTCTGGATTTGGGGATGGGTCCACTGGAGCTAGTAGTGGGGTTTAAGAGCTCAAGGAACCATCCTCCAGATGGAGGACCAAACTGAAACGGGCAACACCGACCTCTCTGTAGCAACATTAGGTGGAACACTGATGTCACCGGCAAGGCTGGCCCTTGATTCTATGGATGGATGGACAGTCTCCTCTGCCCTAGCCCCTCCAACATCCAGAGAGGCTCCCAGAACCCACGTGGGTCATCATGGATCCACAGTACCTTTAAAACCCCAAAAGCTGAAGTATGAGGGCAACAGGACAACTCAGGAGACAATATTCAGAGTCTGATGGGATTTTCAGGGCTTTGTGGAACTGCTAGCCCTGCCCAGGATCCCCTTGAGTCCAGAGGCCTGGCCCACCTTCTGTCAATGCCCAATTTCATGAATGTGATTCATCCTCCTACTCAGGAGAAATTGGCTCACTTGCAAACCTGGAGCTTAGAACCGCCTTGCATGACCTCATTCCCCTGTCTTTGTCTGCCTCTTGCAAATCAACTTCCTTTTGTCCCCAGCACCCCACTTGACCTGGGGTCCCCTGGGTGTAGGCACTCTTAGCTGCACTCTGCGCCAGGTCACATCAAAGCTGACCTTACCCACAGGAGTGGCTATTGTTGGCCCATATCCTGTGTGAGGCACTGGCCTCTGGCGTGTGTGGGTCCCACCATACACGCAGCTCCAGGTCCCGGTCACTCTACCCTTCTGCCCCAAAGAACTTCCTGAGCCCTCAGGTAGGTCTTCCAGGTGTCCAGCTGCACTCCTGTCTTGCTTGAAGGGCTCCCTAGAAGGGTTAAGGGCAGTCCTGAGTGACAGGGTGGTGGGAGTGGCCTCCACCGATTCTTCCAGGCTCTGTCCTGAGAGGGAGGAGGTTCCCCAGGAGAATCGGAGGTCTGTCCCTCTGTCCTGAGAAGGAGGAGGTACCTGGGGAGAGTCTTAGCTCTGGCCCTACAGTTGCCCCTTTACCTGGCTGTGCCTGTGGTTCTGTGTTGACAGGTAACTTGCATGGATACTCTCAGTGGAAACCTGGCAACCCCAGTACCTCCCTCCCTGCCTGGCAACGGCCATATACAATCCCAGAGCTGGCCCCAGCACTTCAGTCCAGGGAGGAGATGGTGTCCTCCTGCTCACCCTTCTCACTCCCCAGTCTAGTCTCCAAAACCCCGTCAGAAGATCCTAGCCATAGCACTGAGGTGCCTGCTGCAGACAACTGAGGACCAGGGCCAAGAGCTGGCCTTGGCCCTCTCCCCTTCTGCTGCCATCTCAGACAGTCCCCAGGATGCTGGATTCCTCAGGGGCAGACTCCATGACCCGACTGACGCTAAGGCTCCTAGAACAGGTGAGACAGCCCAAACCACTGCCTCTAACTCCTCCAAGGAGACTGGCTTTGGAACTACAGAACAACACAATTTGCTTCCCACCCCTATTGGCTGTGCAGATCACTTGGCAACTTACCTAGTTGTGGCCTCATGAAGGAGAAATGTGATTGTTTTGTTTGTTTCTCCTTTGCACTTGGGTAGAACCAAGTAGATTCTAGTAGATTCTGCAACCAGGAGGCAGGCTGCACCTCCAGCAGAGCTCCATGAAGCATGTGTCACTCTTCCAGTTTTTAAAGAAACCTCCCCTGCTTTGGAGACAGCTTGGTACTTACATCTGTGACAGAGGCTGGCCAGGTCCAGTCCCCTGTTCAGCTCTCTAAGGGTGCACTGGAACACCTGGTCCTGGAAGGCCACTGGGCGTAGGGTCCAGGACCTCAGTGCCCTGAGTGGCCAGTGTTCCATCCGCACTGCTCCATTCCCACTGCCTGCCTCTCACAGGCCTGCACCCGAGGCCATGCTGGCAACAGTCAGAGGTGCCACTAGCCAGGTCTCATCCTGAAAAGTCTGTTTAAGGCTTGCACTTCAGGAATCTTTCTAGAAGAACCCACTAGAATGACCCCTTGCTGTCCATCAGATAACCCTTTGTGTTCAAGAAGGAGCTAGTGCCTCATGTTGAATGTGTACCCAGCACAGTTGGGGTTTTTGTTGTTTTGTTTTTGTCAGTCATGGGGCTTGAACTCAAGGCCTGGGCGCTGTCCCTGAGCTTTTTCATTCAAGGCTAATACACTACTACTTTCAGCCACAGCACCACTTCCAGTTTTCTTGTGGCTAGTTGGAGATAAGAATCTCACAGCCTTAGCCGGGCACTGTTGGCTCTCGCCTGTAATCCTAACTACTCAGGAGGCTGAGATCTGAGGATCGCGGTTCAAAGCCAGCCCGGGCAGAAGAGACCGTGAGACTCCTATCTCCAATAAACCACCAGAAAACCGGAAGTGGCGTTGTAGCTCAAGTGGTAGAGCGTTCGCCTTGAGCTGAAGAGCTGAGGGACAGTGCCCAGGCCCAGAGTTCAAGCACCACGGCCGACAAAAAAAAAATAAGAATCTCACAGCCTTTCCTGCCCGGGCTGGGATCCTCACACTCAGGTCTGGCTACTGGCACTCCTAGAGCTTATGGCATCACTACTGGATACAACAGGTAGGCAGGGTAGATGCCACTCACCAACCTGAGTTAATACCATGCTCATGATGTTTCTCACAGAAGCTGGAACGAGAACGAGAGAACATGGAAGAGGGCTCTGAGGGTGCCCACTTTGTGTCCGGTAAGAGCCTTGAACTTCATGGATCCACAGGGAGGCAGGCCCATGGTAACAGGTGCAGGGCAGTAGCCCTGGGAGCTGCCTTTGCTCTCAACACACTGAAAGGCTTTTGTTTTCACGTGTAAAACAATACACACATGCATACCACCATTACCTATACAACTTAGAGGATACACACTCTTGCTAGCATTTTGCAGGTTAAAAAATGAAGTCATGGAGCCAGACAGACCCACATCCTTTAACTCCAGAGTCCAAATCTTGTCCTGTGGAAGGTGGGGTTCAGTCTTCCCTCCTCAGCAGCTGGTGACAGAGTACACATCCAGGCCTATGCCTCTCACCTAAGTAAGGGCCTGGGAAAGGGGTAGGAGTGAGTCTTGGTCTTTGGAATTGAAAGCAACTGAGCTATTGTGCTCCAGAAGCTCCAGGGACAGCAGGCAGAACTTGGCACCCCAATTCTAGGTGGGCCCAAGGAGCCTGGAAGAGCCCAACCCTGTGGCTGTAAGTGTATTGGGGGGGAAGAGGGAGGGGTTGTAGAGCTTCCTTCCAGAGCTTCCTCTCACTCACACATGGAAGGCAGGCCTGCTCTCTCCAGACAGACTGCGGCTAGAACTTGCAGGGAAGCCAGAGCACTATGGAGGCCTCTTGCCTCTCTGAGCCAGGAGGCTACAGGAGTGCTGCTTCAGTGTGGAGTGCACAGGGGCCTGCCACGGACTCCCCAGTTGAACTCCCCACATTGCACCTCAGCATGGCCCTTTCCCTCAGAGTCACCAGCCTCAGTCCTCCTTTCAGATGAGTGTTTACTGAGACCTGAGCCCAGGGGCCCAGGACACCCCAGCACCCTGAGACCTGAGCCAGGACACCCAGAACCCTGAGACCTGAGCCAGGACACCCCAGCACCCTGAGACCTGAGCCAGGACACCCAGAACCCTGAGACCTGAGCCAGGACACCCCAGCACCCTGAGACCTGAGCCAGGACACCCCAGAACCCTGAGACCTAGGCCAGGACACCCCAGCACCCTGAGACCTGAGCCAGGACACCCAGAACCCTGAGACCTAGGCCAGGACACCCCAGCACCCTGAGACCTGAGCCAGGACACCCCAGCAGCCTGAGACCTGAGCCAGGACACCCAGAACCCTGAGACCTGAGCCAGGACACCCCAGAACCCTGAGGCCTGAGCCAGGATACCCCAGAACCCTGAGACCTGAGCCAGGACACCCAGAACCCTGAGACCTGAGCCAGGATACCCCAGAACCCTGAGACCTGAGCCAGGACACCCCAGCACCCTGAGACCTGAACCAGGACACTCCTGTACCCTGAGGCCTGAGCCAGGACACCCCAGCACCCTGAGGCCTAGGCCAGGACACCTCTGCACCCTGAGACCTGAGCCAGGACACCCCAGCACCCTGAGACCTGAGCCAGGACACCCCAGCACCCTGAGACCTGAACCAGGATACCCCAGCACCCTGAGACCTGAGCCAGGACACCCAGAACCCTGAGACCTGAGCCAGGACACCCAGAACCCTGAGACCTGAGCCAGGACACCCAGAACCCTGAGACCTGAGCCAGGACACCCAGAACCCTGAGACCTGAGCCAGGACACCCCAGCACCCTGAGACCTAGGCCAGGACACCCAGAACCCTGAGACCTGAGCCAGGACACCCAGAACCCTGAGACCTAGGCCAGGACACCCCAGAACCCTGAGACCTAGGCCAGGACACCCAGCACCCTGAGACCTAGGCCAGGATACCCCAGAACCCTGAGACCTAGGCCAGGACACCCCAGCAGCCTGAGACCTAGGCCAGGACACCCAGAACCCTGAGACCTGAGCCAGGACACCCAGAACCCTGAGACCTGAGCCAGGACACCCCAGCACCCTGAGACCTAGGCCAGGACACCCCAGCAGCCTGAGACCTGAGCCAGGACACCCAGAACCCTGAGACCTGAGCCAGGACACCCAGAACCCTGAGACCTGAGCCAGGACACCCAGAACCCTGAGACCTGAGCCAGGACACCCAGAACCCTGAGACCAGAGCCAGGACACCCCAGCACCCTGAGACCTGAGCCAGGACACCCAGAACCCTGAGACCTAGGCCAGGACACCCAGAACCCTGAGACCTAGGCCAGGATACCCAGAACCCTGAGACCTGAGCCAGGACACCCCAGCAGCCTGAGACCTGAGCCAGGACACCCAGAACCCTGAGACCTGAGCCAGGACACCCCAGCACCCTGAGACCTGAGCCAGGACACCCAGAACCCTGAGACCTAGGCCAGGATACCCAGAACCCTGAGACCTGAGCCAGGACACCCAGAACCCTGAGACCTAGGCCAGGACACCCAGAACCCTGAGACCTAGGCCAGGACACCCAGAACCCTGAGACCTGAGCCAGGATACCCCAGCACCCTGAGACCTGAGCCAGGACACCCCAGAACCCTGAGACCTGAGCCAGGACACCCCAGCACCCTGAGACCTGAGCCAGGACACCCCTGCACCCTGAGCCCAGGACACCCCAGCACCCTGAGACCTGAGCCAGGATGCCCCCCCCCACCCTGATGGAATGCATGACATCCCTGACCACCTAGGTCACCAGCAACAAAATGGAGAGTGAGTCTGTCCCTCCCTCCTTCCAGGACAAGACAGGCTGGATGCTGCCCTGCAGAGCGCTCATAGGAGAAGGAAAGACCTGCTGCAGAGACTCTGGGTAGGCCACACACCTTCCAAAAATGCTGAAGCCCTCATCACCACACTCAGACCTCACCCAGGGGTGGCCTTTTGGACTTCTGGGACAGACTGTGGATTGTATATAGAAACTAAATTGTGAGCAGCTAAGAGACTTTACATCTTACCCACTTCCTTTAGAAACTAGGTGTAAAGCTGGGTGCTGGTGGCTCACACCTGTAATCCTAGCCACTCAGGAGGCTGAGATCTGAAGATCATGGTTCAAAGCCAGCCCGGGATGACTGTGAGACTTTTTTGTTTTGGTCAGTTGTGGGGCTTGAACTCTGGGCCTTGGCACTGTTCCTGAGCTCTTCAGCTCAAGGATAGCGCTCTCGGATTTGAGCCACAGTTCTACTTCCAGTTTCCTGTGGTTTATTGGAGATAAGAGTCTGGCTTTGAACTGCAATCCTCAGATCTCAGCCTCCTGAGTAGCTAGAAGTACAGGTGTGAGCCACCAGCACCCAGCTTCCATGAGACTCGTATCTCCAATAAAGTACTCAGAAAAGACTGGAAGTGGCACTGTGGCTCAAGTGGTACAGCACTAGCCTTTGGCACAGAGGGACTCAGGGACAGAGCCTAGGACATGTTCAAGCCCCAGGACTGGCAAAAAATAAAATAAATAAGAAAGTGGAACGTGTAGGCTGAATGCTCTGGGTAGTGAGGTAAGAACTGCCTAGGCCATGCATCAAAAGAGGTGATAGGTAAGGGCTCAGTTCCCACAGGGTTCTAGGCTCTAGGCACTGAAACCAGGGCACTTGTGTAAACTACACTTGAGAGCAGCAAGATGGCATGAGCCTCGCGACACACACCCCAGAACAGAGGCCAGGGCCTTGCCTGGTGGGAAGCAGATGCTGAAATGTGCTGGAAAAGCAATCAGATTTTTTGTCTTGGAAGAAAAAAACAAACTACCAGAACCTGGTTTGAAATTATTTGCTTTTTTTTTTTGGCCAGTTCTGGAGTAAACTCAGGGCCTAGGTACTGCCCCTGAGCCTTTCTGCGCTCAAGGTTAGGCCTCTACCATTTGGGCCACAGTGCCACTTTTGGCATATTTGCTGCATTTTATTTTTATTTTTATTTTTTTTTAATTTTTATTTTTTGTCAGCCATGGGGCATGAACTCTGAGCCTGGGTGCTGTCCCTCAGCTCTTCAGCTAAAGGCTAGCACTCTACCACTTAAGCTACAGCACCACTTCTGGCTTTATTTTTTTCTGCTTATGTGGTACTGAGGAATTGAACCCAGGGCCTTATGCATGCAAGGCAATCACTCTACCACTGAGCCACCTTCCCAGACCTATTTGCTGCATTTTAAAAGAAGCAGTCCGACTTTAAAGCCTCCAGCTTTGCTTTTGGAGGCTGGCTCTTGTTCTGAGGTTCTCTACTCAGCTACAGGCCTGAGGGCCCAAGCACACTAGGGTCATGTGCCCTGGGCAGGAGAGGTGGCATGGGAAAGCCCTGAGGTGACAGCCCCTTCTCCCAGGCCCTTCTGCTGCCAGCTCAAAGGCCAGCAGGCTCTGTTGATCTTACAGGAACAGCAGCTGCTGGACGAGCATACGGGAACCCTCCCCTGGAGGGAGACACATGAAGGAACCCACAGGCCAGTCCTGCACAGGGAGGCACCCCCTGTGGGAATGCACTCTGCCACCTCCCCAGAACCAGTGAGGGTCATCCAGCACCTGGTAAGAGGGCTCAGGAAAACACAGCTCCAGGCAGGGGAGGGGGGTCAGAACACAGGCCTCCCAGCAGTGTGGAAGGGGGCTACAAAAGTCGCCAAGGAAAGGTTGTGTACTGTCAAGGAGATGGAGGCCCAGGCCCTCCACTTCTCTCCCAGTCAGTGCATCTGCTAGCCAGGGCCCCTGGGGACTCCCATGCATGTCCTCTATTATAGGACAGACAAGTTGGCACAGGACTGGATAGACAGAATTTACAACATCTGTCAGCTGATTCAGTCATTGAATACATAGATCTGCCTCTTAATTTGGGAAATGAAAATGACACTGAACTACCAGTACAGCTCTGTTAACTTGGAGAAAATTTTAAAGACTGACTATATCTAGGTGCTTTAAAGCAGGTTTTCTTTCTTTTTTTTTTTTTTTTTGTCGGTTGTGGGGCTTGAACTCTGGGCCTGGGCGCTGTCCCTCAGCTCTTTAGTTCAAGGCAAGTGCTCTACCACATGAGCCACAGCACCATTTCCAGTTTTCTGGTGCTTTATTGGAGATAAGAGTCTCACAGATTTTCTGCCTGGGCTGACTATGAACCTCAATACTCAGATTTCAGCCTCCTGAATAGCTAAGATTACAGACATGAGCCACCAGGCACCCAGCTTTTAAAGCAGAATTGATGAGACCAGAAAACAGGAAATGTAATAAACATTAAAAATATCATATCCTAACCAGATGCTAGTGGCTTACACATACCATCCTAGCTCCTTAGGAAGCTGAGACTGAGGATCACAGTTCAAAGCCAGCCTGGGCAGGAAAGTCTATAAGACTCTTATTCTCACTAAACTACCAAAAAAAGAAAAAGAAAGAAAAAAAGAGTGGGAAGTGAAACTATGGCTCAAGTGGTAGACTGCTAGCCTTGAGTAAAAGAAGCTCAAAGACAGTGCCCAGACCTTGAGTTTAAGCCTCAGGAAGGCTCCAGGTAGCTCATATTTAAGCCTAGTTACTGAAGAGGCTGAGATCTGAAGATTGTGGTTTGAAGTCAGCCTGGGCAGGAAAGTCCATGAAACTCTTATCTCCAATAAATTATCAAAAAAGCTGGAAGTGGAAGTTCAGGGACAGCACCTAGGCCCCAAGTTCAAACCCTAAGACTGGCAAAAAAAAAAAAAAAAAAAAAAAGCTAAGAGCCTGGGCAATGGCCAGGGCATAAAATAAATAAACAAATGAACAAATACTGCGTCCTGTGTACACCCAGATGCAAACACCTTTCCAGTCCGTTTTCCACTTAAACTGTAGAGTTAGTCATTGGAAGCTCTTGGATGATGGGTGGAGGGATGTGTGGATGATCAGTGGGCAGTGGGTGGGTGAATGAGTAGCAAATGGGTTGAGGAGGGACACTGCGGCAGCTGATCACCTGGCTCTCTCAGGTGCCCCAGCCTCCTGCCACCATCATTCAGCAGCTGCCTCAGCAGCCATTCATTGCACAGATTCCTCCTCCTCAGGTCTTTGCCGCTCAAAGATCAGGAAATATTAAGGAAGGTAAGTGATTCATATAATATCATGAGTTTATGAAAATGTGTACTGACAGGGAATATTTTTATAAGCAGGATAGTCATTAGAATTGCCTTTTGGCAACTCAACATGAAAAAAATATATATATATTTTGTCGATTGTGGGCTTGAACTCTGGGTCTGGGCACTGTCCCTCAGCTCTTCAGCTCAAGGTTAGGACTCTACCATTTAAGCCACAGCACTACTTCTGGTTTTCTGGTGGTTTATTCAGCCTCCTGAGTAGCTAAGATTACAGGTGTGAGCCACTGGCACCTGGCGATCTACATGTTTTGAAAGGCTGTATTATCCAATAGATGTTTGCATTTCTAGCCCAGCAATCTGTCTATCCTTACCTTGAAACTGGCTTGGTTGACTACTGTAGGTCAGTCTATACTCTGAGAAAGGCTGCGTTAAGGCCACTGTGGGGTGCTGTTCACACTAGGTTAATCAAACTTTGGTGGTAGTATGTCAGTCTCTAAGGCAAACAAAAACTGAGAAAACTGTATGTGCATGCATGTTTTTATGCTTGGGGGTGCGTATATTTGTATGCCTTGTTGAAAAAAATGGCAAAGCCCGTAGCAAAAAATAAATATTTAAGTAGATAGCTATTTAGTGAAGCAAAGTTTAAATACTCCATTCCTTATTCCAAAACAGATCTCAACAGGATCAAATATTTGAATGCAAAAAGGCAAAATCACTTGGAGTAATGCCGCGGACCGGCTCTGTCGGGACCACGGAGGACACCTAGTGGAGGAACTGGAATAGGTGGGGAGATGGCAAACAGACAACTCACACACAAGAGGAGTGGACGCCGAGTGCCACCAGACAGCTCACACGCAAGAGGAGTGGGCGCCGAGTGCCACCAGAAGCTCACACGCAAGAGGAGTGGGCGCCGAGTGCCACCAGACAGCTCACACGCAAGAGGAGTGGGCGCCGAGTGCCACCAGACAGCTCACACGCAAGAGGAGTGGGCGCCGAGTGCCACCAGACAGCTCACACGCAAGAGGAGTGGGCGCCGAGTGCCACCAGACAGCTCACACGCAAGAGGAGTGGACGCCGAGTGCCACCAGACAGCTCACACGCAAGAGGAGTGGACGCTGAGTGCCATCTCCCCACCTGTTCCAGTTCCTCCACTAGGTGTCCTCCGTCGTCCCAACAGAGCCGGTCCGCGGCAGAGTAATAGCATAATTTCAGTTCTACTTGTTAAAATAGCTTTGCAGGGCTGGGAAGGTGGCTCAGTGGTAGAGCGCTTGCCTTGAATGCATGGGGCCCTGGGTTCGATTCCTCAGCACCACATAAGCAGAAAAAAAAAGCCAGAAGTGGCGCTGTGGCTCAAGTGGTAGAGCGCTAGCCTTGAGCTGAAGAGCTGAGGGACAGTGCCCAGGCCTAGAGTTCAGGCCCCATGACTGGACCCTCCCAAAAAAATTTAAAAAAAAAAAAATTTTTTTTAAATTAAAAAATTAAAAATAAATAAAATAGCTCTGCATGGTGGTACATGTCTGTAATCCCAGCTAGGGAGGAAAAGACAGCAGGAGATAATTTGAGGCTAGCCAGGACAAAGTGAAACCCTACCTCAAAAAAAGAAAAAACAATAAAGAAAGCATCGAGAGCATAGTTGAAGGGGCTTCTCTAGCAAGCTATAGGCCCTGATCCAATCCCTAATTTCACTAGCACACACAAAAAAATACCTCACAACAGTAGACACTAGTACCATTAATTTCATAGAAAAGAGATATGAATTTATCTGGCAATTTTATTCACTCCAGTAATGTCAAGACCTTCCATATGTAATCTTTCTATATACCTTTAGAAACACCTACAGAGCTCTCTCCATGCTTCATTTCCTGCGAAAGTTCTTATTTTTCTCATTCTTATACACATCTTGCTGGATATTTTTGTTTTTGTTTTGCCAGTCCTGGGGCTTGAACTCAGGGCCTGGGCACTGTCCCTGAGCTTCTTTGCTCAAGGCTAGTACTCTACTACTTGAGCCATAGCACAACTTCCATTTTTTCTGTGTATGTGGTAGTGAGGGATCGAACCCAGGGCTTTATGCATGGTAGGCAAGCACTCTACCACTAAGCCACCTTCCCAGCCCACGTTATGCTGGGTATTAAAGTCTAGATTGATAGTTGTGTTCTCTCAACATACGCTAAGGACCCTTATGATGGCCTTAGTACCACTCTGATAACATGACACTCAGTTCCTACTTTTTAGCATTTACCATTTTGAATAAAAACATGTAACATGAAGTTGGCCATCTTTATTTTTTTTGGGTCCGGTTATGGGGCCTGAACTCTGGGCCTGGGCACTGTCCCTTAGCTCTTCAGCTCAAAGCTAGCGCTCTACCATTTGAGCCACAGCGCCACTTCTGGCTTTTTTTTTCTTATGTGGTGCTAAGGAATTGAACCCAGGGCCTCATGCATGCAAAGCAAGCGCTCTACCACTGAGCCACCTTCCCAGACCTGAACTGATTTTTTAAATTATTATCTTTAAGTGGTTATACAAACAGATTTCAATTCAGCCAGTCAGCTTGAGGCCAGGGCATCTATCCATAGTCCTTCCGTGCATACCCTCTACTCCCTCTGCACAGCCCTCCCGTGCACTCTCTGGCTGGCCTGCTGATGCATGCTGTAGGCCCAGTCCTGGGAGGTCAGGCCACAGCCGGGCTGCAGAGAGTACCCTGGCATTGGACCTGACGGCCCTCCAGGGCTAGTGCTGCCGCTGCAGCCCAGGCCGGGCCACTGTTCCTCCTTCAGACAGCGGGCACCCGGTAGATGCTGGCTGCCCCCAGGTCCTGCCTAAAACCCTCCTCAGACCCTCCTACAACCTCCTCATGACATCTTCGGAACTTCTTGGACCTCCTTGGATGCTCCATGGAACTCCTCAGACCTCCTTGGACCTCCTCAGACCTCCTCTGATGCTCTTCGGACCTCCTCCTGACCTCCTCATGACCTCCTCATGACCTTGACTTCCTCACGACCTCCTTGGATGCTCCTCATGACCTCCGACCTCCTCAGACCTCCTCATGACCTCAACCTTCTCATACCAACCTCGGATGATCCTCATGACCTCCTCGGACCTCCTCACGACCTCCTTGGACCTCTTCAGACCTCCTCGGACCTTCTTGACCTCCTCACAACCTCCTCGGACCTTCTTGACCTCCACATGACCTCCTCAGACTTCCTCATGACCACCTCGACCTCCTCATGACCTCCTCAGACCTCCTCATGACCACCTCATAACCACATCAGACCTCCTCATGACCACCTCGACCTCTTCATGACCTCCTCATGACCACCTCGGACCTCCTCATGACCACCTTGACCTCCTCATGACCTCCTCATGACCTCCTCACGACCTCCTCGGACCTCCTCATGACCTCCTCATGACCTCCTCACAACCTCCTCGGACCTCCTCATGACCTCCTCGGACCTCCTCATGACCTCCTCAGATCTCCTCATGACCTCCTCAGACCTTCTTGACCTCCTCGGACCTCCTCGGACCTTCTTGACCTCCTCGGATGTTCCTCGGACCTCCTTATGACCTCCTCGGACCTTCTTGACCTCCTCATGACCTCCTCGGACCTTCTTGACCTCCTCAGATCTCCTCATGACCTCCTCAGACCTCCTCATGACCTCCTCAGACCTCCTTATGACCTCCTCAGACCTCCTCGGACCTCCTCATGACCACCTCAGACCTCCTCATGACCACATCGGACCTCCTCAAGACCTCCTCATGATCACCTGGGACCTCATGACCTCCTCAGATCTCCTTGGACCTTCTCAGACCTCCTCATGACCACCTCGGACCTCCTTATGACCTCCTCAGACCTCCTCAGACCTCCTTATGACCACCTCGGACCTCCTCATGACCACCTCAGACCTCCTCATGACCACCTCATGACCACTTCATGACCACCTCAGACCTCCTCATGACCTCCTCAGACCTCCTCAGACCTCCTCATAACCACTTCATGACCACCTTGGACCTCATGACCTCCTCATGACCACCTCGGACCTCATGACCTCCTCATGACCTCCTCATGACCACCTCGGACCTCCTCATGACCACCTCATGACCACCTCAGGCCTCCTCAGACCTCCTCATGACCACCTCATGACCACCTCGGACCTCATGACCTCCTCATGACCACCTCATGACCTCCTCATGACCACCTCGGACCTCCTCATGACCACTTCATGACCACCTCAGGCCTCCTCGGACCTCCTCAGACCTCCTCATGACCTCCTCATGACCACCTCGGACCTCCTCATGACCACCTCATGACCACATCGGACCTCCTCATGACCTCCTCATGACCACCTCGGACCTCCTCATGACCTCCTCATGACCACCTCGGACCTCCTCATGACCTCCTCATGACCACCTCATGACCACCTCGGACCTCCTCATGACCTCCTCATGACCTCCTCATGACCTCCTCATGACCACCTCGGACCTCCTCATGACCTCCTCATGACCACCTCGGACCTCCTCATGACCTCCTCATGACCACCTCGGACCTCATGACCTCCTCAGACCTCCTCATGACCACCTCGGACCTCATGACCACCTCATGACCACCTCGGACCTCCTCATGACCACCTCATGACCACCTCAGGCCTCCTCAGACCTCCTCATGACCACCTCATGACCACCTCGGACCTCATGACCTCCTCATGACCACCTCATGACCTCCTCATGACCACCTCATGACCTCCTCATGACCACCTCGGACCTCCTCATGACCACCTCATGACCACCTCAGGCCTCCTCGGACCTCCTCAGACCTCCTCATGACCACCTCATGACCACCTCGGACCTCATGACCTCCTCATGACCACCTCATGACCTCCTCATGACCACCTCGGACCTCATGACCTCCTCAGACCTCCTCATGACCACCTCGGACCTCATGACCTCCTCATGACCACCTCGGACCTCTTCATGACCTCCTCATGACCACCTCGGACCTCATGACCACCTCATGACCACCTCGGACCTCATGACCTCCTCATGACCACCTCGGACCTCATGACCACCTCATGACCACCTCGGACCTCATGACCTCCTCATGACCACCTCGGACCTCATGACCTCCTCATGACCACCTCGGACCTCATGACCTCCTCATGACCACCTCGGACCTCCTCATGACCACCTCGGACCTCATGACCTCCTCATGACCACCTTGGACCTCATGATCTCCTCATGACCACCTCGGACCTCATGACCTCCTCATGACCACCTTGGACCTCATGACCTCCTCATGACCACCTTGGACCTCATGATCTCCTCATGACCACCTCGGACCTCATGACCTCCTCATGACCACCTTGGACCTCATGACCTCCTCATGACCACCTCGGACCTCCTCATGACCACCTCGGACCTCATGACCTCCTCATTGTAAGGTCTGCTCCTGGATGGCTAGCAGACTCCACCCTCCTCGCAGCAAAGTCTCCACCCAGTACCTGTGTTACCTAGGCAACTGGACACCTGGAAGAGGTCACATCTGCATCCACTGAGGTCACATCTGAATTTGATGTGGCCACACCTTTTCCGGCCCTTACCCTAGATAAGGCCCAGCCCAGGCCCAGACGCCCTCTCTCTGCTCTCTTCTAGCTCTTTCCTCTCTTTCCCAGCTCTCTCTCATTCCCAGGCCTTTTGCCAGCCGCGTGGGTGCCAACCTTGCCTGGTCCCAGCAGATCTACTGAATAAACCTACCCCTTACCTGAATACCACGTGTGTGGTGCAGTTCTTACTCGGCTACCTCTTTTTAAAAACCTAACACTCATGACCTCCTTGGACCTCCTCAGACCAGCCTCACATGCGCCGCCTCTGGCCACAGGACAGCACCTCAGAAGACCCTGGGCCTGGGCTCCGGCAGCTCTGGGCCGGGCCGCGGGCAGGGTGGGCTGCGAGGGGGTGGCCGGGGCGGGGTGGGCTGCGAGGGGTGGCCGGGGCGGGGTTGGCTGCGAGGGGCTGGCTGCGAGGGGTGGCCGGGGCGGGGTTGGCTGCGAGGGGGTGGCCGGGGCGGGGTGGGCTGCGAGGGGTGGCCGGGGCGGGGTTAGCTGCGAGGGGCTGGCTGCGAGGCGGTGGCCGGGGCGGGGTTGGCTGCGAGGGGCTGGCTGCGAGGGGTGGCCGGGGCGGGGTGGGCTGCGAGGGGTTGGCTGCGAGGCGGTGGCCGGGGCGGGGTGGGCTGCGAGGGGTGGGCTGCGAGGCGGTGGCCGGGGCGGGGTGGGCCAGGCTGCGGGCCGGGTGGGCCAGGCCGCGGGCGGGGTTGGCTGCGAGGGGTGGCCGGGGCGGGGTTGGCTGCGAGGGGTGGGCTGCGAGGGGTTGGCCGCGGGCGGGGTTGGCTGCGAGGGGTGGCCGGGGCGGGGTTGGCTGCGAGGGGTGGGCTGCGAGGGGTTGGCCGCGGGCGGGGTTGGCTGCGAGGCGGTGGCCGCGGGCGGGGTTGGCTGCGAGGGGTGGGCCGCGGGCGGGGTTGGCTGCGAGGCGGTGGCCGCTGGCGGGGTTGGCTGGAGGGGTTGGCCGCGGGCGGGGTGGGCCGCGGGCGGGGTTGGCTGCGAGGCGGTGGCCGGGGCGGGGTGGGCCGGGGCGGGGTGGGCCAGGCCGCGGGCGGGGTGGGCCGCGGGCCGGGGGCGGCTCGGCCGTGACTCGGACTCTCCCTTCAGACATGGTGGAGATGATGCTGATGCAGAACGCGCAGATGCACCAGATCCTCATGCAGAACTTGATGCTCAAGGCGCTGCCGCCGGCCCCAGGGCCGCGCCCCGCGCCGCAGGTGGGACTCGGGCTCCGGGACACCGCCCAGCCCAGCCACCCTACCCCAGCCCGCGCTCGGCTTGACGCGCCCTGTGCTCCGGCAGGACCCGCGCTGGGCGAGCCCGGTGGTCCCGCGGGCCGAGAGGCCGCCGGCCCCGGTGCATCACCACCACCACTACGCGCCCGTCGCCCCGCCGCGGGCCCCCGCCGGGTACCCGACGTGGACCCCAGGACTCCCGGACGCCGCCGCGCTCCTGCCCGCAGTGAGCCACGGGGCCGCGGTCCTGGGCGGGTAAGTCTGAGGAGGGTCTTGGGGGGCGGGGCCGGGGTCACGGGGCGGGGCCGGGGTCACGGGGCCGGGGTCACGGGGCGGGGCCGCGGTCCTGGGCGGGTAAGTCTGAGGTGGGCCTTGGGGGGCGGGGCCGGGGTCACGGGGCGGGGCCGGGGTCACGGGGCGGGGCCGGGGCCTGCTGGGTGTCCGGCCCCAGAACCGCGGCCCCCGCTGTGCTCGCTGCCTGTGGGGGAGCCAGGACTGGCGGTGGCCAGCGGCGTGCGGGCAGTGCCCCTCTCGCGAGGATAGCTAGCCGCGCTGGCCTTGGACGAGGGGCGGCTCCCGAGACGCGCTGCCCGCCTTCCAGCCGGCCGGCCGGACCCCTAAGCGGTGACGCCGTCTTGATGAGGAGCCGGAGCTACCGGTGAGCGGGCGGAGCCTGGAGGACAGCCCGCGCAGCCACGGGAGGACGGGCGCGGCGGGCCCGGCCCACCTGCACCGGTGCGGTGCACACCTCCCCAGCCCAGACACCGCAGAGACCTGAGCGGCAGGAACGCGGGCTGGGGTCCCCGCCCCGCCGCCCCGCCGCCCCGCCGCCGGAAAGCAGAAAAACATCAACTTGCCGGGCGCCTGCGGCTCGCGCCTGCATGCCAGCTGCTCGGGAGGCTGAGACCGGAGGATCGCGGTTCAAAGCCAGCCGGGGCAGGAAAGGCCGTGAGCCTGATCTCCAACGAACCACCAGAAAACCGGAAGTGGGGCTGTGGCTCAAGCCCGTGAGCGCCAGCCTTGAGCTGAAGAGCAGGGACAGCGCCCAGGCCAGAGTTCAAGCCCCGCCACCAAACAAAACCCCCCTATCCATTTGGGTTGGAGATGTAGCTCATTGGTAGAGTGCTTGCCTAGCACATGTGAGGCCCAGGTTTCATTAGTGACACATCCTGCTGCGCACACATAGAAAAGTCAAACGCAGTAATTGAGACCTGTTTGCCACATGTGTGAGAGGGGGAAAAAGCAATTTACAGAACATGAATGACAAGATTTGAGTTAAAACACACACATACACACACACACACAGTTGGGCACTGGTGGCTCATACCTATAATCCTAGCTATTTAGGAGGCTGAGACTTAAGAGTGGTGGTCTGGAGCCAGCCTGGGCTGAAAAATGGAGAACTTCTCTAATTAAACAATAAAAAGCCAGACTGGAAGTGTGCTTCAAGCAGTAGAGTCCCAATACTGGGATATTCACACACACAAAATATATATACCTTCCCCCACCCCACCACCAACACACACAAGGACCCAAAACAGACTCTGTATATGATGGATCTGGTTTGCACAGCTTTTTCCAAGGAATCAAACACAGGCTGCACTCTGGTTCTTAAAAGCCATGCAGGGACTGGGAAGGTGGCTCAGTGGTAGAGTACCTGCCTTGCATGCATGAGGCCCTTGGTTCGATTCCTCAGTACCACATAAGCAGAAAAAGCCAGAAGTGGGGCTGAGGCTCAAGTGGTAGAGTGCTAGTCCACAGCTGAAGAGCAGAGTTCAGGCACCACGACCAAAAAAAAAAAAAAGCCATGCAAGGTGCTGTTTCTTCCATCCATCCATCTCTCCTGGTCCTGTCAAGACTCAGACTCTTATACTATGTACATGCTACTTTTTTTTGGTCCGTCATGGGGCTTGAACTCAGGGCCTGAGCACTGTCCTTGAGCATTTTAGCCCAAGGTTAGTGCTCTACCACTTTGAGCCATAGCACCACTTCCAGTTTTCTGGCTTTTCTTTTTGCTTATGTGGTGCTAAGGAATCGAACCCAGGGCCTCATGCATGCAAGGCAAGTGCTCTACCACTGAGCCACCTTCCCAGCCCAACCACTTCCAGTTTTCTGGTGGTTAATTGGAGATAAGAGTCTCAGGAACTTTCCTGCCTGGGCTGGCTCTGAACTATGATCCTCAGGTCTCAGTCTCCTTATAAAATTGTTTTGTTTGGGGCTAGGAAGGTGGCTCAGTGGTAGGGTGCTTGCCTCGCATGCATGAGGCCCTGGGTTCAATTCCTCAGTACCATATAAGCAGAAAAAGCCAGAAGTGGTGTTGTGGCTCAAGTGGCAGAGTGCTAGCCTTAAGTTGAAGAACAGAGAGACAGTGCCCAGGCCCAGAGTTCAAACCCCATGACTGACAAAAACAAAAAAACTGTTTTTGTTTTTTGTTGGATTTGGAAAAGAAAAAAAAATGGAATTTTTTTGTACTTTTTTATTATAAAAATGCTATATAGAGGGGTTACAGTTAAGTGAGCAAGGCAATGAGTACATTTCCTATTGAGCATTGTTGCCTTCTCCTTTGTTTTCCCCCTTCCATCCCTTCCCTCCCACCTCCCACCTCCCCCGCCCCCCCATTTTGTTTTAGATATCATTTTTGTAGCCCCAGTTGGCTTTGAATTTGAGATCTCCTGCCTCAACTTTCAAAGTGCCAGAATTACAGGCATGGGCTACCATGCACAGCTTTTAAAGATATTAATTTCAAGAATTATGAGTAAATTTTCACTAAGTGCCTTAAAGGGTAAGTTTTTCATTTGCTAACTTCCTCTTCAGGGTGGTCCTGGTCTTTATATCCTTGGAAGCTTGCAGGTCAGAGCCCAACAAGTCAGAATTGCCACACTCCCCATGTGCCTTCCTCACTACAGGAACCAGTATACAGGTGAGCCTAGAGACCAAGGAGCAGGCTAAAATGTTCACATGACAGACACGCCTCCAAGGGTATTAATAGGGTCTCTATAGGAGGTAACAATACCCTTCTCAAGATCATTGGACAGCCTGTGGGCCCAGACCCAACCAGAGACTGCGTGCAGCCTGCCCCCTTTAGCCTGAGAGGCGACCCATCTGGTGCACAGCCCTTCCTTCAGCCCGTGAGGTGTCTGGTGCACAGCTCTAGCATCCAGTTGAACCCCATGTAAGTTCTTCATGGGCAACGGGACATGACATGATGTCTGGGGTCACAGGTTAACTGTCCCAGGCCATGATGAAGTTATGTCTAGTGGTTTGCCTGTGGGGAGCACTCAAGGCTGTAGTGAGGGATGCAGACTCTGTGGGAGGATACCTTTGCTCTGGTTGCCTAGCCAGGCTCTTTTCCTGCTCCTGCTCTTACTTTTTTTTGTCGGTCGTGGGGCTTGAACTCTGGGCCTGGGCGCTGTCCCTCAGCTCTTCAGCTCAAGGCGAGCACTCTACCACTTGGGCTACAGCGCCACTTCCGGTTTTCTGGTGGTTTATTGGAGATGAATCTCACGGTCTCTCTTGCCCGGGCTGGCTTTGAACCACAATCCTCAGATCTCAGCCTCCTGAGTAGCTAGGATTACAGGTGTGAGCCACCAGCGCCCGGCTTCCTGCTCTTACTTTTGTGGCAAGGAGACCCACCAATCCAAGGACTGTGTTTGAGGGTCCTTGAAGCTTACTCAGGTGAACTACAGAAAGCCTCCTGGACAGGCCAGGCACCGGAAGCTCACACCTGTACTCCTAGCTACTCCGGAGGCTGAGATCTGAGGATTGAAATTTGAAGCCAGCCCAGGCAGGAATGTCCCTGAGATTCTTATCTCCAATTAACCACTAAAAAGCTGGAAGCAGAGTTATGGCTCAAGCGACAGCAATCAAGTCCTGAGTTCAGGCTAACCTCCAGGATCGGCATGTGCACGCAGACAGGCATGCGCACACATACAATCCCCTAGACAATGCTATGGATGTGGCTAGATCCTTGAGTCTCCTTTTTTTTTTGCTGGTCGTGGGGCCTGAGCTGGGCCTGGGCGCTGTACCTCAGCTCTTCAGCTCAAGGCTAGTGCTCTACCACTTGAGCTACAGCACCACTTTCAGCTTTTTCTGCTTATGTGGTGCTGAGGAATCAGGGCCTTATGCATGGGAGGCAAACACTCTACCACTGAGCCACCTTCCCAGCCCTGTTGAATCTCTTATTGATTGCCTGTTAACTGCCCTTCACTCATGGTTGGCCCTAGATCTGATATCAGCTCATACCATTCAGTATCATTTCTACTCTTTTAAGGAGCCTTGAAGTTTCTTAACATCTCAAAGGGGAGGGCAAATGGAGACAGCCCCTATATGTCTATTTTTTGTTTAACTTGATATCTAAAAGTAGGGGGACAAGTTTGGTTTTTTTTTTCTCCCTTGTCCTGCTTCGCGTGATGGGGACCTCGGAGGAAATGGGGACCTGCCTTACCTGCCCACCAAGTCTGGATGTAAGCTTTGGGCTTATTTCAACTTTCAGAAAACAGGAAATACAGACCTAGTGAGTTTTTCTTTTTTGTTTAGTGAGATTTTCTGGCAAGTTGCTCAGCTCCTTAGGGAACAGGTGCTTTGTGGACTGGTGGTGGTGCTCCTCGGCCCCCACTGCCCTAGGGTCCTGTCCACAGGGTACCACAGGGGAGCTGGGGGAAGAGTGGCTCTGCAACTTCCATAATGACCACACAGTTCAAGCAGGAGTGCTGCTAGCCTGGACACTCCTCTTGTCGGGTTCAAGTCACAGAGCTCCTGGGGATTAGGTGGCTAGGCATTCAAGCAGCACAGCGGTTTTTGTGAGCCCTCTCACTTCTAAGGGCTTAGAATGCTTTTGTTTACAAGCATGATAACAGTTTTCTGAATGCAGCATGGGCTGGCTGGCGCCTCTGTAGTCCTGTGGACACTACCACCAGTAGCAGAGCTTCCCTTGTGGAGGGCTAGTCAGGGCCCGATCCTGGCCCCATTGGCCCTTGTCTGTCCTGGAGTTCCATGGCATCAGTAGAGGCACCTGCTCAGGGGCTGGAGCCTGGCCCCCGTGTGTCGGCTTAGCTCCTCCAGCACCTGTTTTTCTTGGAGGTACATCTGGAACACAGGAGAGCACTCACTAGTCAGGACTCCAGGTGCTCTCTGCACTCTGGAAGGCCTTCCCCAAAGCTACCTCCAGAAGGGGGGCTGGTCGGGTTCAGGCCTAAGGGAGGTACCAGAGGCTGGGCACCTTTTCCAGCACCTGCGTCACAGGCAGGCAGCGGGTTGGCACTGGGATGGGTACCGAGGACTGGGGGAAGAGGGAACGCAGGAGGGCCTGGGGCGGACTGAGATACCAGGAGGGCCTTCTTTATTATTTATTGAAACAAGAAAATCACCTCTTAAGAAATTTTGGGAGGGCTGGGAAGGTGTCTCAGTGGTAGAGTGCTTGCCTTGCATGCATGAGGCCCTGGGTTCAATTCCTCAGCACCACATAAGCAAAAAGAAAAAAGTTGGAAGTGGTGCTGTGGCTCAAGTGGTAGAGCGCTAACCTTGAGCTGAAGAGCTGAGGGACAGCGCCCAGGCCCAGAGTTCAGGCCCCACGACCAGACTCCCCCCTCAAAAAAAAGAAATTTTGGGACCTTTTTAGGTTTAAGACATGTAGCATAATGGTATGTAATGTCTAATATTTTCCTTTTTCTTTTTTTTTTGTCGGTCATGGGGCTTGAACTCTGGGCTTGGGCGCTGTCCTTGCACTCTTCAGCTTAAGGCAAACGCTCTACCACTTGAGCCACAGCGCCACTTTCGGTTTTCTAGTGGTTTTTATTAGAGATAAGAGTCTTACAGACTTTCCTGCCCGGCTAGCTTTGAACCTCAGTCCTCAGATTTCAACCTCCTGAGTAGCTAGGATTACAGGTGTGAGCCACCAGCGCCCGACTCTAATAATTTTCTTTCTTACTTTCTTTTTGTCAGTCATGGGGGCTGAACTCTGGGCCTGGGTGCTGTCCCTCAGCTCTTTCAGTTCAAGTCTAGTGCCCTACCACTTGAGCCACAGCGCCACTTCTAGATTTTTTCTGTGTATGTGGTGCTGAAGAATTGAACCCAGGGCCTCGGGTGTGAGCCACCAGCACCAGGCTCATTCATTTTTTGTCTTGGTTGTTCATTTATCTGCCTTTGGGAGGGTAAGTAGGGGCATAGAAATTTAGGAACAAAGGGTAAACAAATGTAGCAATAGTACTCACTGGACACTAGGTTGAAAATGAACTATACAACTTGTGGGTAGAGATGAAGAGAGTGAGGGAAAGGGTGACACTGTCCAAAAAGAAATGAACTCTGGGGCTGGGAAGGTGGCTCGGTGGTAGAGCGCTTGCCTTGCATGCATGAAGCCCTGGGTTCAACTCCTCAGTATCACATAAGCAGAAATAGCTAGAAGTAGCACTGTGGCTCAAGTGGTAGAGTGCTAGTCTTGTGTAAAAGCAGCTCAGGGACAGTACCAGGCCCTGAGTTCAAGCTGCAGGACTGGCAAAAAAAACGGAAAAAAAAAGAAATGTACTCTTTACCTGACTTATGTAACTGTAACGCCTCTGTATATCACCTTTACAATAACAATACCAAAAAAGTGTTTCCTGTTTCCTGGAGATGCCCTGGCTGGCAGTGCCCATCAGCACCATTAGTGGACACAAGTCACCAGCTCACTATTAAAGGAGGGGCCTCTGGGTCTTCTAAATGTTACCTCTACCTCGCCTTGTAAGCCTAGCAACTCGGCTGGCTGAGATCTGAAGATGGAGGGTCAAAGCCAGCCTTGGCAGAAAGTCCCTGAGACACTTATCTCCACAAAAAAAAAAAAAAAAAAAAAAGAAAGAAAAAGAAAGGCCAGAAGTGGAACTATGGCTCAAGTAGTACATTGCTAGCCTTGTGCAACAAGCTCAGGTGCCAGGGCAGGCACCAAAGAAAAAACCGTTTGCTCCTCTTCTCATCAATACTAGGGCAGAATTTGCCACTCAGTGTTGCCCGGGTCTGCCTTTTTTTCCTGGTACCCTGCAGGATTCTGGACTAAGAGCTTTGTTTGGTTGGCTCTGTAATCACTTGAGTTGTGCCTTCAGCTTGGCTTTCTGCTGGTTCTTTGGGAGATGGAATCTGACCAATTTTTCTGCCCCAATTGGTCCTAACCATGATTCTTTTAGCTTCTGAGGAGCTATGATCCGGTCTTCCCACAGCAAGTTCTAATACAATGAAATGTATTTGGGATACCAATACTTGAAACAAACATCTGTGAGCCTTTTCATAAAGGGCAGGTCAGCTGCCTGGGTTCCTGTCTCTGGCCATGGGGTGAGGAGGGGCTGGGCATCAGCCTGGGTGCCTTGGGCCGAAGCACACGCCTGCTTCCTTAGGGCATGTTCATACCTTCTGCCACTCTGCCTCTGAATGATGTGTGAAGCCCAGCAGATGACAAAGTCCATGGGTAGCTGTCACCTGTTGGAACAATTAAAAAGCCAGCTCAGGGATAATCTAAGAGTTGTCCCTTCAGCATCATCCTAGGTTCATGGGCTGCCTTTATCTAGACTGGGCTGGTTCCAAACCAGGATGCTAGTAGGACAAGAACCTTGATAGCAGTCCAGGGCAGGAATGACGTACCCAGCTTCACTACCCTCCTGCGTAAGATGTGGGGCCTTTGCGGGGTGGAGGTGGGGGGGGTGTGAGGGGAGATGGTGGGAGGGATAGAAGAAGAAAAATGAGGGAGGGGGTAACAAGTTAGACAAGAAATGTACTCACTACCTTATGTAACTGTAACCCCTCTACACATCACCTTGAGAATAAAATTAAAATAAAAAAAAAAAAAGAATTTGTGGGGCCAATTAAAGAGTTGAGCAGCTGATCAACCAGTGCAGTTCTAGCACTTAGGGAGGCTGAGGGAGAGGACTGCATAGGTCAGAGGGAAAGAAAGAGGAGAAAGAAGGGAAAGTAGGAAAACAAAATGTTGAAGACTTTTTCTTT